CAGAGAAAAAAATGCAATTCCTCAATTACAAAGAGCACTGATCACAAGGTTGGTTATTTAAAAAAATATGAGAGTCTATGCTCATGGTCCGAAGCTTTATTAGCATGCTGTAAAGCTTTTGCTGCTTTTATCGAAAACATGCAAGATGAAAGTAAGATGCTATAATCTCAAGAAAAAAGGACGATATGTATTAACATCGTCCTACTTAGATAAAAAGCAAATCTCGCGTCTGAGCGCGACCAAACCAATGCTGATTATCAGCTCAGAAATTATCTGCATTACGTTGCGGCGATAAGGACGAATTTACTATGTTACGTTTTTCTGAATGACACTTCGATACGTATCGACTCAATTTTTTTGAAATATATTACCTTACGAGTATGAATTGACCATAAAAGCCTGAGTTTCCACAAGAGATGTACTCAGGAAGATGAGCCAAGCGAGTAAATGTAGCGAAGCTGTAAAGCCCTGATGGCCGCTTACCATCACCATCAGTCGGGTCGTGTGTGGTTGCCACCATAACTATACACCGAAATAATTTTACCGTAGAAGAGAGCTACAACAAACAAAATGATAAGGTGTAGGTACGCACACAGTAGTGAAGAAGCGAGCAACCGTATTTCGCGTGTCCAACGAGGTCATTTCCCATCCTCGCTCATGGTATGGTTGGGAGTTTCTTATTGGGGCTTAACAGATATTTTTGTGAGAAAGGTGTAAAAACGAACGCAGTTGTGTATCAAAATACAGTCCTGACGAACCTTGTGGAACCTGTTTCTCATACCATGTTCAATAACAGGCACTGGGTATTCTAACAAGATTCGGCGCCAGCTCATAGAGCGAAGAGCACACAAGACTGGCTATAAAATCGTGAAACCGACTTCATACGGCACGAAGACTGGCCCTCCTCCAGTCCAGATTTGAGTCCGATAGAATACTAGATATGGCAACACTTGGAGGAAAAGACGTGCTCAAAGCCTCATCCCAATTTGGAGTCACTCAAGACATCCTTGATTAAGGCAACCGCCGATATTGACATTTACCTCGTTCGTGCTGCGATAGACGACTGGCCGCGCAGATTGAAGGCCTGTATTCAAAATCACGGAGGATTTTTTGAATAAAATTTTTGGCATAAGAATCTGTTTTGTTAAGTTCATTTTGGTATATAAATGGTTACATAATGAATAAACTTGTATCAATTATATTATATTAAACATGTGACAGAATTTATGACCTGACTAGGTATAGGTATATTGATGGCGCAGAAGGAGGCAGCGGAGAGGGAGCGGGAGGAGGACGCTCTAGCCCCCCCTCTCTGGCGTAGACGGGTGGGCCGAAGGAGGCAGGCAGCGGTGACTGCCGGTCTTCGACGGCCCTAAGGTGGTCTGGGCGCGGCCTGACCAGCCGCGCGTCCTAGGTGCCGCTCCGGCATAGGCCACCACGTCTGGGGTCTGCCTAGTACCCTAGCGCAGTACCCCTGAGGCGCGTCGCCCGGTCCACTCGTTGGGCCGGGCTTGCCCGGGGGCGTCCCAGTGAAGTGGCGCACGCTTAGGTGCGTCGATCCTGAGACGCCCCCATATGGGCGTAGGAGGGTACCGGGGGGTTTTAGTGGAGTGGGATCAGTGTGGCCTTCCGCACTGGTCCTGCTTGAGTAGGGTCGGCACTGTTTCCCGTGCCGACGAATCCCACACACGCCGTGCGCCTAGTCAGCGTCACGGTATGGTGCGTAACTGCATTTCCACTCGTCACAAAAAAAAAAGAAAAAAAAAAGGTATAGGTATATTAGTAGCATAAGCAGTATTAACGACTTTGAAAGGATTCTAAAGTTCTATAATATCTACTTCCGTTAAGTTAATTTCAAATTAATAATAGGTATAATTTCAGACTTTTCAATGGAATATTTCATTTACTAATGTGAAATATTATAATACCCTATAAATATATTTGACGTGTGTTGTTCAAAGAAAAATGCTATTTATGTTATCACATTTATTTAATTTTTTCCCATGTCATTTTTATAATTTTCCAATATATATGACAAACTGTATACAAAAAGAACCCATTCAAACAAACTTTGAATTGGTTCTTTATTTTATATCACCATAATATTAGGATCAATCTAAACACTTGCTCTGAGGTTAAAGACTCATAGGTACCGAAAATTAATCGAATAATTTACATACATTAGAATGAGACAAAACGACCTTAATTTATTTGAAGCCGTGACTTTTAAAATGACTAACAATTTTCTTATTATGTAAGAATTGAATTAAAAATCAATTCTAAACAATCAGATTGAAGTCTCACAATAAAATTACTCAATTACAACTGTATTTTGTATAATAGATACAAGTACTGTGTGACACAACATACGTAAATTTTGAATTCATTTTGATCTAAGTAAATAATAATAACAAATAATAAGTAAATAATATTTTTTTAGGGATTTGTTCGGGGCCAAATAAAAAAGACATTTTCATGTGAGTCAAAACAATTTTAAATAAATTATAACAATCTACACAAATGAGGAAAAAACAATATCAATCGTTAAAACTTTTTAAGTTCATTATTTAAACATAATAAAATTATATAAATCTTAGAGATTTCTCAATCATTCAATATTTATGACTAATGAAAAACTCAGTTTTTCAAGGACCTTAGATGATATTAATACGCTATCTTATATTACAAAAAATCTTCATTTGTACATTTAAAATTATCAATTTTTTAAAAGTAAATTGCACTAGAGGTGGGATTCGCTTCTCGACTGTAACGTCGAGTACCCTTTGTGTCCAATAACATCTGCAAAATACAGCATAAAATTAATAAAATTGTTTGGCCTGCGCAGACGACGTAAATATTGTTACATAATTATTTAACGCTATGAAGTTTTTTTGCCCAGTTTTTCTCCACAGCTAAAAAATGTTCTTAACTGGTGGTAGGGAAAAAAATTTGGATGATTCAAAAGAGTTGTATTGTGCATCAAATTTGAATATAGATATTTTGACTTTTGATTTTTTTACTTTTGAGGGACTTCAGTCCGTGTATCAAGAAAAAATTGTCCGCCGAGAACTTGTCATGGACTAAACTCGCACGGTGTGTCCGCGTCCGCACACTGTGTGAGTTTAGTCCTATGGGGCAATTCATTTATTACGTTAGACTATTTGCGCTAGTTTTTGACCTCCTCCCCCTTATTATAAGAATAAATAAATATTTCCAACATTCACACCGATTAGCCTAGCCCCAAAGTAAGCACTATAAGGCTTGTGTTATGGGATACTAGGGTAACGGATAGAATACATATACTGTACATATATAAGTATATTTATATAGAAATACACAAACATCTGCTCCCACCGAGATTCGAACCCGGGACCTCTCGAGTCGGCGACACCATGAAACCCGGCGTACAAACCACTCGGCCACGGAGGTCGTCCGTAATAATAGCCCAACCCTACGTAAGAATACAAAGGAAAAAACCAGTACAAGTTTGATTTGTGTATGTGTTTAATTTTCAAAATATTTTGTTTTATAAGGCGCAGTGCTGACAGCGCCTGTGCGTTGCCATGGAAATCGTTTATCTATACGCATCCGAGCGAATCTCGGCACTCGTGCGGTTGCCCGCGCTTTTTTCAAAGTATAATTTTAACTTTGTGCATTTTTGTGACCTTACGAAAGGACTATCGAGACTCCCTCCCACCCTGAAAAAAACTTGTAAGAAAATATAAGACATGGTCTACCCCCCTCCCCCTAAATCGTCTTACGTAATTAATGAATGACCCCTATGATCTACAGGGCGTCCAACAGTATTGTTATCAACAGGAACAACTTTTTACTATGGGACCAACGCTGAAATCGCGAATAAAAAATGCTGCTGTTTCATACAAAAGTGCATCAGCTAATCGATCGAAGTGTATGAAACAGCAGATTTACATACATAAATAATATTTGGCCTTTTCTACGCGAAGTAATTTTACCTTGTTGCAAATATTATTTTTTGATGTGTAACATCTTTCCTCTCGCTTTCCTGCAATTTGTGGGAGTGATTTCGTGAAATGGGACGGAAGTGTGTAGCAGGAAGTCACGAAAGCGCGCGCTATTTCATTTGATTTTAGATCATAAATGTACATGAGTAGGTTTTATTTCTTTTTTTACTAATATAAAGCGAGGTTACAAATGTTACACATCATACGCGAGTACTGTAGGGCTCGCTCGTTTATTTTTATTTTTCTACGAAATTAACTTTTTATGCAAACAGTACCGTTAGAGTGACGTCGCACCGCGAGGTGCACAGTTACCTAAGTCGCACGGGTTTTACACACGTTTACCTGGTGGTCGCTATGGGGGCGGTGCTAGCGGCACCAGTAACGGCTCGCGGGGACGGCGCGGGCGGCGCGAGGGCGGGCGCGCGGGCCCCGCGGCAGTGCGCAGGCGCGGCCGCCCCGGGCCCCTCCGCGCACCCCGCTCCGGCGCGCGCGCTGTGCCTTCTATGATCTCCAGGGGGGCGTCGGATTCTAGCAGCGCTGCGCCTGTGGTCAACCCATATTTTGTTAAAGAAAATATAACTAAAAAAATTCCACTGATTTAATAGAAAATATTTGTGATATTCAAATGTATGGTCGGTAATTTAGCCATCTCTTTTCCTCACGATCCGTACTTGTTATATTCCTAATAGCGCATTCAGAATTGCGCGTAGAGTCCATGAAATAAGGTCTATATTCTTCCGCATATAGCAATAAGTCGTTAAATTTTAAGAGCTTGCATTCCGAACTGTCATATCTCTTTGACGCGTTGCGATTTAATGAAGACCTTATGGAGTATGCATTAAAGATGACTCAATGTTTAAATAATGCATTATATTGTTTTTTACTACGCGATCACCTTACGGAGCTCCGTGGGTCGTCCAAAGTACCTTTTGGACAGGTTACGGGCACGATTTTGTTCGTGTTGTTGTATCTAGGGTATTTAATATCGTTGACTGTATTACAACGTTCATACATTCAGCTTAATCACGCAGCATTTAGCAATGACATTAAAGATTTTAAAACATTTAGGCTACGTGGTTTCATCGAAAGCTAAATTTGACTATAGTTAAATCCAATACAAAAAAATAACTATTTGTCAAAACTTGGCACATTCACTATGTATTGACGTGGCATTATTAATAACAAAACTGCCCAAAGATACTCAAATAAGCAATTTCGTGCAGACATTAAAGAGCGCAGTGCAAGCGTGACTGTCGCTCTTTCCTCACTCCTACCATCCTCCTCAATCAGGCCGTGCCGGGAGTCTGTACAATGACGGAAACTCACCGCGACGAGTGCGACAGCGTTGTCAACGGACGTAGAAGCGGTGGCGGAAATCTGCCGGCCTATTCGCTAACTTTTTTGACGTTTATAGTGTGTAACTAAAGATAAAGTTGCATATCCATCGATGCTTTTCAGTACAAGTATCTTAGTGGCGTTATAAAGAAGCAGTAGTGGATTACTAAATAAGTCGGTGATTATCACTTCCATTTGTCAAAAGCAATTAGCGAATATGGCTACTGTTCTATGACAGAGGAGAGGTGAAGAATGAAGACCCGAGGCGAAGAAAGAAGAGGACCGTATAATTTGGAGCCAACGTACCACTTCAGAGTGGGCACGGGACGGCTGGGATGGCGACGAAGGCGTTTCGTGTATGTCCGCCCCAGAATGGGGAGAGGGACCTTCGTTGCCGCCTTCCACACTACCCGATAGGGAGAGGGACCATAGGGACAAAGGAGATAGATAAAGAATAATTTGTAGGAAGACAGGAAAGTACGCGCGGTGAAGGCCATTCCGCGTGTATCTCCCGCTGCTTCGGCCTGCATAACCAAGAAGGTTCGCCAGGCCGGCATGGATGGTTAGTGGGATTTGTTCTATGACGGAGACTAACCGGCGGCGAGTGCGACGGCATTGTCGGCGGGCGAGGAGGCGGTGGCGGTAGCGGTTGCGGTAGGAGGCGCGGGTCGGCGGGTGAGAGCGTGTCGGGAACCGCGCGGTCTGCCGCGTCTGGCGCCGCGCGATGAACGACTCACGCCCCACGGACTCGAACGCATCGGGGGTGAGTATGCTAGCAACAACACAAGACATTTTAATTTAAATATACAAATTAGAGGAGCTCGAAGGCGCAGGTGGCTAGCGCGTTCGGCTGCGATCGTTCAAGTTAAGCAACTTTCGCAGTGGTCGGTCATTGGATGGGTGACCAAAAATCTTCTATCTCGAGTTACTTCGCGCTTTGGAAGGCACGTTAAGCCGTTCGTCCCGGCTGCATATGCAGTCGTTAGCACCCGCCAATCCGCACTGGGCCTGCGTGATGGGTCATGGCAGAATCTCCCTATTGCATCCATAGGGAAGGCCTATGCCCCAGCAGTGGGGATATTAATAGGCTGATGATGATACAAAATATACATCTTCTTTAATTTTTATTTAAACACTAGCCGCCTTATTACAAAACGCGGACTTAAGTTAGACTTAGTTTAATTATGTATAATGGGTGTACCCAAAATTATACACACCATAAATCGAATGCTGTCTCTGTCTTCTCTTAAGAAAACAAAAATGACAGCATCTATTTTAAACCAGGTTTAACTTCATTCAATGATTTGTAATATGGCGGCAAGGGACAGACATTGTCCTGCCCGATAGAAATACAAGCCTCTTCTCTTGACAAGGCGAGTGTTTTTGACCTCTATTAGGTACATGTGTGGGGTTTCTAGATGTCGCCGCCACAGACTGCTTTTGTCACCCTGTTTTATTTCATACAGTGTCGTCAATAAGAGCTATAATTCTTTACTCACACACGGGAACGACGGGTAATGGCGGTGCATCCACCACCAGGTTATCGTTGTCGTCGTCCACTTGAAGCGGACTGCCCGGCTCCGAGACTGAGTCACGCGGACGTTTCGTTTCAACCGGAGGTGGTTGCTAGGAGAAAATTACAAGAAAAATATGTGTTAAAACCTGTATAATCAGAATTTTGCCATATTGCGGAATACAAATGGCAAACTGAAGTAACTTTAAAATGACTTTATTTTTCAATGTTCCACGATAAGAGTTTACGATTTCTAACTATTGAAAAAAATACTCAGTAAAAAACTGTGGAACTTTTCGCTAATTGGTTAGAGACAAGTACATAAGTAAGTAACATACGTAATGATTTCAATCATAACTCGACTTTTAAATTGATGTAATTCAATATTTCACTTTCATCAATTACTTATTTATATTAGCACATTTTTTTCATTAACAGGTAACATTTATGAAACGTAAAACAATCGAACAAATTAAATAATATTAATTGAGACAAATTGATATAGCTCTTACTTGCGGCAAAAGACCCAATTTCCTCTTGCGTTCCCTGTCTTCGAACAACTTTTTCTCTTCTGATTTATGGCGATCTATTGGAAATAATTAAAAAATAAATATGTGATTAATTTTTCTAAGTGACATAAGTATACCTCGTGTCATTAAAGAAAGGAATCGCAAAAGACAACGTAACACATTCTGTCACTCTCGCACTTGCTGTCCTAAGTACCGTACGAAAGAGACAGAATGTCTCGCGTCGGCATTTTCAATTACTTTAAATGACTTGAGTTTAAATAATAAATTAAACAATGTTGATAGTAAAAAAGAAACAAATATCTTACACTTGAGTTCAATTTCTTCGTCGTCCAACAGTAACGAAACTACTTCTTTCGGCTTCAAAGTATCTGGTTTGAAATTTCCACCACTTATCACCATTCTTTGGATCTATCAAAGAAAGTTTGCAATTTTGATTATTTTATATTTTGGTGGTAAGTTGATACCACTAAACAAATATCCCATTTGTTAAGTATCTATATGCAAAAAACTAGAGTATTAACTGTCTTTCAGGTCTCGAAATTGATCTTTATTTTTTCCTCTTTTGTCTCGAAATAGTACAGATGTATTTTCTACAACAGCTTTTCTTTTATTATTAATTTCAATAGCCCAATGCTTTAACTACATTAGTTTATAGGAAAGTTAATGATGTTCTCTATTATAATTTGACAGCCCCTTATTAATAAATGAAGACTACGCTACGCTACGAGTAGTTACTCCATGTTTTGTCTTTATCTATTCAATGACAAATGGCATTTGAGTAACATGAACAGAAGATGGCGTAACTGTTCTAAGCTTATTCCTTGGTTATTAATAAAAAGGATAAAGTTTAAGATTCCCCTGCTAATTAAAGATTTAAGTATTATCAATTCATCATACCTCGCTCTTCTCTCGTGCTCGCTGCATAATACGTTCTTCAATAGTACCCTTACAGATAAGTCTGTATACAGTGACCTGCTTAGTTTGGCCCAGTCTATGAGCCCGGTCCATTGCCTGTTGGTCTACCGTTGGGTTCCAGTCCGAATCGTAAAATATCACCTTTTGGAGGAAATTAACAAATAATTTAACCATGTTAACATTAAAAAATAATTTATGGTCAATAGAAGAAGGGGTATTTTAAAAATATATCTCTAGTAAAGGAATGCTTACCAATGATTATTAATGATAAAAATAAAAAAACAGGTATTTGGAACTGACGTTAGGTTAGTTCTTATGATATTATAGAAATTAATTTTAAATAATTATCACCATAAAGAGACGTTCTTTAGTCAAGCCATTAATGTGTTTTCTTGTCAGGCCATAATCTCTAGTTGTGAATCATTTAATGCAAAAATCAAATAATTAAAATGATCTTACAGTGTCTGCAGCAGTCAAATTGATGCCAAGTCCTCCAGCGCGTGTCGACAGTAAAAATACGAAGATATCAGCACGGGCCTGTAAAAATATATTTCGTTATTTTTGTGTTAAATTAGATGTATAATGAATATCCTATCTCCAGTCTAAGCAGTAAGCTCAATCGGCTGCGATCATTGAAGTTAAACAACTTTCGCAGTGGTCGGTCGTCGGATGGGTGACCAAAAACTTACTATCTCGAGCTCCTCCGTGCTTCGGAGAGCACGTTAAGCCGTTGGTGACCTCTGCATCTGCAGTCGTTAGCATCCACCAATTCGCACTGAGCCCGCATGATGGGTCGTGTCATGGCCCAATCTTCCTATTCCATCCATAGGGAAGGCCTGTGCCCCAGCAGTGGGAACATTAAAAGGCTGATGATGATGATGATCCGTATCTATGGGCCGATTCACTGAGTTCTAGTGCAGTATATTTTAAACTATGAAAATGCTGTAGTCAGTTGAATTTTCTGCATACAATAACATAACTTACTTGGAAATCTGCTACCATGTCGCGACGTGCAGAAATTTTGCTAGAGCCATCTAATCTCATGTATTTGTGTTTACGATGCCACATGTATTCCTGTGAAAACAAATTCATAACATGTGTAATAAGCTTAGATTTTAAATACAGAACTAATAGTTCTTAATATTACTGGAGTTCTACATACCTCTAATAAGTCAATCATCTTGGTCATCTGACTGTATATGAGAACTCTGTGCCCCCTTTCTTTCAGCCTTTTCAACAATGAATCTAATACTGTTAGCTTTCCAGCGTCACTCACTAACTGGTTCTTATCTGAAAATTACCCATAAATTAATGTATGCTACCCAAACATCTTGTAATTTCTTAACAATTATTAAAAACAATGTCAATCAAGTCAAGAATGAAAATTTATCAGTCCTCTTCCCCCCTTTACCTTCCCCCCTCTCAAAATCTGGAACTAAACATAGTTTTTTTTAGTAATCACAAAATAAATTTGTAATCACAATGACACTCATTTTGACTTCCCACAAACAGAAGTAAAGAATCTAATGTTACTTAAACAGGCCATCAATGTATGAATACTCGCACTTGTCCTTGTCTTTGAAGCTGGTATATCTTACTTGTTTATGGTATGTCGTACCGATATATCTTTCTCCAACTTTACACACTAATCCCGAGAAGCTCGACGGCGCAGCTGGTTAGCGCATTCGGCCTGCAGTCTTGAAAATTAAGCAACTTTCGCAATAGTTGGACATTGGAATTGTGACCAAAAAGGACAATGGGCAAAACGCACCCAGCTCCGCCACCAATGTAATTAGTATGAATCGATAGATCTATGAAAAGCTAGCCTTTTTTATTATGACACCGAAAATAAATATCCTGGGAGTCAAAAGATATGACATCGTAAAAAATATCCTGGTAGTCAATAGATGTGATACCTGGGCATATTTAAGTAGCTGAATAAATTCATTTTATAGTACCTTCATTTTATATTATTAGTAATCATAATAATATGCCATATCGTACTATACAACCAGATATACGACAAAGCCTGCCGACCATTCTGCGTTTGCTCTTACTGAGACATTTCAAAACGGTTTACGGATGATGAAGGACTTGCAGTTGCAAATAGTCGACTCGTCTTACTTCGTTGTGATTGTGCGCTCCCTGCTACTTGATTGATTTTTATCTAACACGCTTTGGATATTGGAACACGATTATCGGTTTTGTCAATTAGTATGGATCAACTGGAATCATGTGTTCTCCGAAGCGTGGACAAGTTTGTGTAATCTGTGGTCGCACCGTTTTACATAAAAGACAATTTACTTTAACGAACAGAATGTTTAAAAAAAACCCAACCCAGGCTGGGATTTTTGGATTCACTCTAGCGCGGCAGAATAACATAAGGGGGCACCTTTGCACCATGTGAAGTACTCCCATAATTCCTGAGCACCATGTAAGGTCGAACTAACTAACTAAATTAATTACCTTGTTTCATTAGTGTTCGTTCGTTATAGTACTTGTAAATATTTAACTTAAAATAACTAAAGACCCCCGGGATGGAATTTGATGCGCTTTGGCACAGATGATCTCGACTATAACACCTTTCAAACAAATGTAGTTTACGCCGTGGCGGACGTGGGTGCAGCGTTCATACATTTTTGCCCAATGTCCTTTGCTATCTCGAACTCCTCCGTGCTTCGGAAGGCACCGGCTTGCTTCAGCAGTCGTTAGCACCCACCAATCCGCAATGGGTCCGCGTGGTGGATAACGGCCCAATCTCCCTATTCCATTCATAGGGGAAGGCCTGTGCCCCAGCAGTGCATCCCTCGCGGAACTCTTCGTGCTGATAGCACGTAGGGTAGTAATGAAACTGCGGGACATTGTACACACTGACCTGGCACTTGGAGCGAGGCCCACCCTGGGGGCGGCCTCGAGGCGTCCACCAGTCGCGTGAGGACGACGCATCCCTCGCGGCACTCCTCGTGGTAAGGGAGCTGCGGGACACTGTCCACTGTACACACTGACCCGGCACTTGGAGCGAGGCCCATCCTGGGGGCGGCCTCGAGGCGTCCACCAGTCGCGTGAGGGCGACGCATCCCTTGCGGCACTCCTCGTGCTAATAGCGCGTAACGTGATAAGGGAGCTACGGGACACTGTCCACTGTACACACTGACCCGGCACTTGGAGCGAGGCCCATCCTGGGGGCGGCCTCGAGGCGTCCACCAGTCGCGTGAGGGCGACGCATCCCTTGCGGCACTCCTCGTGCTAATAGCGCGTAACGTGATAAGGGAGCTACGGGACACTGTCCACTGTACACACTGACCCGGCACTTGGAGCGAGGCCCATCCTGGGGGCGGCCTCGAGGCATACACCAGTCGCGTGAGGGCGACGCATCCCTCGCGGCACTCCTAATGCTAATGGCGCGTAACGTGGTAAGGGAGCTACGGGACACTGTCCACTGTACACACTGACCCGGCACTTGGAGCGAGGCCCATCCTGGGGGCGGCCTCGAGGCGTCAACCAATCGCGTGAGGGCGATGCATCCCTCACGGCATTCCCCGTGCTGGTGGCGTGTAACGTGGTAAGCGAAGCTGCGGGACACCGCGAAAGGAACACGAGTGTTCGCGCACACCTACAAAAATTACCCTTTTAAATACAAACTAGCAAACCAGTGAACCAAATGTTCACCAAAAAAAAATGTATTTAATTAATTGAGAACTTCGGAGATTTTGTGTGGTTTCGTTTGAAATAGAAATCACGTGATTTCTCGAAAACCGGAAGTGCTACGTTACTCACATCCGGTTTGTAGTCTTATCAGACTATTCTCAACTTATAACTTAAACATTCTCTTTATCTATCTCTTCGGTTTGGCCGCTGAAACAGCACCACGGACGGACGGACGGACTTTTCTAATAGATAAGAGATACAAAAAAAAAACTTATGCTGTGCAAACTGTCGCAAAACTAAAATCTGCGACGTGTAGACGTAAAGTTTGTAATTGGGATGATGAACTATCTTTGTTAACAAAGAGTATTAGACACGTATTTTTTTCTTTATTAAGGTAATGAAAACATTACAGAGACAATTATCATTGGCGTGGTAAATTAAACTTAAAAATGTATGTGACCACCCTTAACATTTAGGGGAATGAAAAATAGATGTTGTCCGATTCTCAGACCTACTACATATGTATATAAAATTTCACGAAATTCGGTCGAGCCCTTTCGGAGTAGTTCAATTGTGACACACACACAATGCACACCATGACACGAGCATTTTATATATTATTAGATGAATAAAATAACAATAATTATGCGATAGGTATGAAGTTAATATCAACGCACCTTCTGCTGTGCAGTGTCCAGACATGCCGGTAGCGGTGTGGGCACGTCTCTCCGAAGTATAGGCGGTCGCTCCACATGAGGGAATTCAGTTTCCGCCGCTTGTACGGGAATTACTCCGCCATCTTCTGTCTTTATCTCCGTTAACATTTCAGACTAAAAACCAGACAGATAGAGAGAATAAAAACTATAGAACTAGGTATAGTTCATATCATGTACTAGTGCTTTTGACTACAGCAAGTTCACACAATATTAAATAATTCTGTTAGATATTGAAACTATTCACAGAAAAAAATTGCAAAATGGACAATTTGCTCATTCAATTCTATTCTTACAATTCGCAAGATAAAGCTCAAAGTTAATAGGAGATATTTTAAGGTTTGAATAGCAGTACCTTTATGCTACTACAGCAATTTCTCACTTTTCAAATAATGTACCATGAAAATATTGAAGATTTAAAAAAAAAATACTCAAACAATTGTGCATCTTATAACCAGCCGAATAAAGTTTAAAGGTTTTTAGAGAATATCCATAAAATAGCCCGGTTATCCTATTTATTAACTTGACTTTCAAAAAATAATTAGGATAATTATTTATTTGTTACCAACCTGTCCTTCGCCTCTAAGGTTTCGTGTGCGCATAGCCCGATGTTCTATCGTCTCCGGCATATAATGTATCGTGTGATCTAAGTGTGCGTAGAACGGACCACCTATAACCAGTTATTGTAGTCAAAAAATAATATAAAATATGGATCCAAAGTATAAATTCAATACATTTTGAAAATGTTTAACAGCCCATTTTCGAATTAAACATTACCTGCAATCCATAAGGGATCAGTGAATAACAATTCCTGCCATGGTGTACCATCTTCTTTCCTTCTGCCTAATACATCACCGTTTGGGCATACCAATAACAAATCTTTGCTTCTCACTGTGTCATAATAGTCCGGTTTGTCATCTATCTCCGTTTCTTCTTGTTTGAAATCACATGCTTTTTGCCTGTCCCACCAGCACTGTCTGTGACGGAGTTTTTCGTATTTTTCTAGACAATATTCTATGTGTTGCATACTGAAAATATAATCATCAATTTGTATAATACATTAGATATGTAAATAAAAAATAAATACTTATTGGGAAAAATCTTAGTGAAGCAAGTGTTGCGTGAAATAAACTAACCTATTTCCAAAATATGTAACTAAAGGAATTGCCTGTAAAAATTGATCTGTACATTATACCAGGGAAACGTTCCATCATGACGTCTCACTGGTATGTGACGTCACAACGACTGTCATTAAAACGTCAAGCGAAACAATGAATGTTACTTTAACCGGAAGTTTACTCGCGTGTGACGTCATTTCAGTCTTCGCCAAACCCAGGCATTTTCGGACACGTTACCATAGAACAAATAAATCATTTCTGTTAATTTCTAGAAAAGTTATAAATTATTTGTTCTCTCAGAATAGTAAAATCGCTGCTAATATTCATTTTAAATAAAGATTCCAGCCATTTTTCATACTGTCAAATAGCTTGTTCAAGATGAAAACAAAACAATAAATTAATTTACTTACGCGCATAACCACCCACATAGCATCACCCTATACAGTTCCATCGGAGATAAATCCATAAACCGAGTGAATGCGAAACACCTATCACTCCCGTAAACCCCTTGCCTATCTTCCATGCCTTCACTATCGTTAGCGTTCCGATGCACGTGTTCCGGTATCAAGACAGATAAAATGTTGTATAGCAAATGACGCTTCGATGGAATGGAACGTATTAGGATCCCGTCGTCAGCTAATAACTTTGGTATGTGGTAGTCATCAACTTGCATTGCGAAAGGGGATCTTACGTCCCGCCTTTCGAATAATTCCGGGTGATTACATACCTAAAACATGCAAAACAATTTATATACTGCATTCTAATGTGTTTAATTATAATATCTGGGTTGGTCGGGGAACATTGATAACTATACGATCACATTCAAAATATGATTGCTAGATTTTTAGTTATAAAGGCAATGTATAGTCAAATTGATTGATTGATTATAGGTTATAATTTGAATAGTAAATTTGATAAACACGTACCTTACGGAATTGCATTACTAAATTCATAAGATTTGAAGTGAAATTTTTATCTACATTGTGACCTGACTCTGCACCAACTGAGTAGTGTAACAATTCTTCTATTTTGATTTTCTTCTTTAAAGCTGAAATAAGGGATCACTTTAAAATTTTGTACCTCTCATACACACATATATATAATCGGGATAACGTAAGTTTTTGTCACTTTCAATTGAACAGTTCGATTTTTTTCTACTAACGGTGGCACTGAAGTTGGGTTGTCTGGAAGAAATCGCTGATCAGCGATAAGACCACCCTTTGTGAAACTGTAATAGTTTTTGCTTTCTGTAACATACTATTTGTGTTCTTTATATTATCGATATGCAATAAAGTGTTTTTATCTCATATTCATCAAGTTGATTCCATTACTTTCTTTGCAACAACAAATCTATTTCAATGCATTTCTTATCATTTCAAAATAGAATGAAAACTTATGATTATCACTTACCTATATATAAAAGTTTTTGTCTTATTGTAAGGGGGCAGTGAACCATAATTTCAATTTTATCAGAAAGCTCATTTTCCACATCTTTTTTAATTCGCCTCAACATGAACGGCTTCAATATCATATGCAACCGCGACAAATGTTCTGTAAAACAAATATATCCATTGTACTGGGACCCTTCCCCTTATTCTAGTTAGGACTTTTTTGTAAAATCCTATATTGTAAAAAAAAAGGTGTATGCAACGATACCGATTATTGTAAGTTTTTACGATCATTCGTTATCGTAAATATTACGATAGAGTTTCTAATGAAACAAAACGCATATCACGTTAATTTCTGAACGCAAACCTTTTCTTTGACATTGGCAATTTCGATGAAGAAAATTTAATAAATAAAATGAAACAATTAAAAATGATAACTACTAAAATTAACTTAATTGATAATTAAAAATGATTATCTTTTTTTATTTTATTAAGTCTTAATATTTATATAATAACAGACAGTGATCCAAACAAAGCTTAAAATAAATTCAATAAAAAACTATTAAAAAAAATCGTAATTGTTATAGTATTGGGCCGTTACGATGTATTCATCATTCGTATTGGTACCATAATAGCCATATTGTTGTATCCCAATACAAATATGAGAAACAAATATTAAATCTGACAAAACTAAAGTTAACTATAGGCCGGCCGCGACTTCGTCCGCATGAACTTTATCTTGAAAATCCCACAGACATGAACCTAACATTTTTCTGGGATAAAAAGTGTCACAAAGTTATATGTGATCCTAAATTCATCCAAATCAGTTCATTAGTTTTTGCGTGATTGAATAACAAACATACAAAGATTCACATTTATAATATTAGTAGGATCAGTAGGAAGTAGGATATAGTAGGATACTCACTTTCATCTATGGTACTCTTGTTCTCTGCATGACTTTCAATATCTTTAGAGAACCATTCATTGAATTCTTCGTGTGAGTCGAATAGTGTAGGCATTATAAAGTGGAGTAGCGCCCACAATTCTGCCATACTGTTTTGTATAGGTGTGCCTACAAAAAAAACTGTGTAATGAACATAGAGGTATAAGAATAGAGTATGGGAGATATAGACTCTACTACAAGTGGAAGTGTCCCTCTAATAGAAAGAGAAAGAAGATGAGAGACCGCTAGCTTTCTCTCTCTAATCGCGCATGCGCATTGGCAACCGTAAGCATCTTACTATTTCGATGTGATGCCAATGAATGCCATGCGTCACAAGAGAGAGAGATAGCTAGCGGTCTCTCATCTTCTTTCTCTTTCTACTAGACGGACACTTTTAGAGCCGCCTTCCACACTCTATTCTTATACCTCTATGGTAATGAAATGTGTGATGAAAATGAGACCATCAACTATTGCGGCTTACGACATATTTTTCGAAGTGTTACGCTATAGAGCATAATAATTATCGATTTCTGCATGATAATTTACGATAAGTCTTTTCAAAGATAGAGGTCACAAGACTGAGATGCAGATTGTCTACAAATTATTTAGCATACGGAACTGTTTTATTTACTATAAAATAGTATTGAACATAACCATATGAATAATAACATCAAAGACATGTATTTCAAGTACAGATTCAATTTCTTTAGCTTAAAAGATTTCCAAGTGACTTGGTTCTACCTTTTTCTTACTTTATCTGTGTGTGTGGAGATCTTTACGTTCCCAGAATTGGCTGAGGATTTTCCGCTCGCTGGGACTGCCCCAATATGGCACTAATTTATACGATTTAAAACTTTCTTTAGTAGGTACCTGTAACTTAATTTACCTGACAAAAGCAATCTGTTTCTACAACTGAACCCCAGCAGCAGCTTCCATCTCATACTGGCCGAGCTCTTGATGGCCTGAGCCTCGTCCAATATCATGTACTGCCACGACACTCGGTTCAAATACTTCAAGTCTGAGACCACTATCTGGTACGATGTCACTACTACGTGAAATGCCGCTTGACGCGTGTGGAGATCTTTACGTTCCCAGAATTGGCGGAGGATTTTCCGCTCGCTGGGACTGCCCCAATATGGCACCTGTTACGAATTTGATTAATAATTAGGAAAGTTTACTAGAAAAAAAATCATGCGGACCAGGTAGCAGGCTCAGAAAATTCGACATAATACTCAGTGCATTCGCCCGGATAGCGAAGGGTGCGGGTTCGAGTCCCGTCTGCTGCCTGGTCCGCGTGGATTTTTTTCTAGTAAACTTTTCGTAAGATACATACATCTAGCAGTTAATTGCTTAAAAAATAAAAACGATAATTAGGATTTAGATTATTCCTTTACTTGGGCAACATGGCATAGGTTTTGATTGCAAGCATCAAAATAATGCTGACACTTCAAATGGCTATTCGTGTTTGCTATTGTCACTTTGGCATCAGTCTGCCCTTGTCTTGCTATATGAAGAATAAAACGGAAAGACTGATGTCAAGTTTACAAATAGTAAATACGAATAACCATGAATGAACATGAACCATGGTAGAAGTGTCGGCATTAGTATAAAAGGCGATATCTTTTGACTATGTTGACTTAAGGCCAGTTTCAATAATCAACCTACAGCTAAATGTTAAGATAATCTGGTTCCGTTTCTTAGCGACGAAGCACTAAAAGTAGGCTTACTTTTCACTGAAGTTTGATTATTGGAAGTGGCAGTTAGTTTTTTTCATAAGGGATGCTATAAGGGATTTTTCTGTGAAATAATAATAAATAAATATTTCCAACACTCACACCAATTAGCCTAGCCCCAAAGTAATCACTATAAGGCTTGTGTTATGGGATACTAGGGTAACGGAAAGAATACATATACTGTACATATATATGTATATTTATATAGATATACATATTAAACATCCGTGACGGAGGAGTACAAATGCTCGTATTCATCACACAAACATCTGCCCCCACCGGGATTTGAACCCGGGACCTCTCAAGTCGGCGACACCATGAAACCCGGGGTACAAAACGTTCGAATACGGAGGTCGTCTAATTTATAACCGGCCAAGTGCGAGTCGGACTCGGGCACCGAGGGTTCCGTTCAAACTCAATTAAATACCTCTACGCGTTCATGAGAAGAGGTAGTAACTTTAAAATTTTCAAAAATATTTTTTATTATATGATGTAACTAAAATTTTACGGTTTTCGCAGTGTTTCCTTTATCTGTACTATTAGACGTTACTTCGTACCAAATTTCAAGACTCTAAGTTCAGGGGAAGTACCCTGTAAGTTTTGATTCCAGTGTGAGTTTCGAAAATTTGCGGCTTAAACGGCTGTATCTTTTGATTGCTTTGGCTTAAAAGTTTGATTTTTTCACAGCTCCAAGGGACAGTAGACATGAGTATTAGATATGAATTTCAGTTTGATACCTCCACGCGTTCCTGAGGAAAACGGTCTTGACAGACAGACGGACAACAAAGTGATCCTATAAGGGTTCCGTTTTTTCCTTTTGAGGTACGGAACCCTAAAAATGACGTATATGTATATGTTTCTAGATATTATATTTTATAAGTAAGTACTACTGTACCGCCACTGACCACTCTGAAGGAGGGCACGAATCTCTCCATCTCCTGCTGCCAGTTGTGCAGCGTCGAAGCGGGTGAAACGACCAGGAAAGGACCCCAAACACCCAGACGCTCGGCCACGTGGCATAGAAACGCGATGCATTGTACGGTCTTGCCTAGACCCATCTCGTCCGCTAGAATGCCACTGATGCCCTATGAATCAAAAAATAGTAAATATTTTAATTTGTATTTTTAACCCTCACACCAGTTAAATATCCTAGCCCCAAAGTAAGCACTGTATTGTGCGATTCAAATAATAATAGGAAAGCCAATGACCTCCATCTGTCAAATGTCGCTTAAAAAGTACGGTTTGCAAAAAAATCTTGGAACCTTTTTTTAGCACTCTGCTAATTCTAGAATAGAAACCAAACATTTGTAAACAAACAGTAACAAATATTGATAATAAATATTGGTTGTTTTTTTTTAATTTTTTGCGTTTTGGTTATGAATGGTTGATAACCTAATCGTCAACCAAATGTCACTTTAAGTTGCGTTCAGAAGTCCTATTTAAATTTTCGTTTACATAAAGGATGCATGTTCGTATGTGACCTAGTAATAGTGCATGATTATTCATAACTACTCCGGCGGTAATACAGAGATGAGCGGAATTGAAGAGCTAGATTCTGATTAATATTTGTTCTCACACAGTCTTAATAAATAAATAGTAGGGTAAACTTCCAGTCATTGGACAATTAACGGGCATTTGAAGGCTTTGAAACGTTTATGAACACATTTACAAAAATCCCGGCGAATATTATTGTTATTTTATTAGTTTAATATGTAACTTTGTGTAATACATTATTAAAAACAGCATTTAAGACGATAAACGCGAAAAAAAACCTTTTAAAAAAAATTTACAAAATATATAGTCATTGGACAGAATTTTTATTGTTGGACAGCATCAACTAATTAATGGACAGCACTTTAATGAACTTTTAAATTATCAAAATAGTCAATAATATCTGCTTTTAAAGGAAATAAATAAAGTATAAACTGTTCGTAATTACATTTATTAGGAAATAATCAATTGGAACATATATTTTTATATCTTAGAATGAATTGTTTAATCACATTTGGTAACAAAACTTATATTATTCAGTCTTACTAAATCTAAGGTACTTCTATAAAGCTTTTAACATAAAATAAAATTATAAAATTTACTTCGAAATAAAACAATGTCGTCTCACGCAGTCTTAATAACAGGTTTTTCTTCTATTCAATTCGATCATGTAATGTTTGTGCATCATCACCACCAGCTTCTTCACTATTCCTTTCAGAGCTGAGATCATGAGTGTCGTCATGACTATCTTCTTTATAGCAACTATGGCATATAAAAAGATCAATTCTTAAATCTTCGGGAACATGCTGTTGATGCTTAGCTGGTATACATTTTACGTGGAATATCGCCGAACACATATCACATACCACCCGATTTGATGTCTTAGTCGACTTACAGCATACCTTGCACGCATTTGTTGAAACAGCTTGAGCTTTGTTAACATTCTTTTTAGTTTTCTCTATCTTTTTCTTTTCTTTTTTAATTTAGTTTCTTCCTTTTTCTTCTTCTTTTCCTCTTTTGCTTTTGTTTCTAATTCTTTTTTTGACAGTTGTTCTTTAAACATTGCTCTATATTTGGCAGACGTTATTGCAAATGGCTTTCTCACGGTGTTCCTTTTACCTTTCCTTTCGGGTGTTTTTGGCAAAGTCAAAAAATTTCCCAAAAGGCTGTTTGAAACAACTTTAAAAGCAGGGCTAGTCTCTATTGCTGAACATTCACTTGTGCTGAGCTTACATAAATATTATTAGAATTAACAATTTGTTTGGCTGGAGTCATGTTTTCTGAACTTTCAGGAACAACATCCGATATAAGAATATCTTTATTCAAATTATCATTCTTGGAAAATATACACTGTAAGACATTTACTTCGTTATTTTCATGTGCATCAAATATTTGCTCCCGTGCCATATCATCATCACATCGACTTTCGTTATTCATTTCTATTTCTTCATTGGGCTGAATAGTCAAAGGCGGATCTATATGCTCTAAAGGTATATTTACTTCACGGCTGGTTGAATTATTTTGTGCTGATGATGACTGAGAGGAGTAAACGTCAAATACTGAGTAGAGACGGTACAAAATATTCAAGTTTTCGTCATCTACAGGGTTATTACCATAAGTATACAATTTTGACATAATAGATGGTCCAACCAATTCTTTAAATTTTGCCAAAGTAATAGCATTTGAAGTATTTGTTTCAGGTTGCTGCTGAACAGCCAGAACATCTGTACCTGAATTATTATTGTTGTTTATTCCACCAAGGCACTTCGAATAGTCTACTGCGTTAGGATCGAATGGTACTAAATCACAACAACGAAACCCATTAATCAGAGTATCTGGTTTTATAGACTTTTGTAATGCTAGTTCCAGAACACATGCAAAATTCACTTTTGTAATTGGTTCGCCGTTGTTTTCTAAATGCCATAACTTTACAGCGTCTTTCCAAGCAGCCTTAACTGGCCTAAACACGGCTACGTCGTAGTAGCATTAGGATACAATACTATTACTTCGATGCCCAACTCTTTGCACAGCTTACTTACACCATAAGTAAGATGAGTTTTATGTCCATCTAAAAAATATATGACAGGAAATTGCACGCCTTTGGCAATCAGATGAGGGTGAAATATGTTTGCTATGTATTCGAAGAACAGTTCGAATGTCATCCATCCATTTTTACTTCTACCAATTCCCCATTCTTTGGGAACTCCGTCCGCAATTTTTTGAAGTATTCTTTGATAGTTGTAAACAACCATAGGGGGACACGCGGTACCATCAGCGGAAAAAGTGAACATTACCGTGACTGACTCCTTGGCATTACCTTGATCAACTTTATATACATTTTGGGTTCCTTTCTCTGCTAGCACTTTACCCGTTTTTGGACATAATTGGAATCCACTTTCATCGCCATTATAGATTCTAGATGGTTCATTAAAAATATTTAGCAGGTTGTTTTGCGACAAGTAGTCATGAATTTCACAGAACCATTTTCTGATATCAGATTCCGAAACACATGCACTAGATTGTGTTACACCTTCACTGGTACGGAATACGATGGCTGGATGTCGTCTTAAAAATCCTCTTACCCATCCATCTCCAGGATAATTATTAATAAACTTATTGGGTGGTGGATTTCGGTCAAAAACTTGAAAACACTTTGTTTTAAATCGTCATTTTTTAAAGGGAATCCTTTCTTCATAACTTCCTTTATCCAAACCTCTAAAGTACGCTCCTCTTCTTCAGTCAGAACGGGAGGTGGACGAAAAGATGTTCTATGGGTTGGGTTTTTGAGTTTGAAATGTAAGGTAGACTTGGAAATACTGTATTTTCGCGCTATTTCTCGAATTTTACCAGTTTCTCTATTAGGGTCATAGTCTTTCTTTTTCCCCTTAGGCATTTTTTTTTCTCTTCTAAAATCCGCTATCCAAGATTACCTGCAGCCAACGAGTTATTGGACACATTAATATGAGTCGTTGGACACCCTGTCCAAAGACTAGTAGAAAATGTCTTAAAGCAATAATATAAAATGTAGTTGCTTTTGCTTAAAAATTAAGGTAGGAGAGTTTATAACACTTTGAGGTGGTGAGGGTCCTGACCAAGAAGTCCCGGCACCTGAAGGGAACGTGCCAAAAGGCCATCAAGCATGGCGCGGGTTCCCTGCTGGCGGTGGTCGAGGCCCTGGCAAACAGGCAGACGTCAGAGGAGGTTAAGCGGTTGCAGGCGGACAACAAGCGCCTGCAAGAAGAACTCAGCAAAGTTACCGCTGAGCTCGCCGCCTTCAGAAAGGCCTTTGAGGAGTCGAGGTCAGGGCGCTGCAAGGAACCAGCTGCGCCCATTGTGGTGGAAACCCCTCGGGGCACTGGAGGGGAGGAGGTCTCCATGGTGAGGAGGGAGTTGGAGGAGCTGAGGAGGGAGCAGAGCTCTCTGATGCAGCAGTTCGGCAACATGCTCCAGGCCAGGTTAGAGGGCCTGGAGGTCGACGGCCGGCTGTTGCCCACCTCTGTCAAACCGCGCCGCCCGCCCTTGGCCGCGGATACAAAGGCCGCAGCGCAGAAGCCGCCAACGACTGCGCGGCCGGCTGGGGGTAGTGCGAATGCCCCTACAACCCTTACCCCGCCCGCCAACATGCCCGAGAAGGCCAAGGGTAAAGGCAAAGGCAAGGGTAAGGGCAAGGGAAAGAGCAGGAAAAAAGAGAATGCAACACCAGAGGTTTCCACTCCCACTCCTCCTACTGTGAGGAAGGAAAGGCCGGCGGCTGACCCGACTCCAAGCGGGAGCGCGCCACTAGTGGCTGAGGGACAGTGGGTGGCAGTGGGAAAGGGGGGAAAGCCAAAGAAGGCTCCGGCACCGGCCCAAATACCCACCTCTGCGGCCCAAAAGCCTAAAAAGAAGAAGGCCGGGAAGAAAAAGGTCCCTAAGGTCCCGAAGCCACCGAAAACGATGGCGGTGGTCGTGGCCCTCAAACCGGAGGCGGTGGCCGGGGGGGCCACCTATAAGGATGCCCTGACCAAGGCCAGACAGTCGGTCAACCTGGGGGAGCTGGGCATTGGCCCAGCGAAGTTCCGGACGACAATAACAGGAGCACGCATTATTGAGCTCCCGTCCGGGACCACGGCGGCCCAGGCAGACACACTGGCGGCTAAAGTGAGAGAGGCCCTAGGTGAGTCGGCTAAGGTTTCAAGGCCTACCAAGACGGCAGAGGTCCGGGTGTCGGGGCTGGATGATGCTACGACACCCGATGAGCTGAGGGCGGCTTTGGCAACAAAGGCCGGCTGCACCCCTGAGACCATAAAGGTGGGGGCAGTTTCCAGTGGTCCAAGAGGGGCGGGCTCGGCGATCGTCTCATGTCCGGTGGAGGCGGTCGCCAAGATTGTGAAGGAAGGGCGGCTACAGGTCGGTTGGTTTGAGGCGACGGTCCGGCTCCTGGAACGGCGCCCAATGAGGTGCCATAGGTGCCTGGCGCCCGGGCATCCAGGGGCCAAATGCCCCTCCAAAAAGGACCGCAGTGGATTGTGCTACCGCTGTGGCAAAGAGGGGCACAAAGCCAAGGGCTGCTCTGCTCCGCCGCACTGCGACGTGTGCGCGGACAGAGGACTTGTAGCCGGGCACCGGATGGCGGGGGCCAAATGTAACCCCCCGCTGGTCAGGGGCCGCCCTCTCCATATAGGGGCACCCCCCAGGGACGCGTCGCAGGCCGCACCTCGTGCAGGGCCCAGCAGCGCACAGCCGGTATCGGCTTCTGTAGCGACCCCGATGTCCGTTAATAATGCCCTATAGGACATCGGGGAAGATACTACAAATTAATTTAAACCACTGCGCTGGGGCACAGGACCTCCTGTGTCAGGTGGCGGCGGAGTGGAGGGTGGACGTGGTGCTCGTCTCGGAGCCGTACCGCATCCCCCCGTCCGACAGGTGGATGGGGGCGGTAGATGGCTCCGCGGCAGTCGTGGTTACTGGCGCGGGCTCCTCCCTCGTTTTCGTGGAAAGAGGAGAGGGGTATGTGGCGGCCCGATGGGGAGAAGTAGTGGTAGTGTCGACCTACTTCTCCCCTAACCGCAGCAGAGCCGATTTTGAGCGGTTTCTGGCTGCGGTCGAAGGGGTCGTCCACCGCGCGGCCCCCCGTCAGGTACTGGTGGCAGGGGACTTTAACGCCAAGTCTACGGCGTGGGGGTCACCCCGCACTGACATTCGGGGTGGTATTCTGGAGTCCTGGGCTTTCTCTCTGGGGCTCCAGATCCTCAATCGAGGTACCACCCCGACCTTCGCCCGCTGGCAGGGCACGTCTCTAATCGACGTGTCCTTTGCCACCCCACCGCTCGCGGCCCGGGTCCGGGACTGGCGGGTGGTGGTGGACATGGAGAGCCTATCGGACCACAGATACGTCCGATACGAGGTCTCCACGGCATTCCCTGGGGCCCCTTCTCATCTGGGCCCCCGTGTGGGCGTCTCACCGTTTAGGCGCTGGATGCTCACACGCCTCCAGCCTGATGTGGCGGAGGAGGCGGCGACAGTGCGGGCTTGGTCTGAAGTGCCCGACACTGTCGCCGGGGATGCCGACGGCATGGCGGACCTGTTCGCAGACGACATCAACGCCGTCTGCAGTGCCGCCATGCCGAGGGCGCGGGCCTGCCCACGGAGCAGGGGGCAGGTTTACTGGTGGACGCAGGAGCTCACGACCCTGCGTACCGCCAGTATGGAGGCCAGGCGCGCCTACCTACGGTGCCGTAGGCGCGCCCGGAGAACGCCCGGTGAGGAGGAAAGCCTCCGCCGGGCGTACAATGAGGCCCACACGGCCCTGCGAACTGCCATCTGCAGGGCCAGGGTCGCTGCCTGGGATAGTTACATAGCTATCCTAGATAGCGACCCCTGGGGGAAGCCGTACAGGGCGGTTAGGGGTAAGTTCGCTTCGGCGGCCCCCTCAACGTCCTGTATGGAGCCAGGGTTGTTGCGAAGGGTACTGGGGGCGCTTTTTCCGAACCCAGGACCTTTCGCACCCCCCAGGATGGCCTCTGGTTTCGCCCCGGAGGCGTGGGCCGCTGGTCCCTCCGTGTCGGACGCTGAGTTCGACATGGTGAGGGACAGGCTCCGGAGCCGTAACAAGGCTCCGGGGCCGGATGGGGCCCCAGCCAAGGTGATGGCGATCGCCTTGGGCCCCCTGGGGGACCGATTCCGCGCGGTGCTGGATATATGCATCGCATCGGGTCGCTTCCCCAGGCGCTGGAGAGAGGGGCGGCTCTGCTTGCTCCGCAAAGAGGGCCGCCCGGCGGACTCTCCAGCGGGCTATCGGCCGGTGGTGTTGCTCGATGAGGCCGGGAAGGCGTTTGAGAAAATCATCGCCTCCCGGATCATCGAGCACATAGAGGGCACGGGGCCGGACCTGGCAGACTGCCAGTACGGCTTCCGCACCGGCCGGTCCACGATGGACGCAATAGGCCACCTCAAAAGGTGGACTGAGGTGGCCACAGCACGGGGGGAGGTGGTGATCGCGGTGTCCCTGGACATCGCGAACGCTTTCAACACCATCCCCCACGAGTGCATAGAGGCGGCGCTCGAATTCCACCGAGTGCCCCTCTACCTCCGCGCCCTCGTGCGGGACTACCTGCGGGACAGGTCAGTCCTCTACGAGGACGCGGAGGGGTGCGTTCAGTCGTGGACAGTGGCGGCAGGTGTGCCCCAAGGTTCCGTTTTAGGCCCTCTATTATGGAACCTGGGGTACAACTGGGTCCTGCGTGGCTCGCTCTTGCCGCGAATGGATGTCGTCTGCTTCGCGGACGACACCCTTGTCGCGGCGAGAGCGAAGGAGTGGGAGGAGGTGCTCCACCTTGCGTCGGTCGGCACCTCTATGGTCGTCCGACGCATCCGCCTCCTGGGGCTGGAGGTGGCCCTCGATAAAACGAGGGCCATGGCGTTCCATGCCCCAGGACGCAGGACCCCACCGGGGCTCCGTGTCCGGGTTGAGGGGATCCAGGTTCATGTCGAGATGCACATGAAGTATCTCGGCCTGACCCTGGATCCCCGGTGGAGGTTCGAGGAGCATTTTAGGCTCCTCGCTCCCCGGCTGTGCGCCGCCGCAGCCGGACTCGGACGGCTCCTCCCCAATGTGGGAGGGCCGAGGGCGTCGTGCCGTCGACTTTATAATGGAGTGATAAGGTCGATGGCACTGTACGGAGCCCCGGTGTGGGCGGAGTGCCTTACGTCCCGCACGAAGGCCCTCTTGCGGAGGCCACAGAGGGTCATCGCGGCCCGGGCCGTGCGGGCTTACCGCACGGTCAGCCACGGGGCTGCCTGCGTCCTCGCAGGTACGCTCCCGTGGGAGATCGATGCCCTGGTTCTGTCCCAGGTGCATCGACACAGGGCCGCGGCGAGAGAGCGGGGCGAGCGGCCCGTTCGGGAGGAGATCGAACGGGTCCGCACCCAGGCGCAGAGGGAGGCTCTGCGCCGATGGGGTGAGGCACTCGCCAACCCAGCCGCTGGCCACCGGACGATCGAGGCGATCCGTCCGGTGTTGGAGGAGTGGGTAGGGCGCCAGCGGGGCAGCCTCACCTACCGCCTGGTGCAGGTACTGACCGGACATGGGTGCTTTGGCCACTACCTGCACCGTGTCGCCCGTCGGGAGGAGCTGCCGCGGTGTCATCACTGCGCCTCCCCCGACGACACGGCCGAGCACACACTGATCGTGTGCCCGGCCTGGCGAAACGAGCGCCGCACGTTGGTGGCGGCGCTCGGCGGTGGAGCGCTCTCATTGCCAAGTATGGTTCGAGCCATGCTTGGCAATGAGAGAGCATGGAAGGCTGCCGCCTCCTTCTGCGAGGTTGTGATGGGGCAGAAGGAGGCAGCGGAGAGGGAGCGGGAGGAGGACGCTCTGGCCGCTCCCCTCCGGCGTAGACGGGTGGGCCGAAGAAGACAGGCGGCTTTGACCGCCGGTCTTCGTCGGCCCTAAGGTGGACTGGGCGCAGCATGCCAGCCGCGCGTCCTTGGTGCCATTCGGCATAGGCCACCCCGTCTGGGGATTACCTAGTACCCTAGAGTAATCCCCCCATAGGCGCGTCGCCCGGTCCACTCGTTGGGCCGGGCCAGCCCTAGGACGCTCTGGTGTAGTGGCGCACGTAGGTGCACCGATCCCAGAGCGCCCTCATAAGGGCCGAGGAGGGTACCGGTGGTTTTTAGTGGGTAGGACCGGCGTTGTTCCACGCCGGGGAGTCCCACACACGTCGCGCGCCTGGCAAGCGCGCGGTATGGTGCGTAAATGCATTTTCCACCGTCAACAAAAAAAAAAAAAAAAAAAAAAAAAAAGGTAGGAGAGTTTATAATAGCTTAAATTTATTTCAATTTCAAAAACACAGTTATTGAACACCTGTCCATTAATCAGATTTTAACATTAAAATATTTGAATCATTGGACTGTAGATTATAACCTAAAAAATATGTTTTAAGGTCACCAATTCCTATAAATTCTATGGTAAATACGATAATGCTTTACTGTGTACACGACTAAGCATATGGGATTAACGATAAGAAAATTAACTGCTATAAACTTTGTTGATAAACTTACCGAATTCTTTATTTTTCACTAGAAATACCGCCGACTGTGAGAACGCTAACAAAAGTAAACAAAAATTACCTACTACTGCCATCTATTACAAATGTTTTGAACTATTGAGTATTGTCAAAAAGCAACGTTTAGAAAGAAATTAGTTCCAGTGTTCCCGTTTTTAAAGCAACCTTAATTTACATGATTTTATTGTGTTCTGTCCAATGCCTGGTAGCGTCCAATCTTAGTAAATAAATTTTATTTAAAAAATCTGATGTTTATTTTGTCACTTAATCTTGGTAAATAAGTTTAATTAAATAAAGTCTTTTTTGCTCACTACCTATTTGGTTTGAATTGACAGCTATGACGTCACAATATGGCGCCCAGTTGGTCCTATTCTTAGTTGAATTGCATTATCCCTGATCGTGCATATTGGCGAGCCAGTTCATCCCTCTGAGCCTGAGTTCACCGGGCCATAGCTCCGGTTCCGATTCCGGTTCCTCTATATGTATTGCCATTAAACTACCTACCTGATCGTACAGATTGGCGAGCCAGTTCATCCCTTTGAGCTGGTATCCTTTAAGCGTGCCCTGGAATATGTTAGGTTGGTCATAGTCGCCGGGCCGCCGCTCTGGTTCCGATTCCGGTTCCGGTTCGCATCCGGTGCTGGCCGCCGCGTCGAATTGTCGAGTTCGCGCGCGCTCCGCGTGGAAAGCTTCACGCGCGTTACGTGAGGCTCGCGCTTTCATAGCTTCGCTGTAAAAACGTCGTGTCTTTTAATGATATGTGAACGAGTAATGATGGTGCTAGGGGGCATGAGTACCGCGATATGATAAAGCTTTTATCACACTTTGAAACTTCCACGTTTCGATCGGTGTTACCCGATCGAAATGACATCTAGTGAAGACGGGATAAAGAAGGTACGAAAACCTTTATTTAATCCGTGAAATTTTATATTTATAAGCTTTAAATCCACAATCAACTATCAAAATCCATTGCAGTTTGACAGTCAATGACGATAAATCGCTTTATTATATCGCATTTTGCCGGTCATGCTATGCCATGTTCCTTTATTATACATTTTTTGTTATTAACTTTGTACTATTGATGATGCTTTAAAGCACATGCAGACTGTGGAGAGGGGCGTCACACAGTAAACGTCACCGAACCAAACGTTTTGGCGGTAAATTCAAAACCATTAAAAATAAATTCAACTTTAATTGGTTTAATGGAGAAAAAAAGACATTAATTAATTTATATTTATTTTTCTTTTAAATTGTTTGTCCCAATCTTTAAATATAAGCAGTTTACAAAAAATTTGAAAATACCCTATTAAATGCTTACAAATAAAAATATAATAATTTCAAACAGTTATTATTATATTTAAGAAAATATCTTTAGCTATATAAGAGACAGATCTAAATATAAACATATTCCACAACTTACCTATCATATTGATCAATTGAAGCCAATCTCGGGTCCCTATCTTCGTCGAGCTGCCGTAGAATTCTGTCTGCTCCACAATCGCCGTCCACCGATTCAGAGTTCAGTTTCCGCTGCATGAAATGAGCGTACAACTCTGTTTGGGTGATAAGGAAGTTCAGCTTGCGACGTTGCCGTTTAGCCTCCATTAGTTCTACATCCATCTAGTGAAAGATAATGATTAAGCTTGAAAAAAGTTTCACAAGTTATTTCATATTTCATTAAAAGTTGTTTCCATAAACCAGGGATGAGAAAACTTTCTCCTTAGCGTGCCAATATTTGCTATCAAAACCTATGGCGGGCCCGGTTTTTTATTTTAATTTTCGACTGAAAAAAGTCAAGTCGTTGGTAGGTATTTCTAAAATATTTGGTATTAATAAAATAAAATTTTAAGTTTGCTCTGAAGAAAGAGTCAGTTTTGACAGCAGAATGATCCTTGACGGGAAATGTGCCAAAATGGTACTATTTTAAGTCAGTGGAGTGATGGGTAGTTGGTGGGATTTGACTTTCTTTTTTTTGCCGGAGATAGTGCGCGGGCCGTGGTTTTCCCAGGGCTGCCATAGACAGAGATTTGACTGAACGATACGAGCAAACTCTCTAGAAAGAGCGTAAAACAGTTAATATCTTACGAACTACAGGCACACTCACTGAACAGTTTTACTTTACAAGAGTCAAGGAATGCTTTGCCCATTCTATTCGGTACCTTTCTCTGTTCCTCTGCTTCTTTCTCCATCCGTCGCCTCGTTTCGCGCTCGACTCGGTCGTACCGTCTCCAGTACGCTTGCATTTCTCGACTAAGTCTTTTGCATCGCCACACTGTCTCCTTCATATTTTTCTGAGACTAAAATAAATGAGATGTTCTTTTAAAATAAGTAAGTAAGAAGGTGCGACAGAAAATAAAACTTTATTTACTACACAAAAGATACACTTTTTATTGAAAGAATTATAAAATGCCCTATATAACTTCGCACTGCACAAGGAAATCTTTTTGTACAAACACAAATCAACGAGGTGCCGCTATTAAAAATTACGCCGTGTATTGTCTCACTGTGTAAACTAACCCTAAGTAAGAATTAGCATTTTAAATCATCAAACAGCTATATCTACTAAAGTATGGCCAACAAGCTCCGATACAAAAGTTCATTCACCTTATACAAGACTATGGCAGTCTAATAACTATCTCTTTCACCTCATATGTATGATATTAGGTCTCGTTCTGTCATGTCAAGTCATCGCCGAGGCGCCGATACTAGCTCATGGTAATAACAAATAATTTTTGATGCGATTTTCTGTTTTGATAATATTAATCATAGTTTTCTACATTTTATTTAAATATGGCATCTCTTATCTATTAGACAAGTCCGTCCGTCCGTCCGTGGTGCTGTTTCAGCGGCCAAACCGTAAGAGATAGATAAAGAGAATGTTTAAGTTATAAGTTGAGAATAGTCTGATAAGACTACAAACCGGATGTGAGTAACGTAGCACTTCCGGTTTTCGAGAAATCACGTGATTTCTATTTCAAACGAAACCACACAAAATCTCCGAAGTTCTCAATTAATTAAATACATTTTTTTTTTAATCAGGTTTTGGTGAACACTTGGTTCACTGGTTTGCTAGTCTCTTATCTATTAGAGAAGTCCGTCCGTCTGTGGTGCTGTTTCAGCGGCCAAACCGTAAGAGATAGATAAAGAGAATATTTAAGTTATAAGTTAAGAATAGTCTGATAAGACTACAAACCGGATTTGAGTAACGTAGCACTTCCGGTTTTCGAGAAATCACGAATTTCAAACGAAACCACACAAAATCTCCGAAGTTCTCAATTAATTAAATACATTTCTTTTTTTAAATCAGGTTTTGGTGAACATTTAGTTCACTGGTTTGCTAGTATATTACTAAAATGATAAACATCCTATATTAATTATAATAAAAAAAATGTCATTTTCAAAAAATGGCCAACCTCTGCATTGGTCAATGATCTTTCAATGACTTTGTTCACATTTTGTATCGCTCCTCAATAGCAGTACTTTTTTTAGTCTGTGGCTGTTTCCGGTTTACACAAATTAAATATATCTCATAAATTACAGCAGCATTTAATATTTTAAATAAACTATGACAAGGTGTGGTAGTATGTTAAAACCAACTCCCTCACACTTGGGGCGTTTATACTGTGATTATGTTACTGCCGCTTAGTGCCGTCCTTTTTTGTTTCTCGACTTTTTCCCTTTCTACTGAGGTGGTCTTATTTGATGTCAATTGGGTTTTAAGAAATAAATTGTTTTTTTTTTTTTTGTTTTATCTTTAAGTTTTAAGAATATTTTTATCAACTTTAAATTAGAACTAACAAAACTTGACAAAAATCTAGTTTGGTAACCTTTTCCGCTTTATTGTAAATAATGGACTAAAAAAAAAATTACTCCTTTGCAGCGGTATGGCGGCCATTGGGAACTGTCGGAAAAGTATGGCAAGGTGATTTTCGTGAATGGCTACTCGACGATGATTAGCTGTGCAAAAATTAGCCTGGTACAAATGGTTGAATTGTTTTATTTAAATTAATGTATTCGCGTCGGTATGGCGGGCTGTAAGTCACACCCGAGAAGTATGGCATTACGCTACCGCCTACTTCTTTTTTTCGACTATCTGAAAATATAAGCATTTTTGTGGAACAAATCGTTCGACACTCGTTATTTATCCGACGCGTTCGATTAACGCCCACGCGATTGGGCCGCCGGTGCGAGCGCTATGACCATCATTTTCCTTTTTGCCTTTACGTAATTAGACCCCTGAAGAACCGCCATACTGGTACAAATGACCAAGTATTTTGTGTCATCATCTCCCGGTCTATAAAGTAAGCATTGATTGAAATCCAATGTTGTCTGTCTTCTTTTTAGAAGAATAAATATATATTTCTGTCTTCTTTTTTAAAGATAAAGCGACAGCATTAATTTTAGTCCAGGTTTAACTTTAGTCTTTGTTTTGTAATAAGGCAGATTATGCCTATAAATTTAAATACCTGCATAGCAACATGCCTCCAATGCTTGCAACAGAGTGTAGCCAGCCTCTTCCTTTGCAGCATCACTTCTCTGTGTGTAGCCGTCCTCGCTCTTTGCACTTTACCCAACTCTTTCTTCACCAGTAATAGCCAGTGACGTCTTCTGCGCGCGGTTAGTGCTTCAGGGCTCTTTAATGTGGACAGCTTCTTGCGGCCCCTATGTATTCAATTCATTATAATTATTATTAAACGAGCACCATTCAAAAGAAAATGCTTCTAAAACTGTCTACTGTTACTACATGTTGCAATAGCAATATATACATAAATACTTTGTTGTATGAGAAAAGCTTTAAAGCAACATAGCAGTTTTCCATCATTTTAAATAATTCATTACACTAACTTCTTATAACTTTCGACGTATAATATATCCAACCATAATAGCTTCATGATAAATAACTCACCTAACTCCTGGTTTGTCTACAGCTGGACTGTATTCTTCTGTATCATTCTCTTGTTTGAGATTACGTAGCTGCTCTTCCCAATCAACACCATCAGGCTAAAATAACACATTATTTTACACTAATCATACTCATAAAAGTAATAAGTAATTATTGCTTTTATGAGCAATCGTAATTTCATCATCAACTGATGCCATACCAAATCTGCACCGCCTTCATTGCAAGCTTTGCTTTCTCTAGCACGGCCTCGTCTAGATTTCTGCATGCCTCTTGTAGACCCTCTTTCAGAAGGTCTGCCCCTGCGACCTCTAGTAGAAGGTGGAGGGGGTGCTGCGCGACTTATTCGCCTCTCTGGGTACCGGTCCACAGTCGAAAGTAAACCAGCGCCATAATACATGTAACGCGAATTCTATAACAAGTAATAATATAATAAAAACTTCAGCACAATCGTTTGCAGTATTAAAAAAAAAACATTAAAATTCTCTAATAATATCTTTTCATTGTGCTGCAGCACACTCTGATCATAATTTATTTGAGTTTTTTTTACCATCTGTGATGGTGACATTTTGTCTCTGTCCTGTTGCTTGTATCAGCAAATCTTGTCAGTTTGAGAGATACCTTGCATCAAAATTGGACATTGTTCTGTTTCATGAAATACATCAAACTTGGGTTCAAGTTTGTTTTTCTCAACCAATGATTAGAATGTTAGGGTACCCAAGGGAAGAAAAGGGAAACAACTAAAGAGATGGGAGGATGATATAGTGAAGTTAGCAGGAAAACTTGGACAAGGCTGGGAGAGTAAAAAGTGATAAGAGTTGGAGGCCATTACCAAAAGGCACACAGAGTTTGACGAGTAATAAAAATGTACACAATTATTTTTTTTATAAAGAATATGAGAAATATAATTAATACCTAAATAAAAATAAAAAAGCTAATGAGAGGGAACAAACAGTTTTATGAATCTTTGATCTCAGATATAAAAAACTATGTTTCCTAAATTACAGAATCTATAAATATATACTCTGGGAACTAAGTAACTAGCTCACTCAAAAACCAATACATATTTAGATTTTAAGTCTATTTTAGAAATGAATTTGGACTTGAAAAATCTATTAAAATAGCCTATATACTGGACAACCACAGCCAGTACTATGACTGCACCATTACCACTTTCTAAGAATTACCTAATTATTTCAGCGTGTAAGCTTTTCATATCTAAACCCTTGTTTACACTAAGAAACAATTCATATACTAGTTTTACACAAAACTTTCAGAATGCTTGTTGCAACTTTTTAAAACTTTATTTCATTTACAATGCAAAGACAACTAGTATCTTTACAAGTATAAATCACTTCAGATAATTTGTTTTTCCAACAAGGTTGATGAAGTATTCTATACTAGGTACATGTTTTATACATCTATGTGAACAAAAAATTAAGACATTGTATATAAAATTTGTTCAATACATGTACTATACCTTGGTGTAAAGGAGGGGTAAAGATTGTTATTATTATATAAAATCAGTGAGTCAATGGTGTAGATTCCGGCATGATTCTCTGAACTTATACTAAATTTATTATCAGTCTCTACTTTCGATTCTGTCTAGAGAATGACAAGGATACAATGTTGTCAAATTTAAGTTTAGGTTTAGGGAACCATGTAAGAATCAAAACCATTAAGTAAATACATTAGGCTAGATTATAGATACTTACACCTGGGTCCTTATAATATTTTTTGGCATATTTGTTATGGTTACGTCTTTCTTTAAGTATACGCTGAAGCCTAAGCTCCTTGCCAGCTGGTGTATCATCTTCACTGCTGGTATCAGACCCAGAGGAGAGAAGAACATCACGCAGCCATTGTCTCTCTTCACCAACTGATGCCAAATTGTACAAACGAAGTCTATCACTTTGACGTTCTGAAAGAGACCAGTAAAAAAATATATTCCATCCATAGGGAAGGCCTGTGCCTCAGCAGTAGAAACAATAATAATGTGATAATGATAAATGTCAACACAGGTAAGTTACCAACCTTGTCTCGTTGTTACTACTCCATGGACTACTCTGTCTCCTTTGGACATTTCATTTTCAATAGATTTGGCATCAGAATCATCTTCACTTTCAGTCTCATCTTCTGAATTTAGAATTCTTTCCACTTGACTTACAAAGGGACGTATATCCAGGGCAGCTTCTAGTCTTTGAATATGCACTGGTCTCGCAACCTCATGCCGCTTGAGAACAGATTTTCCGACCGTCTTCTCAGTCATGGTAAAAGAATCTGTTAACCATACAAATAATAAGGTGTAGGTAGGTACAATGTAAATGTATGATGAATACAAAAATTTGCTTATACTCAAGAAAAACAAGTTAATAATGGCTTGATGATATCGGCAACCGTGCCATGATTATGATACACAAGTCCTGAATAATTCGAATAGCATTTCGACCGTGGCGGCACTTACCCCTGAGCTGAACTTTACCGATTTTTGTTTTTCACGTCGTGATTACTTAACACAGGAGCATTTACAAAATGGCGCACGAGATTATTCGACAAATCGCTGTCAATGTCGCCGCCCGAGCGGCGCACATTGCTACTCATTTCGTTTTTGAGCTCGAAAAAACAAGAAACCGCCATAATTGAAGATTTTTTTTTTCACATACAATGTTTACCTATCCCATCTCTTATTGGTGATACACTAACCCAGCTGTTGTGTCACCAATTGTATAACAGTACTTTTCTAAAACAACCAATCACCTTGCGTGATTAAATGAACCTGATTGAAATTGAACAGTGTAATTGAAAACATACCAACTTTTATAGATGCGTTCAATTCATATTTTTTTCATAAATTTATTAATGCAATGATAAAAATGAAGGGCTAAGGAGAAAAACAGGCTTAGTCCTTTTTCCGTAACTTTTTTGAAATCTAAGGCCATAAAAATACTCATTTCATCTTATGGCTATCACAAAAAAGCAAAAAAGGATAAAACTCATTGTGTCTTAATACGTATAATAAACTGAACGGTTTAGTTGTGTGGAAATCACGAGAACTACAAAACGCGACAAAACAGTTTAATCGATGCAAAAGTTGTTTAAATTCGCTAGCCCTTAGACTGTTTAAATGACATATAATAATAAAGCTGATGTGAAACTTCTTTAGCTCCAATGATCTGAAAATCATAAACTTAACTTGAAGATTTGTTGATAGAAAGAAAAACATGAATCCGCACTGGGTCCATTGTTTATGATTTTCAGATCATTGGAGATAAAGGTTGCTTGCCAATTACAGAGCATAATGCGACTCAGTGCCGCACAATGCTGAATTATGCTGATGCTTATTTGGAACGTGAATTAGTTTTCAAATGCACCAGCAGAGTGCGCTAAGTTCAGTGTTGAAAAAAAAAGTCAATGTTTGTACCTTCTTTCTCATCAAAGCGTCCCATCGATGTCCTTTTACATATTCCGCCCCTTTTCCGTCCGTTTTCGATAACGCTTCACTGCAACATTAGACGAATGCGTTTCGTTTCACTCATTGATTTATTTCACTAAATTGCCATCACTATTCGTTGTACATTGTCAACTCTATTCGTCAAATTACCCAGTAAACTACATCGAATCCAACGCTTGCTACGAATTTGACGTTTAATAAATACCTACCTATATCTATATACCAACTCAAAGCTCAAACCCAATAACCTTACCATATTATCTTACCTAATAAAACTTTTGTTGTTGAGGTATGTCTCAGTTATGAAAATAATAGGTAACTTAAGAATAAGTGCTTGCTTTGTAGAGTCGTAAGTACGTACGGTACGTTCGTACCACTATGATGTACCTATGACCTCCGTACCATCTTCATTATGTTCATTGTGTGCCCAAAAAAATATAATTAATATGGCTCTGTTAAAATGTTTTCTGAAGTGAAACTTCTTTAGGCACGCCTTGTCTTGGGGGGGTAAACTGGCGAATTGTTACGATTTCGTGTTACGATTAGTGTCATCGGTGACTCATCGGTAAACAATGAATACCTGTAACAAAATACATAAATCTAGTGCTTGGCTTGGTGGGTGATAACGGACTCAGCGCGGATTGATGGATGATAACGGACCCAGCGCAGATTGGTGGGTGATAACTAGTGGTGCCAGGTGTCCCGATTTGAGCGGGATGTCTCAATTTTCAGGGGTATGGGGACGCGTCCCGATTTGTACCTGATCGGGACGCTAAATATCCCGATTAATCAAAAAATTAAAGTTAGGTAATTAATATAATACTATACTTGCACTAGTAGTTTAAATCGTAATAAATTAAACCCAGACTTATAAAACCCCTCGTTTTTTGTTAACTGTCCCGATCTACAACCCAAAGTCCCGATTTTTTTGACCTCATGTACCGACTTAAAACAAATCGGACCTGGCAGCACTAGTGATAACGGACCCAGTGCGGAATGGTGGATGATAACGGACCCAGCGTGGATTGGTGGGTGATAACGGACCCAGCGCGGATTGGTGGATGATAACAGACCCAGTGTGGACAGGTGGGTGACACTGGACCCAGCGCGGATTGGTGGATGACAACGGACCCAGTGTGGATTGGTGTATAATAACGGACCGAGTGCGGATTGGTGGATGATAACGGACCCAGTGCGGGTTGGTGGGTGATAATGGACCCAGCGCGGATGAGTTATTGATAATGGACCCAGTGCGGATTGGAGGGTGATAACGGACACAGCGCGGATTAGTCGATGGCAATGGACTCAGTGCGGATTGGTGTGTGATAATGGACCCAGCGCGGATTGGTGGTTTTTTCTATCAAATTTCAGATCATTGGAGCTATTTTCACTTAAGTCAGCTTCAGTCGTGTGTTCCTAAACACACTCGCTTTTTTTTTCATTTAACCGCATTATGATAGAACTACACTTACCTGTCGTGTTGTGTTGTAACACATCAGAGATCTCTTTCATACAATTATGGTTAAAGTGAGAACGCTGTCGAAACATCGCGACACACAGGTATAGTTCTTAGTGCTAACCGTACTAAAGGTATGAAACAGATTGCGCCACAATACAACACGTAAGATAAATATAGTTCAGCCTTTAGTTTAATATTTCTGTAGGGCCGTACTTTTTGACTAAAAATCGTCCCTTTTCAGATTTCGAATCGTCCGAAACACGACGCAGGTACTGGCAACACTTTAATTGGGCATTGTGCGGCACTGAGTCGCATTATGCTCTGTAATTGGAAAGCATACAAAGAAGTTTTACTTCAGTCATATTATGTACTTTTCCGTACTAAGAAAATTATGTATAAAATTAAATTAAATGTTAGTTACCATATTTCTACAAATAACATTCCCATAAGAAAATGCTACAAATGTTCTATGGCTAATAATAAGCTACTATGGTACTTCTTATTTTTCAAAATTCTTTACATGATCTTTTGAATACCCTATGAACCGTCGCTTGTATGGCGTCGATCCACTGTGCGACGTCCCATACAGTAACGGGTGCACTCTGATGTTGGAATGAAACATTTTGACGTGACAACGTCTTAAATTAGGTTGCGGCTGGGAGTCACTTATGAAAAAGTGTAACGCTCGGTAACGTTACGATGAGTCTCTCGTGTTAAGTTTAAGTTTACATGTACAATGTTTTTTTGACGTGACAACGTCTTAAATTAGGTTGCGGCTGGGAGTCACTTATGAAAAAGTGTAACGCTCGGTAACGTTACGATGAGTCTCTCGTGTTAAGTTTAAGTTTACATGTACAATGTTTTAGTAAACAAAATATATTTCTATAGTTAAAATTTGTGCAATTCTTATTTTCATTCAATTCCTTGTTCCTATTGTGCAATTTAATTATATTCATATCAATAAATATTCTACCGAGAAAAAGACGTTGTCACGTAAAATCTTCGCCCGTAAAACCGACTTTACAGGCAACCATTTTTTTTAGTAAACAAAATATATTTCTATAGTTAAAATTTGTGCAATTCTTATTTTCATTCAATTCCTTGTTCCTATTGTGCAATTTAATTATATTCATATCAATAAATATTCTACCGAGAAAAAGACGTTGTCACGTAAAATCTTCGCCCGTAAAACCGACTTTACAGGCAACCATTTTTTTTTAAAGTAAATATCCATAGCAACTTTAAAGTATCTTTCTTTAGGTGATGGTGACCCAGCCAGCGGAGTTTCTATATCTTCAAGTATCTTATATATTCATCTTGTTATAGAGCAAGCTGTACATCAGTGTACTGCTCTAAATAATCAGAACTGTACTGGGTTGGGTAAAGCATCGCGTGGGCGTCCAGTGTCAAAAAAGAGGTTGTAATCGCTTTATAGTATTATAATGGTGTCGATTCTGGCATGATTCTCTAAACTTAAAACTAAATTTATCATCAGTCTCTCCTTTTCATTCTGTATAGAGAATGACAGGGATGCACTGTTGTCAAATTTAAGTTTAACTTTAGAGAATCATGCCAGAATCGACATCATTATAATAAAACATTAATAAAGTAAGTAATCAAATCTAAAAAAAGTTTTTTTTTAAAATGTAGTACGAATTACCCGTTTAAGAATTCATAACATCAGGCAAAAACAGCGGTTATGCGGGATGCCGCTCTCTCAGTTGAATGATATTTTAATCAAATGCCGCCCGTATGTGTGTATGTGATGTCTCGTTCTAACAACGGAACTTCTCTGGTGTTAAAGGGGCCCAATCACGTTCCTCAATATTAGCCAATCGTGCATGACTCAAGATACATCCTGCTTGGTATTGCCGGACGATATGCAGGCTGCGACAACTTCACAAACCTGCATATAGCGGCGGATGGCAAGGCGAAAACTTAAAAGATCATAACATGGACGACCTGTATTTATACTGTCATGCTAGCGTACACCACATAAGACTCGAGTTTGTTGCTTATCTTATTAAATAGTGCCTTATTAGGTCTTAGGGTACGGCCAGAGTGCACTCAGATTCAGATTCAGATTCCGAAAACAAGCGCGAGAAATAAACAGTGTAGTTAAATCAGCGTGGCCATAGAGGCCGCAGGCAACCTGCTTAACAATGTTGAGGAATTCTCAGTGGAGGAATTCTCAAGTTTGTTCAAGATACCAACTAGAATACTATTTTCGAGGTTATTTGGAGGAACTCCTTAAGGAGCCCTCGAATGAGTTTGAGTCGAGGAACGTTTGAGGACGCGATTAAGAATATGGGTGTCAGACTCAGAAAACAAAGCGCGAGAAAAAGCAGGCAACCTGCTTAGACTACACTGTTTATTTCTCGCGCTTGTTTTCGGAATCTGAATCTGAATCTGAGTGCACTCTGGCCGTACCCTTAGGGTGCGGCCAGAGTGCACTCAGATTCAGATTCAGATTCAGATTTCGAAAACAAACGCGAGAAATAAACAGTGTAGTCGAAGGGTACGGCCAGATTGCCCTCCTGATTCAGATTCAGATTCAGACTCAGAAAACAAAGCGCGAGAAAAAGCAGGCAACCTGCTTAGACTACACTGTTTATTTCTCGCGCTTGTTTTCGAAATCTGAATCTGAGTCTGAATCTGAGTGCACTCTGGCCGCACCCTTAGAGCCTACCCATGGAGAATGAATGCCTATGAATGGTACCAATGGAGATGTAATACCATTCACTCGTCGAACAACATATTCTGCCATTTTTAGCGGGGGACGAGGTATACACTTATAGCACACTAACGAAAATATGCAAAACTTACACAAACACGAGCGTATTTTGTTATAAACGCACACTTCAAAAATCACGTCACACAAACATAAAACATGCACACACTCTAACAATTTTTATGTAAGTCCGAGCATACACAAACCCAAAAGTAAGGGATAGGACATTAAAAGAATGATATTTTAATAATCACTTCTTGATGAATGAAGAAAATGTCTGTTTATAATAAAATCAAAAATCTGTTTATATAAATAATGATTTTTATACACAAAATTCAAAGTTTTTTTTTGAGAATTATATTGCTGTACAAAAAATATTTCTAATTGCGTTTGCTTCCTTTTATTGGATACCCAGCCTACTGCTAATTCCTTAATAGTAAATTAAGGGGTGGGGAATGTACCCCTTAATTTTTGACAACAGTATATCCTTGTCATTCTCTATACAGAATGAAAAGGAGAGACTGATATTAAATTAAGTTTAGAGAATCATGTATGCCAGAACCGGCACCTATGTATTAAATCGATATAAAGTACTTTTATATATATATAATCATATTTTAATGTCTAAAGAAAACATTTGGTTTGATTATGTTACAGATCGCCAATGATTGAATGTTTGTTTTTTTCATGAAATATATCGATGTATATTTGTTTTATCAAATTGCTATTCATATCAGATGATGCACTTAATAAAATCAGGTTGAAAGATTTCCAGGAATAAAAATACCGTTCATTAATTTCTTCCACTTTTCTATTATTTTTTGTTATTCATTCGTTATTCCGCGCTTTTTCTTTCAACTGAATTTTATATCAGAATACTAACTTTTTAGAACTGTTAGACAAGTGCAGTCAGTGTGTAGAATGAAAGCAAAAATGACGAAACTGCTGATGTGCCTCTGGAGTGTCAAAAATGGTTTATGTCTGGGACAATCATTCATCTTTGCTAACAAAATGCTTAGTTTTCATAGAAACTTTGATGTTGCGATATGATTGCGGTGCTTGGATCTCTAGTGTACGGCTGTACGCTAGCATGATGGACACCTCAGCGAACCCTGTCCCTGTCCCATCCCAAAATTAAACTACCGGTACTGTTCTTGAAAATACTTTTCTATTTTAAACTTTCCAAAGTCAATTAATTTAATTTAAAATCATATTTATGAAACAAAAACCAGAACTTAATTTTGTGTACAAAAACAATTATATTCAAACAAATTTTGAGTACACATTACAATATTAGAAGGCAGTTTATCAATACACAACTTTTAGTTACTGATTTGACTCAAAATGCACTTCCGTTCACAGCAAATTGTCAGGGCTAGCTTTTCCAAAATGGTGGTCGTTTGTTGTGCTTTCCAGTGATTTGTGAAATTATTAATATGTAAGTAAATGAATTTCTTGCTTATGATGTTCCAAATAAGAAGTTTATCAATATTGGTAATTTATCGCATTTTGCTCATTTTTAACAAGTTATTGGTAGCGGCATTTTGTACATCATATAGCTCCTTACAAAGAAACTCGTATCGTAGTCGCTGGTAATGCAAAGATGATAATATTTTGCTACAATATTGTTATATTTTCAGTTATATAAAGTTTTATTCTACCTAAATGCAAAAGGATTTGATTTGGCTAGAAATTATAAATACTTGGATGTTTTTTGAATCCAAGTGGAAATAGCGCGGGACCTCTACCTAAGCGTCATTAAAAATTTTTGCATGAACGTTACGTTGTCTGTTGTAATAATTAGTATAATTTAATTCAAAGTTGTAACTACAGATTGGAAATAGTTTATGCTTCTTCCTTCATGAACATTTAAGAACTCTCCCACAATATAACCTCCAAATTATTCTGCCGGGTCTACTACATTACCGCAGTCGTATGGCGTGTGTATGAAATAATATTTTTTTTTTCAGATGTATTCTTTCCTCTGATCGAATGAAGTCGTCAATCGAATTGGGAAATTTAACGCAATAATGGATGACGATTCTGTTCCCGAGAATACTAGTGAAACTATCAAAGAAGTATCTAGTGTAAACACAGATGTTAGTAATCCTGAACCTTCAGAAAGTGGACTTGGTAACCACATTGATCATGACATGAGTGTAACAGAGACTGATGGTGTTACAGAAGGAACATCCATGGAAGTTGATAATCAAGATAATACTGACAACAGAGGTATGTTATTGGTTTATTTGACTCATTATTAAAGGTATAAAATTCTAGTCTAGTCCACTTTAATGCTTTGAATTGCAAATCAAATACTACCAAACTCCCACTACCTACTTGTAGTAGAAGCATTAGTAAAAGTCTTTTAGATTATTGCAATATGTATTTTTCTTCATTTTGTTTATAATGAATAAGGCTTAAGTATCAATTTTTATTCATAGTAATGCACACACAGAGATAGTTTTCTCTAACAGGAAAAACATTTGAAACATTGTAATTGTAATAAACTAAGCAACCAGCCAACAACAATTGGGACTTCCATGTAGGGCTCCTTACTTTAAGCAATTGTTTTTATACTATACAACTACACAGAGATTACATATTTTAATTTTCAACCATACTAAAGTTTATTGAACTTTGTAAATGTACTTTCCTCAATAACTGCTGGTGGAAGAATTAAATAACTGAGAAAACCCAATTTCTGAGACATTTTATTTGAATAATGTACTTTCCCAGGGTCAGTATGAATTAAAAATAAAAAGTATAGTAATAAAAAGTATGTTGTAAAACATATCAAAAGATCAACAGTAAAGATAAAGAGTAAAAAGAAACAAAATTGGTTTAGTAAGTTAAGTAATTCTTTCACCAGGGCTACAATATATTTGACACAATTTATTGAATCATGATTATCATGGCATCTCTATGCTTATTATACTTTGACATTTAGTTCATTTTCGAAATAAACTTTGTAAAATGATAAGATTATCAATATTCTTGAAACCCCATTTACAGAAAATGATTCAGAGGTAACTCAAGAAGACAAGGAAAATGTACAACATGATAAAGAAGAATCACAAATATCTGAAACTGGAGAATCACAGCACGCAAGCACACAAGAGACACTTGAAAATAAGGTAAAAGATGAAACGGAAGATAATGGTCAAGCTGCTAGTGAAGATTTTGAGGTATATAAGGACACTGATATAAATAATGAGGAATTGTGTAGCAAAGATGAAAAAAATGATGATAAAGATAAAAGAGATGATGAAGTTGGAAAACCAGAATTTGAGACCGCTCCTAATATTTCTATGGATGATACGCAAGAAGATCATTCTGAGGTAAAAATTTGTAGTATACTATTATTATTTCTAGTAGTATATTTCTTTTCAATTTCAACTTTAATTAACACTATGTTTTTATTTATTTTTTAAGCATTTAACTGCTAGATGTTTGAGACCCATCCGCTGTCTGGTCCGCATGGATTTTTTTCTAGTTAACTTTTCTTTAGATTTAAATTAACATATCGCAATTTATGTTTTCGCTGAGATTTTGATTAACTTTATTTAGAAAATAGCCTCTATCATTATTTTACCAACAAAGGAAATGGCTAAGAAAGTGCCCTTAACATGTATAATTATTTCCCACTAGTCCGTAACATTGTAATATTTTCTTATTAATTATTATATGGTTATGATTCTCATACAACTTTTGTGAAATAATCAAATATAAACAAGTATAAAAATTGACTTCATATCTGTTTCAAAAGGAAAATGTTATGTTTTATAAAAATAAATGTACACAATAAATATTTGTGTAAGTATATTGAAACGAACAATATTAATTTCAAACTCCTAAAAATCATTTATATTTGACCCAAATTTTTATTATTACAGGTCACTGAAGACTTAAAATAATATATTTTATTTTTCTAATCAGGCTTGAGACAAGGCTGTATAATAATTACTCCTTTTATTTTGCAAAAGAACAAAATAAAACTTCACAGATTTTTTGTCAGGCCGATGATAATAAATTAATTATGTCTGGTTTTGCATTAAATATACTTTTTGAGGAGTGTTAATCAGAGAAATGGGAGGAAAGGTTCTAAGAAAATGCGAAATCGATAATGACATAGTAAGAGATTTCATAATTTTCAAAAGTTTTTCCTGGGCCATTTTTCATAGAAGTTATGAATATTCAGCCATTTAGCATTAAATATTACTTACTCACTACAATATTTATACTTTGCTAGGGCAGTCGCTCATACAAAATTTTGCCATGTCCTTTGTTTATTCTTGTTCTTGATAAAAATCAAAGACAGAGATTACCCACAAAAAGTTTGCTTTGAGTTTTCAACACATTATGTACAAATATAAATTTGTAAAACATCTGGTGACTAGAACTAATAAACAAAATTAAATAGTGGGCTTTTTCTAACCATTGCAATGTACATGTTAAATTTGCAGGCTTTAGATCCTTTTGACGCTTTGCTCAAAGACAACACTGATACAAATGCAATAGACACAGAAACTGCAACTACATCACAAGCAGAAACTATTAATGCCACAGAGGATGATGATGATGATCACAATGCTGATAACGTAGATGGTGAATTAGATGAAGATGAACATCAAACAGGTAATATTTCCAAATGTAAACTGTCTAGAGCAGTGGTTCTTGACCGCTGGTTCCTGGAAGCATTGCTTACTTTGGGTATTATTCAGTAATTAAACAATTTTAAATGATTAATGAATGAATATTTAATTCAATTTTTGTTGGTCATGGCTGCATCTTGTGTGATTATTCTGCCAATGTCCAGGTTAAAAGAGACTGTATGGTTTTGTTAACATATTATTAATGAATGAATGTTTCATAATCCCTATAGAAGATCCTCAGTTAGATGAAAGCAATGTATCAGAATTGGCCGAAGAACCTGGTGCAGATGAGGAAGTCTGCTTGTTGCCAGATACTGAGCGAGAAATATCAGAAGCAGACAAGGCAGAAGCTGAGAAAGTTCTTGCTGAGCAGAGGAAACAAGCTGAAGGTATTGATTTTCAAAAAAAAACTTTGTTTTATATGGATGCCAAACAAGCTTATGGCCCCCTGATGGTAACCAACCACCACAGCCTATAGATGCTTGCAATAAAAAAATATCACACGCGCTGTTGCCAATCTTGACTCGATCTCCTGTCCCATGTCCCCTTGGAAATTTACTCACTGACATAAAAACACCACCAAAAGTTAGTGTTATATTACTGTGGTCTTCTATAAGGTGGAGGTTACTGCTCCAATTCGAGCGGAAAATCCGCTATGCCCTACATCTCTTAAAGGTATAAAAAGAATTTTAATTTGCATTTGGTGCATATTTCATTTATTTGATAAAGCTAAGCCACTCACTAATCTTAATTCCTTAAACAATGCAAGCATCACATAGCTGGGGGTCTGTTTATTTAAAATTATTCAAATGTTTCTATTTACTCTTTGTGTCTTATATATTAATTAGCTACTTTGTATTATGTTTAAGCACTGGCCCTGGCTGTGGAAGAAACTGTACCTAAAAAAGAAAATGAAGTGACAGATTCTGATATAACAAACAAGGAAGATGTTGTCAACAATGACTTTACTGAAAATATGGATACTTCAACAGTTACTGAAGATCCTTCTCAAGAAAATGGTGGAGGTAACAATTTTGTTACTATCTTAAAAAGTCCATAAAAAGTTAATATTTTCATTTAATTTATTTAAAAGGTTAATTTTGCCCATGCATGATTTTTACACATTAAAACTTTGTACATCCCCTTTATACAATATAAATACAAAGAATCAAATTCGAAAAATAGTAAAAATAATGAAAATTGGCTCAAGACAAAAGAAAATGTATAAAACAAATGAAATATATATATAAATAAGTTCTCACTGTTTAATAAAGAAATTAAACAACAGTCATTTCCACGGCAAACATGTCTCCTGCAAAAACAAAATCTACATGTAAATTACTGAAACATTCAAAGGAAGACACTTTTTGAATTAAGAGCGCTTATTATTGCGCTTTGGCTTTATTTATTACAAATTTAATTATTTCCTACCTTTCAGAAAAGGAAAATGAAATTGATCATGAACAAGAACCTGACCTAGATGAATCCATTGAAACAGAGACTCCAGTATCTAACACAATTCAGGAAGTTAGTTCCTACAGTAGTACATGTATACAGTGTAAAAAGGATGCCACATGCACATATAGGTATACAACAAAAGATGGAGAATGCAATTACTTATGTTCTGAAGACTGTGTTACAGCTTTCCAAGGTGAACATCCTGGGTACACTGTTGTTCATAAGAAATACATCATAGAAGAAATCATGCCTAGGTTTATGCACTGCTCAGAATGCGAAGATAAAAAGACATGCTATTTCTATTACAATTATGATGGAGAACATACTAACTACTGTTCAATGGAATGTTTGCACAGTATGATGGCTGATGAAAAAGAAAAATATGTATTTAAACGTAGAAAGATTACAGTCGAAGAGATGACACCTAAAGAAGCAACATGCTCTGTTTGCAATGATACAAAACTTTGTGAATTCTCCATGACTAGGTACGGTGAGTACAAAATAATATGCAGTCACTCGTGTGTCAAGACTTTAAATAACAGTGAAAACGGTAGATATGTGATCAAAAGGAAAAGATCTCAACGTAAAATTGTTTCTGTACCTACTGTGTCAGTACCAACTGTCACCACGTCAAATCCACCATTGCTCAAATTGAAAGTAATTAGCAATGCAACTGATAAGTATTTAGATGAAGCTTATAAAATTCAGGCAAAAACGCCAGCTATGGTTCAAGCAGCACGAGAAGAAAGAGAGCGCACTTTTTTGCGTCGTTGTACTCATTGCGTATTAATTCTTCAGATGGATGAGAAGCTTCTAACCTGGGAGACAATGGACTTTTGTGATGAAGTATGCTTAGGACGGTATCAAAACAAAATAGGTTCTCGTTGTGCTAATTGTCAAAAAGGTGTTCAGCACACTAGCTTAGGAAAATATTGTGTTCGTTTCGGATATGACATCAGACAGTTTTGTAACTCAGGTTGCTTAGAAGAGTTCAAGAAGGGCCTCAAGATCTGTTGCTACTGTCAAAGAGATATATCTGTTGGTCATCAAGGTTTCTTGGCACCAGTAGGAGACAAAGGCCAGTTCAAAGACTTTTGCTCCCAAGTGTGCATGGAGAAATATGATCAAATGAGCAAAAATCCTGTTCCACAGCCAGTTTGGTCTAAATGTGCAGTTTGTTCCTTAGAGAAGGACACAACAATCGAAGTGGAGGTTAGCGAAGATGTTTCACAACGTTTATGCTCAGACCCGTGTTTTGCTGCATTTAAATTTGTCAACAATATTTTCCCAGGTGAGTTTTTACTACAAGTTACTCCTTTATTCTTCTCCAAAAAAGTAACCTTATTACCACAAATAAGTTAGTATGCATTAAACATAAGTTTAAGAAAAAATGATGTTTAAAATTATCTTAATTAAACCTTATTATCTGTGTCTAACTTTTTGTAGTTAGACCGTAACCCCTTTATTAATGAACGAAGAATAAGCTTGGATTAGTTACTCCATGTTTTCTCAATGACAAATGGCATTTGAGTGATACAAACAAAACACAGTGTAACTAGTCTTATTTATTTATTTTAAACTTGATTGACCAAAATACAAGAGAATGGTACAAAAGGTGGACTTAATGCTAATAGCATTCTCTTCCTGTCAACCTTTGGGAAAAAAGAAAAACGCGAATGGTGGTATAAAGCTAAATATACACATAATAAGAAATATTAAAATATATACGAATTAACATAGATACATATATAAATACAGACTACGAAAGGAATATACATACATACATACTATATAGTACATACAGGTGTAAAAAATCCTTTAACGAAGTCAAAGGCCACGTATTTTCTACATCGTGACGATATTATTTTTCTTTCGGACCATATCTGGGAAATTTACGGTTATGGAGATATTGAAGGATTTTTACATAAATATTTTCAAAACGTTTTTTTTTTTATTGACACACTTACACACACGCACACACAGAATGCGTAGTTTTAGTCTTTGTCATAGGTTTTTTACATCCTGTATAATATACAACCATATATAGTCTTTATTAGCTTATTCCTCGTTTACTAGTAAGGGGGTACATGTTTATGATATGGCATTTATTATTTATCTTACCTTTGCTATCATACCTTTATTTACAGACCAATGCCGCTGGTGTAAAAAGTATTTTGAGCGCAAGCATTCGAAATGTTTCACCATATACGAAGGCAACAATCCGCATTGCTTCTGTTCTAAGTCTTGTATGAATGTCTACATCAGTAACTCGCGGCATATAATGCCCTGCAACTGGTGTAAAGTCAAGAAGTACAACTTCGATATGATCAGACGCATACAAGCAAATGGGCAAGCACTGATGATGTGCTCATTGAATTGTTTGAATTTGTATCAGGTGTCTGTCAATGCTGTGTCCTCAAGAAGGTGAGAATAATAGAATTTTATAATATTTTTTAATTTCAGCATTCACAGAATCTTTTCATTGATTCACAAGATTTTTATTAATTTTATTGTTAGCAAAATCTCAAACGAGCATTTATTTATATCATGAAATCTTCACGGCCACACAATGCTGAATACTAGCAGATTTTTTAAAATATATTAACCATTAAACTATTATGTTTACAGAACAAAGTGTGATATGTGCAAGAGAACATCATTAGCACAATATCACTTGACTATGTCAGATGCAACAGTGAGAAACTTCTGCACTTATCAATGTGTTATGTCATTTCAGGTAACAAACAGTTTAGTTTGCATTTAAGAATTCTAGAATCCAAATGATTGATTTGTGGAGGAAGCATTTAAAAAATCATATTTGTATTTAACTAATATTATAAAGATTTGTATGTTTGTAATAAATAAACTCAAAACTACTGGACTTATTTGAAAAAATATTTTACTATTAGAATACTATACTATACTTAGGTAACATAATATTATGCTATATTTAGTGCGTTAAAATAAATTTTACCCGTTTCAAAGTCATGGTGATTTGCTAGTTACAAAATAATTTAAAATATGTTTGTGATGAGGTTTTTCAGTACGCACATCACATCCTAATTCAATAGTTAAACACATTTTTTTACAGGGGCAATATTCTAAGCACGCTCCACCTTTGATGCCTGATGAATCTATCGACCAACAGAAGGCAGTACCGGCCGGTGCACCACGTCGGACCTATTCTGGCAAAGCTAATAATGGTAAGTTTGTATAAAATGAACTTACTTTGTTAGAAATAAATAATGTCCCAACTGCTAGGCATAGGCCTTCCCTATGGATGGAATAGGGAGTTTGGGCCGTGACCCACCACGCGGGCCCAGTGCGGTTTGGTGGGTGCTAACGACTGCAGATGAAGCCGGGACCAACGGCTTAACGTGCCTTCCGAAGCACGGAGGAGCTCGAGATATTAAATATTTGGTCACCCATCCAATTACCGACCACTGCGAAAGTTGCTTCACTTCAACGATTGCAGCCGAACGGGCTTACCACTTGCGCCATCGAGCTCCCCAAATAATTCGCAATGAATTACACTGATCCCTCTCAATGATGATACATACCTAATATAAATAACAATATTTGTATTCATACGTTCTTTGAATGTAAATGTTGCTACTTCTATTAAATGCTGATGAGTTTCTAGCACCCATTCTTCTGATCAGCTAAAAGATGTCCTAATCGGGAGGAAAAAAATTTAATATTATATAATTTCATTTCATATTTAAACATTGATTAATTGGGTTGCAAGCCCATTGCTAAGTTTCCATTTTCTTGGTTTGGATTTTATGTATTTGCGCAATGAAAGTAGATAATATTATATTTAATAAGTACATATCTAAAAACCGAAAGGCACACACAAGTATCTTTAGGTGATAACGATTTTCCTAAGTATACTAATTCGATATACACTTTCCCCACGTAGCAATGGCTAAAGGTCAGCAGCGTTCATCTATGCCGGTGATCTCGAACGTCCAATCTCTCGCTGCCCCGCCGCCTTTAACTCCTTCTGTTACGAGAGGAAAGTCTAAGCGCCACGCCCAGCCTCCCCCCGAACCCGAACCCCCTGCAGCCCCTAAAACTCCCCCGCCTCCCCCGAAACCACCTACCCCACCACCCCCACCACCTCCCAAAATATATAACCACGTTATAGTAAAAACACTACCCCCCAAAGAAGTCGCCAACAAAGCAACAATGTCGAAACCACAAATGGTATCCAAAGGCGTCTCCTGCCGTCCACATCCGTGCACTAAGGAATGTCAAACAGACCCCAGCTTAGAGAGGCGAGTGCTGATACCTGTTCCTGTTCCGATATACGTCCCTGTGCCTTGTGCCATGTGGTCGTTACCGTTCCCCGTGCCGGTGCCCATTCCATTGCCTATTCCGACTCCAGTCTTCATTCCTACCACACGGAACTCGGCGAAAGGCATTATGAAGGAGATCAACAAGATTCATGATAAAATGCCGACGGATCCGTTCGAAGCCGAACTTCTGATGATGGCTGAAATGGTCGCTGGCGACAAGAAGAAGGATCAGAGCGATTCGGATACTGATGATGACAATGGTAAGTTGGTCTATGTCAAAATTCTTACACATCCTTTTAATATATTTATTGCACAAAAATATACCTTTTTGTTATAGTAACATCTGCTAAATTGCTATGTAGTTTTTTGGGAATATTTTACCAGTAACATTAAGTAAGTTTAGATATATTTCGTAATTTGACGAGACGCGGAATAGTATGTCATTAGTTGTGAAAAGGTTCTGATTGTTAATAGATATCAGTAGTGAAAACCCATCATCACATTGTTTACTGGAGTTTTCTAAATAGCATTGCCTGTTTTGTTGGGTTAAGATAATTTGCATCAGCGGTTCCTTAATTTTTCGTAATCAAGGATGGAGGACATATTGCGTTTTATTTTCAGGTGAAGATAGCTTTAGCCCTGTAGCCGGTATGGATGGTAACAATGCATTCGGCGAAGACATGCTACAAATGGCACTCAAGATGGCTACCGAGTATGAGGACCAACCTGTGGACCTTGAATCGGCGATGACAGCAAACACAATCACACCCAGCTCACATCCCGGCATGCCTGGTAAGTTGAAATAACTGGTAACTAGTTATTATTTTTACCTTTCATAATCATATCATAACAAGTATGACGTCACGGGGCGATCGTCTGGAAATTATTAAGACATCAGTATGAGGTTAATGTTGTTGTCATGCGCTGTCACATGATGTAAAATAGTTTCCAACATAATAAAATATAATTAAAATTGATTGTACATGTTGCCAACGACAGCAAAAAAAATTAAGATTAAAAAAGTGTAAACAATAATATAAAGTTTTGTCAAATATGTAGAGTGGATAATTTATTAACCTATGAATGGTCAAGTAAATACACTACAGGTGGGGTAAATCTGTGCCATCCCTTTTACGTGCTAAAGTCTCTCTCCTGTACCCTTAGTACGAGTTTTAGCTCACGAGAACTAGATAGTTTTCGTTATTGTAAATTATGTTTCTATGTCCATTTTGATGAAAAGTAACCAAATATACTTAAATTTTATAAAGACGCAAATGATTTAATGGTAGAATTTAAATACTGTTTATTTGTATTGAAACGAAAACAATAAAATCAGAATCCTTAGTACGAGCGTGAGCTCACGAAAACTATCATAGTTTTCGTAATTGTAAAACTCGTACTAAGGGTACTGATTAGGTCTGTCACGTGTGTCACAAGGTTAAAATATGTCCGCGTAGGTTTGGAAGGCGACAGCATGCACCACCACCACATGATGGTGATGGAGCAGCACCGCGCGGTGGCCGCACTGCGAGCAAGCGCGGGCGCGGGTGCGGCGACGGGTGCGGCGGCGACCGCGGCAGCGGCGGGCCGGAAGCGGCCGCCTGCGCCCCCCGCGCGACCCTCGCGCTCCTCCAAGCGGCGCCGCGCCGAGCCCGCGCCGCCGCCGCAGCCCGAGCCGCCGCGCGAACCCGCCGAGAAGCCTGACGCCAACATGTGTCTCAAGGTATTCTCATACATCTATGCATAGAATAAAATGGTAGGAAAGCCAAAAATTTACATTGAATATTTTTTTGAAAGAATACTTGTGATGTGATCTACAAGACCCGAGACCTTTCCTGTTGAATAAGACATAACAATAATTTTCTTTCAATATCTTTGCTGTTAAGCATTCCGTACTTACAGACATTATGTAATTTTAATTTGTTTGTTTAGTATACGTTTGGCGTGAACGCGTGGAAACAGTGGGTGATGACGAAGAACGCAGAGATAGAGAAGAGCTCCATACGACGGAAACCCTTCAAGTCGGAGATATTGCAACTGACTGCGGATGAACTCAATTATTCGCTATGTTTGTTCGTGAAGGAAGTTCGGAAACCGAACGGCAGCGAGTACGCGCCGGACACTATTTATTATTTAGTATTAGGTAAGAATTAACTAAGAACTGTCAGTCATATTCCTCATGCATCCCATTTATTCTTGTAATCAATTTATGACCTTGAGATCAAATTTTAATGAAATTATGAATTGGTTTTAAACTGTCATGATCACTAACATTAAAGAGTAATCAATACCAAAAAATATCGGGGTCTGACAAACATTTTGTTACATGGTAGATATCCTGATAATTACGATATATAAGATGACTTTGGTTTTGACATAGTGTGATTTAAACCTTTACATTGCATTGTTTTTAGGAATTCAACAATATCTCTTCGAAAATGGTAGGATAGACAACATATTTACGGATCCATATTATGAAAAATTTACGGATTGCTTGGACGAAGTCGCTAGGAAGTTCTCAGTTTTATACAATGATTCACGTAAGTAATTGTGTTGGTTTTCTTTTACATTATAAACTTGGTTCATGGGTTTTCCTTGGATCGTTATTAACATAACTTTGTTTTATGTAATTTCACAGAATACATAGTAACTAGAGTTGAAGAAGAGCATTTATGGGAAAGTAAACAACTGGGAGCGCATTCGCCCCATGTGTTGCTGTCTACGCTTATGTTTTTCAATACAAAACATTTTAATCTAGTGGTGAGTTTGATATTTAATAATCTATCTCTCAGTTGTCATTATATATAATGTTATTTATCGTAGTTGAAAGCTAAACAAAATTTAAGCTTAACATAGATATGATCTTTTAATTTCAGTATGAATTTGCTTTAAAAACTTGATTGTATTGAACAAACATTGCTTTTGGTTTCTAGACTGTGGACGAACATATGCAGCTATCATTTTCACATATTATGAAGCATTGGAAACGGAATCCTAATCAACCTGGTCAGACAAAGGTACCAGGTTCGAGAAATGTCCTATTACGGTTCTACCCCCCACAGTCAGCACTAGGTAAGTTACTGATTTTAGAACATAAAAGCTTTTTTTAATTTACCGAAAACGTTTTCCAGTAAACTTAAAAAGATATTGAAAAGATCCAATCCTCCTGAACAGCTTCCCATTTTAGCTCAGTTGGTCTTTCATATCTAATAGAGAAACCTAAGGAGTAAAACAGTGTTACTGCTTATTTTTTTTTAAAATGATTATTTTCGACATTTCAGAAGCCAATTCCAGAAAAAAGAAAGTATATGAACAGCAAGAAAATGAAGAGAACCCACTTCGGTGTCCTGTAAAATTATATGAATTCTATATATCAAAATGGTAAGTTTTGCATTCATTCTTTTATCAGTAGTGTAGTGTTAATAATGATATCTATATCATTATTAACACTTTCTTTACCTTTGATGTAAATTTAGCGCCTGTTTTTAGTAACTTATGGTGTTTTTACTTTGTGTTTCCTCTTTTTTATGTTAAACTGAAGTTACACACTTTATTATACTATCACTGCCTTATTTAATTTATCTGCCTGTATAATGGCTTTTTAATGGCGATCGCCCAATGAAACACTTTGTTTTTACCCAATAATTTATAATATTTCTGTGCACTACTGTACCCCAAGCACGAATTTTAAGATTTGTATTAGTATCGCCATCGTCAAAGTTTCTATGGAAAAACCCAGTTAGTTCTGAGTCTCGATGACACCGAGTGGGTTTACAAGCTACAAGCCAGCGTGTTTGCTTGCGCTTGTAAACTCGCCCCCTGGTCATCGTGTAGGAAATTGTAATGTGTGACTTCGATAAAGAAAAGCCGATGACACAGGGCGAGTTTACAAGCTGCTAGAGAACTCGCTGGTTTGTAGCTTGTAAAACTCAACCTGTGTCATCGAGGCTTTACGTCCGGTAGGGAGCTGCTTAGTTTCCATAAAAACATAGACGTTGGCGAAACGAATACGGATTTGTCAAAGTTCGTGTTTAGGGTATTGTAGTGTGGTGTTTTCTATAAATAGTTGTGTATTCTATATTATCACATTCTTCCAGCCCCGAATCGGTCCGCACCCGCAACGACGTATTCTATCTACAACCGGAGCGGTCTTGCGTGCCTGACTCCCCCGTGTGGTACTCCACGCAGCCGCTCAGCCGCGCCGCGCTCGCCAAGATGCTGCACCGCGTCAAGATGGTGAAGGAGATCAACATCGCGCTGCTCACCAGCTAAGGTCAATATCCGACTCTCCCGTGTGGTACTCCATGCAGCCCGTCAGCCGAAGCCAAGGTGCTGCACCGCGTCAAGATAGTGAAGGAGATCAACATCGCGCTGCTCACCAGCTAAGGTCAATATCCGACTCCTCCGTGTGGTACTCCATGCAGCCCCTCAGCCATAGGCAAGGTGCTGCACCGCGTCAAGATAGCGAAGGAGATCAACATAGCGTTGCTCACCAGCTAAGGTCAATATCCAACTCCCCTGTGTGGTATTCCATGCAGCCCGTCAGCCGAAGCCAAGATGCTGCACCGCGTCAAGATGGTGAAGGAGATCAACATCGCGCTGCTCACCAGCTAAGGTCAATATCCGACTCCCCCGTGTGGTTCTTCATGCAGCCCCTCAGTTGTAGCCAAGGTGCTGCACCGCGTCAAGATGATGAAGGAGATCAACATCGCGCTGCTCACCGGCTAAGGTCAATATCTGTCTTCCCATTTGGTACTCCACGCAGCCCCTCAACCATAGCCAAAATGCTGCACCATCAAGATCACCGCTTCAAGATGGTGAAGGAGATCCACATAGCGCTGCTCATCAGGCAAGGTCAATATCCGACTCCCCCGTACCACACGGGGGACTTAGTGACCTGAAAAACATGTGTACATCACCAAAACCATTTCTGAATTCACGTTCAACATAAACATTATAGAGCCGTACATTTTCGACTTTGACTCGCTGTAGCTCCTCATCTTTGAACTTTTGGCCATTGGGCCCATGGGGTCTTTTGTTCCATGTGTCATGAGCTATCATCTCCCAAAGTTACAGAAAATTTTGCCGAGAGCCAGCTTCCATAAGGATTCTGCGGGGTCCTTTGACAACAGTGTATCCTTGTCATTCTCTACACAGAATGAGAAGGAGAGACTGACGTTAAATTTAAAGTTTAGAGAATAATGCCAGTGTCGGCACCTATATCTATTTATTTGCAAACATTACTAACATATTAACTGGGTTCTTTTGCATACAGATTGCTCTTCACCCTCGTGTGGATTTGGAAACTACGCAACAATTCGACCCAACAGATTACAACCCGAACTATAGCTGCTGGATACTAAGTGATTGGTTGTAATTTTACTACAGACATGCAAGAAGTCACCTTATTGTTGTAAAGATGGTAACAGTGTATATTTTTTCTACTTTGTATATCAGTCTACATATGGACGTCGAAGATTATTTTAAAGCATAGTTTATAATAGATGTCTTTTTTATAATGTTGCAATGTTTAAGATTAAGATTTCTGTGCGGGACTGTTTTGTATGTACAGTTTGTGATGGTACTAGGTTGTCATTGAAAATTGACATTTCAAATAATAATTTATCGATGTCAAAAATCGGCATTGTAGAGAAAATAATAATGAATTTATTTAGATTATTCCAAAATCGCTAGATTATTTTCAATCATAATTGTATATACGCCAGGCGACTTGCACGCATAATTATATTATTATATTCATTGCGGTAAATTATGTCATTAAAGGAGGTGGGTGACTTAAGTTTCCTCAGTGCCAGGTCGAATGGAATTTTATTACACTCATGTAATAATAAATACAATAGATTAGAATGTAAGTAACAACAATTCCAAGATTTTAGTGGAAGACGCACTTTTGTTTTATAGTAGCATTATTCGTTTTATAAATCGGAAAGCAGTTATATCTCAAATAGAAATTTTTATTGAAGAATAATTATATAGCTTAGGAAAAGAGTCAGATTCTTATTATATTTTAAGAGTAATGGCGTCTAATAAGGTCTAGGTTACTGATGTGTAAAAAGAATACTGATTCTCTATATATGTGTTTCACTTATATAATCCCTCTTAAGCCCATAGAATTAAAAACGGTATTGAGGTAATACTTGCATGTAAAATCTGTTTTACTGCCCACACTCGAACAGAGGCGTTAATCATTTTTAAATTCTATAAGGCGCTTAGCAGACGACGGGGCGGGGCGGGCATTTTGTCCGCGAAGCAATAAAGACCGCGTTTGCCCATCGATGTCTGCGGCTGCCCGCGCCGCGTACACAAAGCACACGACGGGCAGAGGCGGTCAGTTCAATACATTCGTTCTAGTGAATAGTCCTAAAAAGCGCGTGGCGTGGACTGAGCTAGCCGCCCCGCGCCGCCGCCTGCGTTACTGCATATAAACTGGTTTGTATGATCCACGGCGGGCAGCCGCGGACATGCCGCGCCGCCACCGCACCTGCGGCGCAGTCTTTTTGCCCTCTGTGTGCGTTTGAAGTATAGGATTCACTTAGTGCTATTATTCGCGGCGAAATTGACTTGACCGGCCCGCCCGGCCCCGTCGTCTGCAAAGCGCCTAAAAGTTACTGCTAACTTTAAGCCCGGGGGATTAAAATAACTCTTTACGGTAAAATAAACATCTCTGGCTCTGTAGAGTAATGGCAGAACTACACTTATCTGTTGTGTTGTGTTTGTGATGCATCAGAGCTATATGTTCATACATTTAGTATGGTTAGAGTGAGAACAGTGTCGACACATCGGACACACAAGTGTAGTTCAAACAGTATTAATTGTATAAAACCGATCGCGTCAAAACACAAACGGCACATAAGTATATTTCTGCCTTAACTTTTGCTTTGCAGAACCACAGATGGTTGTTATTTTAAAAAGGATACAGTAACGAGTTACTAAAGGGTAAGAAATACGTAAAAAAACGTTTTTTCTCTCTGGTTGTGTTTATATGCCGCGGTTAATTAAGACGGCGTTGATATGCGTAAATCTCAATTTATACCATCGCGGAATGGAATTGAAGCTAATTTTTGCAAGGAAATAGGGATGATGACTAACTGTTTTTTTTGTCTATCAGATATATTATCAAAAAGTATTGGACACGTAGCTATTGTTTCTTTATTCACATAATCAACATATTATAAGGATTTATGATTTGAAATGTCGCATGACGTTACGTCTTGGTACAATTTTTACTTAGAAGAGACGTCACGAGTAGTGTTGTTAAATTCTCGAGAACATTCTCTATGGTGAAACTTTGCGGTTAAGTTCTCGGGAACATTCTTCTGACCGAGAATTTATGAGAACTTCAAAAGTGAAGTCACTTTTCGGTAGGATTTACAATGTGACTAATAGATGTTTATATGTATATACGTAATATGCAGACTGGATTAATAAAAACCCAGTTATTTATATAAATTCCCGGTAAATTCCAGACTACGAGAATGTTCTCGAGAACTTTCTAGAATGTTCTCGGAAATATTTCAAGACTAATGTGATTTAATTATGATGATTTTTTTACTTTTGCATTTTTCAATGTTATTTTTATACTTATGATAAACATATATATATTGGAAAAATCAACTCCGCCCCCGGATTGATATTTCCAATATTTGTCTATTTAAAATTTATCATAAGTGATTTAAGTTATTATTTATTAGTAGAGAATAATAACAATTGTTATGTTAAATAGTAATAAAATACCAAATATCATAATCAACATTTATTAAATATATATTTAAAACCATAACTGTCTGATACGAAAAGTACGAAACAAACAGAACTTAAAGGTAAATAGGTAATAAAATTAATCTTCTAGAATTCGTCTGATTGGTCTGATTAGTATCTATATTTTCAAATTCCAGCTAATGGATCGTCATCCTCATGATCACTCATCTCCACGAGGACTTCTGGTTCCTCCTCGACCACAGATGTTTCTGAATCAGAGTCTAAATTAAAAGATTCTGTCTCAGAATAACTCGCACGATCCCCTTCATAAGATGTCAATAGTTTCCAATTATGAGATATCAGACTGATTTTGCCCGTCCGCCCCGTAAGAAATTTATTCCTTTTTTTCGTGTGTATATTTGAAAAGGTTGAAAACGAACGTTTTACTGCAGCAGAAGTTGCCGGAGCGGTCAATATTTTAATAGCAATTGTCCCTAGATAGGTTTATAGTAAAGTAATTTCCACCGTGCCAATGGACTCATTTTATTGGCTGTTTGCCATACAAATTCTTTGCTCCAAAGTCCAGCTCCACACTTGTAGTCTGATACCTCTTGCATCAACTGTTCTATGGGTTGCTGCTGTTCTTCCGCGACTGCTATCACAAACTGCCATCCGTCAATATTCTCATTAGGTTTAAGCATGGCCCCACGATTTCGAGGATCTAACAACGTCGCAGCGTAATGTATTGGCATTAATGATATCTTTTTTCTTTGTTCATATTTTAGTTTTAACGTAGAGTGAAAATTGGTCCCTAGAATTTCTGACCCTGTTGGATTTTGTATCAACTCAGCTAATTCTGAGAATGCTTTATAAACTAAATGTCGATTTTATAACGTCGGGGAATTTGTTACAATTATTCGTTAAATGATTAGTCATTCTTGTTGCATTTCGATTTTTGTAACTTTGATTACAAAATTCGCATATATACAACACTATTCCATTTTCATCTATTTCTTTATAATAATTATAAATCTTTCCCTTCGGTTTCATTTTCAATATATTTTTTTTATTCTGTTTCGTAGAAGGCACTTTTGTTGATCACGTCCGAATACTTTACGGTGCGAGTCTGTACTAGCATGTGCGTTAACCGAGCGTCGCGTGCAGCAAGACGGGGAGGGGAGGTGCGGGAGCAGAAATCACAAAGAGCTGCACGGTGCGTCTCGTTTGTCGGAATTCAAAGGTTCAACTTCAATAAAGCCGATCGCCGAGGCACACTTTGGTGTTGTTGTAAATTGAATAAGTTGTTATGGTACAAAACGAACTAATTTCATTACAAAACTTGAAACTATATCGTTCTTATTCTACATAAATTAACATCATTTTAAGTTCTCATAAATTTCCAGTGTACCGAGAACATTCTCGGTTGAACGGAAACATTTCAGAATATTCTCGATACGAGAAAGTTCTCGATTGGAGAACATTCTCTGGTCACATCACTAGTCACGAGCCCTTGATGTACTAAATAAATTTTTGTTTACCCCGCCATCAACCCTATAGTGCATATTGTAATAACACAAACTGAATACGCGCCAAAAGCTAGGGGAATTCTAGAGAATGCGCTAGGATTCCACGGAAGACGCGAGACTATTTTTTACTCTTATTCATAAGCATAGCTGGAGACAAGGCGACATCGATTCACGGTGGCAGTTCCAAAGACTCTCACTAAGCGATTCGCTTCTAGCTTCATCGTGCGGACTGCCAAACTGTGGAATTCCTTGCCTGAGCCCTTGTTCCCCGAGCACTACAATCTAGCTGTCTTCAAAGCAAGAGTGAACCGGTTTTTATTAGGTAAGCGCGCTCCATCGTAGACCATAATATTGCTTTCCATCAGGCGAATTATGGTCAAGCGCTTAACTATACTGAATAAAAAAAAAATGGGTGCGTGTACTTATGTAGGCGCGCGAGAAGTTATCCTTCTTTGGCATCGTTTAAAATTAGTTTTTAATTGCATGCAAATAATTAATTACAATAAATTAATAAAAAGTCTGGAAAAGGACACAGTCAATAAAGTTCAGTTTTAATTTGAAAAAATAAATAAATAATCAAAATATTCAATTAAAATCGCTACTGAATATAATTTATTACAACATATGTGATTTGCACTTGTATGAAACTCAAACACGTATTCCGAATATACAAACTAGAAACATGTGGATAAATATTATAAATATGAATACCTATAACTGTTACTATATTACAAAAAATAAAGATGTGGTTTTTGGTTCTACTACACCAATGGTCAAGAGATGGCGCTGTAGTCTCCTGAATCGCGCTTTGGTTCCGTTGTTTCAGATTAATAAATACTTTTGATAGGCCTTCACAATGCAGTCGTTAGCACCCACTAAATAGAGATTCTATTTCTATTTTGTTGGTAGATTTTCATAATGTGCGGTAAACACAAAAGTAACAGCAGTAACAGGTCGCTAAAGCGACCAACTTCATGCTGTTAAAATTTTGTGTTACAGTGATACGCGCGCATCTTAAAATTTCACTCTCATCATTTTTTCATAACGCGGCTAAAGAAGTATAACTTCAAAAAAAAAAATCATACTAGCGCATCGAAATGTCATTGAGAAACGAAATGATGTAACTAAAAATTTACGGTTTTCGAAAATTTTCCTTTATCTGTTAGACGACGTTACTTCGTACCAAATTTCAAGATTCTAAGTTCACGGAAAGTACCCAGTAGGTTTTGAATCTCGTGCGATGTTCGAAAAGAGGCATAAACGTCTGTATCTTTTGATGCTTTGACTTAGAAGTTTGATTTTTTACAGCTCCAAGATACAGTAGACCTGAGTATTAGATTTGAATTTCAGTTTGATACCTCCACGCGTTCCTGAGAAAAACGGTCTTGACAGCCGGACGGACAACAAAGTGATCCTTTAAGAGCCGTTTTTTCCTTTTGAGGTACGGAACCCTAAAAACTTAACATTTGTAAACAAACAATAACAAATATTGATACTTAATATTGGTTGATATTTTTTTATCATTTATTATGCTTTGGCTATTATTTCTTCAGTGATGGCTCCCTCAGGATTTGGCCAATATCTGGTGTTTGTGTTCAAAATTTCTTGTCTATGTTTGTTCGGTGAGGGCTTGTTTACTGTCAACTCTGCTTATGCTCTGGTGTGAATACATACAAAGTTACTCTATGGTGAATACTATAATAAATTTATTGAACCTATCGTCAACCAAATGTCACTTTAAGTTGCGTTCAGAAACTCGATTTAAAGAGTTTACTTAAGGATGCATGTTCGTATGTGACCTTTTTTTTCTATATGGCTTTGCACGGTTTGTGCATTTAGCTAATGTCAAGTGTAAAATGTTAACATATTCTATAGCACTCGTGGTCAAAATTTTAGTCAAATCAAATCAAAGAAAGTGGCAGTCAAGTCAATCCCCCTTTCCCTATGTTTCAGTAAATGTGTGGGGATTTACTGGACTTCTTGAGGGAACGTCGAAAGACACTTTCCGCTATTTTGTTTCATTTGCCAACACTTGTGCATGTTTCCGAACACTTAGTGGTTAATAATCCACCATTATTAGACACTAACATCCGCCACAACACAATTTTTAACAAGAAAAACAAAACTGCTAAAGTGACGCTTCCCGATCCCGCCAAAAAGTCCGTATGTGACCTAGTAATATTGCATGATTATGATTATTCATAACTACTCCGGTGGTAATGCAGAGATTATCGGAATTGCAGAGCTAGATTCTGATTAATGTTTTTTGATGTGGAAAATCTTTCCTCTCGCTTTCCTGCAATTTGTGGGAGTGATTTCGTGAAATGGGACGGGCGTGGGTAACAGGAAGTCGCGAAAGCGCGCGCTATTTGATTTGATTATAGAACATAATGTTCATATGGCTTATTCCTTTTGTAGTAGGTTTTATTTCTTTTTCTACTAATAATATAAGGTAAGGTTTCAATTGTTAAACATCATACGGGAAGTACTGTATGGCTCGCTCGTTTTTTTTCCCACATAGTCTTTATTATTTAAATATCGGTTGCTTTTTTTCTCAATCTTAATAACTAAATCGGATGTTTTTTTCTTACTTAATAAATAAAATAAAACATTTTTTACTCACACTACCTATTTGGTTTGAAGACGGCTATGGCGTCTAGTCGGTTCTTTTCTAAGTTGAAGCGCATTTTAGAATTTCTACAAGCACTACAAATTACAATTAATGGAATTCAAAATCTAAAAAAAAGCAAGTTGAAGGTACAAAAAAAAATTGCCATGACAAAAATTATAAACGAACAAATATGGCTCTCCACTTCCATTCAAAAAAATACAATGAGCGTATTCTGTTAACCGACCACTTTGAAGAGGTGGTCATGCGCAGTTGAATTCATCATTGTCTCTCTTTTTTACTTGAATCATCTAGCTTAGATAGAACGAGATCAAATATTTACAAACGTCCCGTGTATTTGGTTGTTGTATAATTATGTAGTTGAAGTGCAGAAATAAAAATTGATCGTATTATTGTAGATCAATCAAAGAACGTTTACGTAGCGATTTTGTTATTTTTGGAGCCACAATATTTTTGGTTAAATTCAGTGACCTACATTTACTTGGTGTATATCTTTTATGAACTGTACGTTTCCAGATAACAGGTTAAAACATTACTTAAAAATATCACGTCGAATCAGTTTCCAACGCCATTACTACTTACACCCATTCTTTGCACGTAATTTAGTCAGTGTCGACTTAGTGTGAGATTGCCCTGGAGCATTATTTTCATAGGGTTTTATCTGTATAGAGGTTCGTTGTACATTTATTTATAAAAAGAACGTAATTTTCTTTCAATTTTGGCGGGACTGGAGAGCTGGCAGGCTGTGCGGTCCTAGAAAGCCAACTGTCATCTGTCGCTGTAGCCTCGTCAATGTTTAGACTTTAGAGCTCATGTTCCAGTGGATTTACCTATTAAATTAGCAGTGCAATAGTGAAATTGGTGGTGTGCGATCCATTTGGACGTTCGAACATGCGTCACGAGTAGGCGGATATGGATAGCAGGCGATCGTGCCCAAGTTACGAAGCCGGGTTTGACGCGTGCGATCCACTAGGGTCAGTATTTGAGTGGTCCGGGCGAGCACCAGCTCGTGTACTGCGGCGACGTTGCCGGAGCGAAGGCATTGATAGGTCGCCTTATGAGGATGCCAACCGCGAGGCAAACCGATCTGCGGACGGCTATCCTCGCTACCGTGCTCTGCCCAACAAAAGTCATTTCACTCTGAACAACACCGAAGGCCACGTTGACCGGTTTTTGCACGAATGCACGCTGCCTGTCTCTCAAAACGGCGACTACATCATGGCACAGGAACAGAACAGGCACCATGGGTGAGTGACAATATCACAATAACATAACCTCAAATATCCATATGGTGAAGTTAAAATGTTTACGTTTCCCTGATTATGATCTTGCATACAATATTACATTAAATTTTTATAATGTAGTTCAATTATCAATAATAATTAATAATTTAGTTAATTACTATTTATAACAAGATGTTGATGTATAACAATGCCTTTCTTGCTTGCAGATATCAACCAGGTAGATCAAAATTTCACAGAACAAGCCCTACCAGACCATTACTAGTTACAACATTGTCTAATACAAAACTGGATGATAGATTACCAAAAGTGGAAGAATTACTGGAGAAAGTTGATCAAGAAATGATGGAAGTGCAAATGGCAAAACAGCCGTTGAAATCAATACTCAATAATCCATTGCCAAAATCTCCACCCCTGGGTATATTGAAGAAACCTAAAAATAAACTCTATCAAGAATGTAAGTCCAGTGAGGGACGGAGGAGACAAAGGGCTGCAAGCGAATCTGACCATTTATTTTGCAATTTTCATGTCGCTTCTCCAATACCTGGTTATGATAGGTGAGATATGTATAAAAATCATTCTTTTTATGTACTATTTATTGCTTGTTTTTCCTTTTTTCTGTAGCTTTTTCCATTTTACACAGAAATTTCACCAAGTTTTTCTTTTTTTATATTTTTAATTCTATCAATAGATTAATGCTTTCTTACTTATATCTTTAATTTAAAATTGTCTGGATTCTATTTATTATTACCTTTATTCACAACAATGTAGTGAAAGGTTAAAATGAAAATCAAGTTGGTTGCAGTGCAGTGTTGACAAGTTGAGTAAAGTAAATTTTATCCAACATAATTACAAGTTGTTTTTAGTAGAAATTGCACAATGTTCTTTAAACTTTTTATTTCATTAATGCGATTTATCTTTTAAGTTATAGCTCTATTTCCTTAGGTATGTAGGCATATATCAATCTTAAGGAAGGGTAATATGGCAGAAAGTTTACACTAACTTTACATTTCATTACATAAAATAATATCTAATAGGATTAAAAGTTGGTAAATATTTTCTTCAGCGTATTTTTTTGTTCCAGCCGTTTGTCATACCTTTCAAATAGCATGAAGCGGGCAAAAGATAATTCAGGCACAGGCTATTCTTATGGCACTGCAATCGCTTCAGTTGGCAATACTTCCACCAAAACTGTATCAAGTTACTCAAAGAGTCAGAGATGTTCGTGTAAAGATCAGGTGTTTATGGCTAACAAAGATGAAGTTCACAATATGCACATACTGAGAACAACTGCAATCAATAGCGACACAGTTGGAGAGGCACCTATCATGGAAATTGTAAGTTTATGTATTTAAAGGTAAGTACAGTAGCGACTTAGTAGTGGTTTTGGCCAGTTAAGTTTTTATCATAGTTTGGACAGGGATTTGCCAGTTAAGTAAATACGGTGTAACTTTCTGATTTCTAAACTCGCTACTGTACTTCGCCAAGGTGTAAATCAGCCTTTATCGGGTACTTATACTTCATTCATAAGACATGCAGGATATAGAGGCTAAATATAATAATAACATGGGAAATAATAATTTAGTAAATTGACAAGTACTTAAATTAACTAATTTTCTCTTCTCCTTTTTTTCATAATGCCCCAGTTGTACTTTTGACATTTTTTTGTCCTTTTTGTCTAGATAGCCACTAATGGGTATTGTTGAATGTCAAAATTGATAAAAGAAAAGCAGGTGCCAAAATTTTAAAGTTCTTGGTGCTTATTGCTAAAATATGTGGGCTATGTCATGCATCAAATTTTTGAACGCATCTAGTGACAGGCTCTTAAGAAAGTTGCTTAACCTCTACAATTGCACTATGGACTCAAGTGTCACTGAATTGTTTTCCTTTATCTCTTCCACTTTACTATTAATTACAATACAATTAATCCTACTAATATCATAAATGTGAAAGTTTCTATGTTTGTTACTCAATCACGCAAAAACTACTGAACAAATTTGGACAATTTGATACACATATAGTTTATCACCTGAAATGAGATAGGATACTTTTTATGCCAGAAAAATGACAGGTTCCTGCAGGAGTCTCATAAAACTAAAGTTAAAGCGGACAAACTAAATAAATTAATAATCATCATTCAATCAATCATCAAATTAATAAGTTATGGCTTATTAATTAGTTAGCTATGAATATATTATATTTTAATAAATAATTCTCAGGACTTCTTATTACCACCAGATTTACTTGCAAAATATTTGTACATGATGAGTGCAGGGTTGTCGAGATATCACTCCGCGGGCTCAGCTTCTTCCAAGAGTGCAGTAGGAACCTGATACTAACTAACACACAGTTTCAATAAATAAATATTTATAAAAGGCTAAAGGCTAATTAGCCTAGTCCCAAAGTAAGCACTGTAAGGCTTGTGTTATGGGATACCCCTAGTATAGGGATAGAAAATAAAAATACATATAAACATCCAGGACTGACTGACGACTGAGGTATAAAAGCTTATATGCATCACTAAAACGTTTGCCCCACTGGAATTCGAACCCAGGATCTCTGAGTAGGCGACCTTGAAAACCGGCGTACATACCGCTCCAGCCTCATGTCGTCAGTTTTGCACAGTACAGGATCCTAATTTCCTGATGCAGGTAATTCCAGTCTAGCATCCCTTCTACCTAACTACATATATTGACAAGAACTAAATGAATAAGATTTTGAAATTTATTTGTTATATATTTATGTTATTGGTTTATCATACTTGGTAACAAGCCAAAGAACGTTTATTAAAAGATTAAATCGTTTTTAGGTTTCTGTACCTCAATGCGCACATAGAATCACTGAATGAATAGTGTCTAATATTGTATAGATAATAGCACGGAACCCTTCGTGCGCGAGTCCGAATCGCACTTGGCCGGCTTTTATCATTTGAAGCCTAGCTAGTTATGCCCTCGTTCACATTCATAAAATTGGGTTTCGAATAATTACAATTCCATGTTGTTCATATCAATGAAGTTACATGGTAGAGAGATAACAGTCATCATTACAACAATAATTATAATAATAATAATAATAATAAATATGTCCAACACTCACACCAATTAGCCTAGCCCCAAAGTAAGCACTGTAAGGCTTGTGTTATGGGATGCTAGGGTAACGGATAGAATACATATACTGTACATATATATAGAAATACATATTAAACGTCCATGACTGGAGTACAAATGCTCGTATTCATCACACAAACATCTGCCCCCACCGGGATTCGAACCTGGGACCTCTCGAGTTGGCGACACCATGAAACCCGGCGTACAAACCACTCGACCAGGGAGGTCGTCAAATATAATTACATATTACCTTTTGTGTGATGAATGATATTGAATTAAGTATTTTTTGATCTTTTTAAACAGAGATGGAGTGTTAATTAGATAAACAGTTGAACAAATTTGAAACATGTGCTTAATCCACATGTTCTGCTTTTCATGTTACCTTGAGCTCGCAGATGGGTTACAATTTATTAATATTTGTTTTGCATAAAATGGTTAGAAGATGGCATGCTAATAATTAGTCAGTAGCCCGCACTTTGTAGATTGTTCACGTATTCACAATAGAATATTTCTTCCTATCATAGACATTATAAATTTATCTCTTGATTTAAATCAATTCATAAATGTGGGTTCGTTTGTGTTATCTTGTATTATCTTTAATCGATGTTTTTTTGGGATAAGCTGTGTTATAATTTATCATAACTCATGGTAATTTATCATTTAAAGTTATTCAGTGACCTAGCGCGGTCGCAATTGTTATGGATTATTTCGTACTGGCATTGAAATGGCGGTAAACTACATTTAAATCCGTTTAACCGCTTTCGACTGGCTTCCTCTGCCTCGTTGTTTGAACAATGCTGACGTGCGCGAATAATATCACTTATGGAGCTAATCTTATGAATAATTGTGCTAAAATAGTTGCGGAATTCTCAGTGCGTTATTTTTAACCGTTGGTGATAATGACGATATTGTAACTGTGGGATGAAGATGTGCTTGGTTCGCTGTGACGTGCACCTGAAAGAGTTGTGCAAGATGTGGCTATGATCGTTGAAACGTACGACGAGTGGTGGGTGTGTTTTAAAAATGTGGATGCTGAATGTGCGCATGCGCAAGTTTAAAAAGTTCCTTCGGAAGATATGCCGATGTGTGAGTTGACTGTTCTATCTATATTCTTGAAGTGATTTATGTATATTATGTCGGTAATTTATTTTATGTAAACTTAAGTTGTTTGTTGGTGTTTTAAAAAAATACCGAATCACAAATCAATATCAAAAATCGTTTATTCAGTCTAGACTGTTACATGCACTTGTGAAAGTCGAGAAGCTACACCGTCGACTATAATAAATTATACTATAGTGATTCTTGTATCTTTTATGCATACGTTGAAGACGGAGATAAACCATCAATCGTTTAAATCGTTCCTTGAGAAGTTTTATTATAGGTAGTAGGGGAAACTACCCAATCATTGGCACTCTTCCTATTATTGGCACTTTTGAGTTTAGTTCGAAAAAACCAGGAAACAATAGATTATAGGAATAATGCTGCCAATTTCGAAACCATACTAGGTTTTTCTTTTTCATATGTAACGACCTTGAATAATAATCTATTGTCTCCTTGTTTTTTTCGAATAAAACTCAATAGTGCCAATAACAGGACGAGTGCCAATGATTGGGTGGTTTCCCCTATTTCAAATTCGTTCGATTTTAAAACCGCAGTTCAGTTTAGTTGTTTTGCTGAGCATACTATGCTTGATTCAGCAATACTTACAGTACACTGAACTCCGCTGAAGTATATCCAACAGCTCCATCACTATATTTCGTCACGATAAAAATCTGAGCTCTACCAAATTTAACATGATTGCTTTAAAGAGATTATTACTTCATTTCGTTACTGGCATACGATATTCCATTGGGATTACAACTTGCTGACGAAAAACCTTTCAGAGTTTGCTACTAATTTTCCAGTTTTTTAGGGATTAATAACTGTGTTTATGGTGGATATATACTATTCAAAACAAAATAAGGGCCACCGTGTTTTTTCTGTATTCTAATAAATGTTTCGTGTTTGAGCGTAGATAAACAATTAAATTGAATTAGAAAGCTAATTTTTGAATGCAAAATTAATAAAATTTAGTTTATTGATCGCCAAAAACAATCTGTTGAGGTTATTTAGAAAAAATGCAATTTTAGCAAAAAAATACACTTCAGGAAAACAAAGGGTAAAACAATCATGTCGAAAGAATTTTAAAATGATTACAGTGCTTTAGTATAGTGCGTGTTCTCCTCTTTTTCGAACACATTCTTGAGCCCGGATGGCTCACTCTTCACAAGATGTCGCACTGTCTCTTCTGAAAATTGTTCCCAGCTTGACTTGAGCACTTCAATAACATGTTGTTCATTATGTATAGGTACACTTCAGGAAATACTATAAAAGATAAGAACGTTTAATAACGCTTCAGATGTTAAAATTTACAAGTGGCCCTTATTTTGTTTTGACTAGTATATTTCCGTTGTTTTAGACAAGGAAGCGGTCGTAGTAAATTTAGAGATGAAATAAGGATTCAACTCGCTTATGACTCAGAATCGTTCTCGGCTTAAAGGTGGTGGTCGGTTTTCATTATATACACCTTAGATATCGTATTTATTGCACAGAAGCGGCGCAAAAATATCTACTACATATGGTAGATATGCCCGTCGCTGCACACGCACACATTGACTGCTTTAGTACCACCTCACATTATAGTCCAGTCAGTATTGTCGCGAAATCCGTTTTTCCTCAAACAGCTGGAACTATGCTAAAAAGTTTCTTAAGATAGTAAAGAACACTTTACATAGAGAAAAAAATGTTTCCAACCCCGGGCAAGGGTGAAAACCACCCTTAATAATCTATTTTTCCAATTATCTCAAAAAGTATACGAGATACGGAAAAAAACTTCAAATGAAAATTGTAGATCTTTTTGAAATCTACAAAACATTATTCCACCCTCTTGCCCCTATTTTCAATAGGGGAGCCAATAATCGAAGTCAAAGATAACTTTTTTAACTAACTTTAACTTTTTAAGTATTGAATCTTTGACTTCGATTATTGGCTCCCCTATTGAAAATAGGGGCAAGAGGGTGGAATAATGTTTTGTAGATTTCAAAAAGATCTACAATTTTCATTTGAAGTTTTTTTCCGTATCTCGTATACTTTTTGAGATAATTGGAAAAATAGATTATTAAGGGTGGTTTTCACCCTTGCCCGGGGTTGGAAACATTTTTTTCTCTATGTAAAGTGTTCTTTACTATCTTAAGAAACTTTTTAGCATAGTTCCAGCTGTTTGAGGAAAAACGGATTTCGCGACAATACTGACTGGACTATTAGAGTCAGTAACATTTGCCGTTTTCTTTGTGTGGTTTTTGGTTTTCCCTATCTAGGCGTATAAACAATCAAAGGTCTTACATTGACACTCCTTTAGGTAGGATAGGATTGTTTAGCTGTCTATTAGGGAAATGCTCAGTTGCTGTTGAAAATCAAACAATTTGGAGCAACCACCAGCGCAGCGGTCATCTATTATAACCGGTCTCATCTCGTTGAACTCTGCCTCATTGTCTGTTTAATTCGGTGCTCTTTAGATTTTATTGTGCCTCTTCACAAGACTAGGCATATTGCCAAGTTGTACAAAATGTCAATACGATGCATTATAACTTTTTCAGCCGCGCGGCATCGATCTGCCATCGATTATTGTGCTTAACATTAAATTAAAGTCGAGTCAAATTAAAGTAAATAAAATTACATGCGTACGTAAAAAAAAGCTATTTCAAACATTGTGGTAAAAAAAACAAAATTTGTTCCAGTTAAGTTGACCCTTGCTATGACAGCCTTGACATCTTTTGTGCAGTTATATTTGAAATCACTTTAGTGCCCGCTTGTGTCCAAGGTGCAAATGAAAATACAATAAGAATGTGTTTTAAGAATAATTTGCCGGCGGTGGTTGCCAAGACGATCGACCGAATAATTCCAGTGTGCCGCCGGTAAAATGCATTATTTTGGTATTTCTGAATAATATTTTAGTAAACCGACCGACTGACCGGTATTCGTATATAACACTCAGAAATACTAGCACTGGGTAAGTGTAACACTTGTCTTTACAATAAAGTAATTTTACTTTCTTCAATCTAAAAATGAGCAATTTCTCTATATTTGTGTCTTCAACTATAAAGAATTTTAGAACAGTTAGTGCACAAACATTAACATAAACCATTCAACTTAAGACAGACACTAGACATTACTTAGCAAAGCTTAAATAAAAGTAGAATATAGTTGGATTTATTACGCAGAGTTTTTCGTTCATCGAATAACAAATGTCACTTCAGTGATGTGAACAGTACACTCCATAAATAGTCTTAGCAAATGGGCGTAGTAGTATAACTCACTGACAGCATCAGAGGCTCAAGCACGAACATTGACAGCCCCGTAATCGTATCGTCATCGTCAAATTTTGTATAGAAAGAGCCAGTTTGTTCTTACCTTCGATGCTTATTCTCTACATAGAAACTTTTAAGATGCGATACGTCGCGTCGGTCTGGTAAATATAAGGTTTTAAAATAAAAGTTCTTTTCTTTCGACAAGTAGGTATAGACATTTAAATTTGTTATCGCGTAAATCTAAATAGCTATGTCGCAGGTAGAGCTGGCAAATACTTTAAAACTTTCTGTAACGACATCCCGGTGTTGATGACAGATTTAAATCGATGCAGTAGCTGCGTAATCTCGCTGGCTAGCCAGTGTAAACCTTTTTCATGGTAGAACAGAACACTGACTGGACGTCTGTATGGCCAGAGATAAGTAGTAATAGGCGACGTTGTTAGGTGCGTAATACTGGATCCAACTACTGTATCAATGTAAATCCTTATTCTGACCCTGGCATGAATGTTTAATTTCACTCAACACTATGGATTATGAGTCCGAAATAAATGATGATTTGTTTATTAATAGTCAAAAGGTTTTAGTTTTTAACAAAAAAAAATTATGTCCCTTCTTCCAAGTTGAAATCAGCACGGTTCTCGTGGTACATGTAACATATTTTTTTTTATTTTAGCAATCACGTTTAACATAATCTTCATTATAGCAACAATTATTGTCATCTCCCAAATTAAGTCTCTCGCCACGTGATAAAAACGTCTTTTTATTTAGATCGTTTCAAATTCAGCGTAGTATGGCGTGGGAGTATGTATTTTATGAATAGATAAACGTTTTATTATATTTCACGGAGAAACTAAGAATTTAAATTACTATTGAAATTTCAGAACTTCGAATTTAGACAGGCGAGCATTAATTTCGTTGTGGTGACACGATCGCTCCGGACACCACAACTTCGTTAATTTTGTTACGATACAAAAGTGATTGATTTTCCGTATGATTGAATTATACATTTTGAACTGTTATATGCACAGTCAGAGCCGAGGGAGGCGGGCTGTGGCTCCCACAGAGATAAAAAAAAATTTAACGCATCACCAACCGGGGGGATGGGAGGAGGAGGGTTTGCAAATAGTGAATGGCACGGCCCCGATGTAGGGGACTCCACACCTCTAAATTCGGCCCTGTGTACAGTTAAACTCCAATTAAAATTATTTCATTTTGGAGTTATCCATTCCTGATAGAACTGTAGTCACTGCGTGCTAAAAAGCTCAATGACTTGTTGCCAAAGGTATAGCACCCAGGAAGCTTTATCGAGGAATAGAAAACGGTCTCGCGTGGCGTGATTTATATATATTTATTATGCCGCAACTCCACCCGTGATTTTAAAAACTCTTAAATGCGTTACCAAAAAATAAAATGTTTGTATTACAGCCGCGGCAGGAAACGCCCACGCCCACATGCCCAGCGGTGAGCCCGGCACTGCCAGTGAGCTCGGTGACGGCGCTCTCCGCCAAGAAGGCGCTCAAGCCGGGCAAGAAGAAGATCAAGCAGAAGGTCAAACTAGTCAAGATGAAGTCCACGAGCAGCAAGATAGATTGTACTGTCGTGGACGCGGAGGCTGAGGAGTAAGTGCTTTGATAATATGGAAAGTTTTACTGGTGGCATGTAAGAGAGTTTCACAGTTCCGTAATCGTATTGCATCGTCAAAGTTTTACTGAAAACTAAGCAACCCATATCGGATGTAAGGACAAACTAGCTTTTTCCATACAAAATTTGACGATGACGTGGACGATACGATTACGAAGATATCAAAGTTCGTGTTTGGGCGTTCGTATTAATTGGAGCAGCTTTGATTGAAAAGTTACTTTCATCACCTTACAGTAGATTAGTTGCCAAAACTTTACATGCTAGGTCAGTGCCAGGAAAAAGATTTTCACAATGGGATTGAAAATAAATTTTACATGGATCAGATACTTAATATATGCAAATAATTGATTCCACAGAAATTAGATTTCCTGAAAGTTACTTTAATTGCTTATAGCTTAAGTAGCATTCGAACTCAAGTATATCTTGTATTGCTTCATCTAATATATACTCTATTCAACTTCCTCTAAAACAAAAGGTACAAAAATAAATGGTGTATCCAGATTGATTACAAAATTTCAATTTCAACATACATTATTTGCTTATATAGACTTTACTCTTCAATTTGAGAATAGCTACAGTTTCAGGTCTGTTTAATATCACTTTTTTATTAAATTATGATTTTATATGCGTCTAAAAACCTTTTAATGGTTTGTTTACCTTTTATCTCAGGGAAATTGTATAGATTATAGTTACTGGGTAGTCCACCAAACGGTATCACGGTAATTTGTTCCTTTTCAGTGCTCACAGTAGATCGCCGTCTCCGGATCCTATCGCGGTGTCTCCGTGGCCGATGGAAACGGAGCCGGCATCCGAACCGGACCGGACGGTGAAGTCCAAACCGGAAGTGTCGGATACCGGGCCCATTAGCAAACTGTCCACCAAGCTCAACGGCACGGTGGTTACACCGAAAAAGTTGCCTTCTAAAGGTCAGTTTATCAGGTCATCTATTACGACGCCCACTGCTGAGCACAGGCCATAAGAAACATTTCAATTCAAAGTAAGACTAAATTATAACTTTTATAATTGGTTCCACATTTTCTAAATTGAGAAACAGGGGAACCTGTTTATCAATTGATTCCACCGAATTAGATTTCCTGAAAGTTACTTAAAAAAAGTTCCCTTAAGGGCTGAATTCACTTTTCTCGGATAAACTTATCTGTGAAATAAATTCTATGAAATATCATCCAAAACTCAACAACAAACTATAATGAATGAACACAGCTGTTCATTTTGTCATTATAATACGATATCGCTTAGCTAAGTTTTAACCAAGGTTTAAAAAATTAGCCTATATATATATTACTTGGTGATATAAAGTTCGCGGTTTATAAACTGCTAGAGCGTTATTAATGTAGTTTCAGAATAGGGTGAACATGAAGAAAATCGATGCAAATACGACGTCGAAAGCGGTCGTGTTAAGTTAGTTTATTTTTGCAAACTTTTGAATGCCTTTCGATTTACACGCAACTTAAAATTTCTAACGAAAAGAGTGTTTATTTTAACATCGATACCAAATATAGATATTGACAATACGCCATTATAAATTATGTTTATCAATGAAATTTACCAACATCTCAATATTATAACTTAATGCTGTATTTTATCAAAATAGAACCCTAAAATTATTGTTTCGGAAGCATACTTACCCGTACCGTTTATTATCAAGTCTTATGTAGTACGTATGTACTAACAATCTTATCTAACAAAACGATTGATTTCGCAATTTGCAAACAATAACTTGTAAAAAAGGCACAGGAGCACAGAGCAACGTTATTTTTATAAGATAGTCGCAGTTATATTGAAAAATAACTAATATTGTATAAACATAGACATTTGCTCGAGTAATCGTCCTTGTAAACTATTCATAGACTATGTTGTTTACATTACAGAGAAGATTAACAAGGAACAGCTATTCATAACCGCATTACACACGACGAATCCCTTCAAAACTCTGCCGACACGGAAAGGTTAACCTTTCCCTAACTTAATACCGTATCATTGTATCTTCCAAACGCAGTTGGCATAATCATACTAGGGTTGCCACATCGTGATTTTCTTTGTACACGTACAAATATATTTATTTGGACAAGTTGACTTTAAAATAAGTGTCTGTTAAGATCCTGCAATTTTATTTTTGATCTAAAATCGCATAAATTTATTAACTGAATAAATATGCGTGACCAAACAATCTGTTTTTTTTTGAGATATGTTGGTGTTGATCACATTAAAATTACTGGGCAGACGGGAGATTCGAGAAAAAATCGAACATAATATTATAACAACCCTTTCAACCCTAAGCGTAAGCGTAATCAAATTTAGAAATGAATGCATTTCGGGGTTAGGCAAATTGATTTTTAATGAAACTACGGCTTGCGTGTTTACAGACACGGGTAACTTGATTTCTTAACTGCGTTTGTAATTTAATATTTGTTTGTATAGTCAAATGCACATCGGAATAATAAAATATCAACATTTGTCAATCAATTTTAACACTATACGGTAAAAATCTATTGGAGAGATTTGATAAATTGATGTGCATTTGATACTACATCTCAAGCTTAGTCTTGTATATTTTAATATACTATTTATTGTAGACCTATTGTTGTCTGTATCAATTGCCAGACAATGTTATCATAATGTTTAGATTAGAGTGCTGTAAAACGCTCAAATGTAGATTTGTGTAATTAATAAACTATTGATATACCTACTTACGTATTAGTAATGTTAAAACAATAGAATAACCTAAATCATAGTAGATTTGTTTATAAAAACGATTCTTTGTAATCATCAGGGACTGTACTCTTAAAATCGATATCTATCTGATGTATCGTGAACTTCTTCGTGTCGTGTTCTACTCCACGGCATTAAAAACTATATAATCGTCTGTGCATAGGAAGTCCCTGAATCGCGAAGAAAATGTCCGTCGAGGACTTGTTACAGACTCAAAGCACACGATGTGCGAACATTTAGATAAGCGAACGCTATGGAAGTAAATGTTCTCCGATTACGTAGTATTGTAATTAACATGAAGTTTAAGAAAAAGATACGCTTTTAAAGAGAATATTGGGTCCATTTCTTTCAATGGGGCCGGGCACCCAACGAGTTTACATGATTTCTATTGTTCGGGGACTCCCGCGTTCCTTTGTCCTGTCCCGTGTCTTGGTGTCATCGGATGTTAGGGGACTTTTTGCACGTGGTATTTTTAATCCGTGGTGTGCGTTACTCGATGCAATAGGGATGATGACTCATTTTTTTTTCTTCGTTTATCAGTTAGATTATCAAAAAGTATTGGACACGTATTTTTTCTTTTTTCACATAATATAAACATTGCAGAGATATATTGATTTGAAAAGTCGCATGACGTCACGTTTGAGTACACTTATAAGCGAAAATTCACTCAAAAGTGACGTCACGAGCCCCTACTCCCAAACTTTGACGCGCTATAACTTTGTCATCATTTGGTTGATTGCCTAAAGAAAAAATACGTGTCCATTATTTTTTGATCATCTAACTGACGGACTAAATAGAATTTCGTTTACTGTACCCCGTCATCACCCCTATTGTAAGCGATCTATTTCGGCGGACAAAAATACATCGAACAAAAGTTCCTCGTCTGCGCAGGCTATAAGTGAAAATAGGATGGATGACACTGACGATTACAATATATAGACAGTGAACTTTAACTTCCTTATTAATAAACGAGGAATAAGCATAGACTAATTCCGCCGTACTTTTTTCATGTCACTGAAGTGCTATTTCTAATTCTATGAACAGAGACAAAACATAGAGTAACTAATCCAATCTTATTCGTTTTTTATTAATAACAGGGAATAGTACAGTGGTAATATTATGAATTCTTAACGCCAGGGAAGTTCTGTTGTCAAAGCAAGACATCACATACGCTTAGTAGAACGGCATCCCATAGTTATTGACAATTTATAACACGGCTTAGGATAGGTTCAGCTCTTTTGTTTTCGCGTAGTTTCATCATTCTTTATATAAAACCAGTTTTAACGATATAGATGCACTGATCTATTCATTTACGACGCTTCGCATGTTTTACAGGCTGCTTCGTCAGAATTATGTTTATTTAACATGTGGTGTGCGTGAAAACCTAAGATCTTTATATTTGTTTCACATGCACATCACTTATTAAATAATACTAGTTTTAACGGTATATATATCATTCTTTATCTCAAAATGTCTATGTATTTTAGACTATAAACTTTTATCTTTCAGAATCTCCCCTCAGTTTACCGGACAGTATAAGCAATTGTCTCCGGCCGTCGCTGTTTCCGCGCGTTCCGCCCTACCTCAAATTTTTAGGTCATGAAGACACCGTCCCATTGAAAATACCCCTGCCCATACAGAAGCATCTCAAATGGAAACTCACAACCATCACACCGATAGTAGTTAAGAAAACTCTCACAAACTCTGGGTTTAGATTAGTCAAAAGCGAATGTGATACGGCAGAATGCCCTCAAGAAGGTAAGTGAAATGTTAATAAGTACAGAAGACGTGTGTTTTTATTAATTTGAACCTTATTCACAATAAACTTAAAGCATATCCTTTGTTTTTAAGACCGTTTTAGTATCAATGTTATGTACATATGAAATAACATTAGTAAAGTGAAACTTATTAAATCGCCACAATTTTTTTCGTTAGTCTTTAGTCATGTAGCATTACATTTTTAGTTATTATTAAAAAAAATAAGACTTATTAACAAGCATCGGTGGTTCAGTGGTATAAAGCTCGCCTGCCGCCGTGGGCGATCCGGTTTCGAAATTCTCAGTCGCAGAAAGACTTTTATTTTTAATTTTCCACTTTTTATAAACATGAGTAACCTTTCATTGTGATTTCATAAATCCACACCAATTTTTGTATAGTTCTCAAACTGTAGCTATTTAGGAATAAAGCTTATGATTACAAAACGATTCATATTTCAGAAACGGTAGAATGGATAGGTATATGGGGTAAGCACATGAAATCGCTAATGTTCCGAGCTATAAAGGACGGGCAGAAGATGAACCATTTCCCCGGTACCTTCCAAATAGGTCGAAAGGACCGTCTGTGGCGTAACCTACAAAAGTTGGCCGCCAAATATGGCGTATCAGAGTTTGGGATTATGCCGAAGACATATGTACTGCCCCATGATATGAAGCTGTTGAAACACGACTGGGAGAAGCACGCGGCCAACAATGAGAGATGGATCATAAAGCCAGTGAGTGAAGTCTTAATTTTAAATAGTTAATCAAGTTAATCTGTATTCAATTGTTTTTGTGTCTAAATGTTGACGACTACTTTTGTTAATATTACAAATTTAAAGAAATGTGTTCCATGAAAAGATTTATCGTTGTAATTTTCACCTTGGATTTGTGTGAATATTTTAAATCAGCCTGTTTTATTCGTATCTCTTTATAAAGGTATACCATGATCCGGTAGATTATCAAAAAGCATTGGACACGTATTTTTTCTCTTTTCACATACTCAAAACATTGCAGAGATATATTGATTTGAAATGTCGTATGACGTCACGTCTTATTACAATGTACTTAGAGGTGACGTCTGGAGCCCCCACTCCCCTACAAATATTGTCGCTCTGTATCTTTGTTATTTTTTGGATGATTGACAAAAGAAAAAATAAGTGTTTACTATTTTTGATGAACTAACCGACGGACTATATAACATACAATTTCCTTTACTTTACCCTGTCATCATCCCTATTTGTCTAGGACATTAATTTGAAGTTCGTCTTCATAGCACATTAATTTGATTTCTTTTCAGCCTGCTTCTGCTAGAGGGACAGGCATTAAAGTGGTTTCCCGTTGGACACAAATACCGAAGAAGCGACCGGTGGTGGTACAGCGCTACGTGTCAAAACCGTACCTCATTAACGGCAGCAAGTTTGATATGAGACTCTACGTCTTAGTCACGTCTGTGCATCCTCTTAGGATATATTTGTATAAAGACGGCTTGGCGAGGTTTGCTTCAGGTGAGTTGCATTAAAAAGTCATTATCAACGAATTAGAAATAATATGGATACTACCTTAAAATGTGCTTCCTCGGAAACTGCAATCAAGTGGGCGGGGCGAAAAAACTGCGATCAACACGGCGATCATGGATTTGGTTCCGTTTAACATTATCTTACCAAAATAATGGATAGCTGAATTCATTTGCAGACAATTTCCAAATTAATTTTGTTTTGTCTGTGTGCGTTTCGCGTTAGTATCGAAGTTTATAGCCCGTATTGAGGACGATCTTGAGATGCTGTTTTGTATGAAATCAGTATCGCAAGATCGCAATTTCAGAGTTGAGAGCGATCTATTAATACGAGCCTAATCGTATGAGTTACGAACCATGTTATGACGGCCCTTGGAGAGAGTAATGCTTCAAGCGCAGGTTATATTAGCTTGATGCTTCGCTGAGCATATAATTATGTACCGTGAACTTTGTCATGTCAAATTATATCCTCTGGCCATGATGATCACGATATTATATCGAAAATTAACTTGAGTACAAGATCTACGCTTTATCTATCACGTCAATACTTGTTAACTTATTTTGTGACATAATCATTTATATTAAAAGTTAATCTTTATTGATTAAATCGTATCTTTAACAGTATGATAAATAAAGGTCACCTAAATTTTTAAATCTTTAATAATATATAATCGCAATGTTTACAATAAAATATGTAGCAAATAACAATCACGTACATATCTCTTATTATTAGGTGATAAAGCTGTTTTCAATGCTACAATGCAGCAACTGTATGTATATGTATACATTTTGTCTTTTCAGTAAAATATAACGATGAGTTAACCTCACTGAACGATCGGTACATGCATCTCACAAATTACTCCATCAATAGACTGTCCAAAAACTACACGCCCAATGAGGACTTTTCGGCTTGTGAAGGACATAAATGGTAAGATAATTTATGATTACAGTTTTGGAAAGGAAATCTGAATGATTTGTCTGTTTTGAGAGATTTTGTAGTCACATTTTGTTTCAATAATAGCGGGGTAAGTCAATGCATGTTGGTTAAACCATATCTATAAAGTATAGATCTGCGTATTCCCTAATCAACTTTCGAGTTTAACTGGGCAGATAAGTGTGAGAGACACCAAGAGATAAGGCTTAAAGTTGGTCTTAAATATTGGTTGTTTTATGTCTCTAGAGATTTGTCTTTTCTGTCTGAATGTCGCTTAGTCCATTTTCAATGTTTATGGAGTAAACTTTGATTATTTACTCTGCAGATAAAGCGTCACCTTGTAAACACTGCGATAAAAACAGGCCAGGTTTTATATACTAAGCGCGTTCTATAGTCTGTGCCACAGCGAGTGTTCTGAGGAGTTATTCTCTCTTATTCCATCTTCCCCTTTCCTTCAGAGGACCACGCGCGCTGGCCTTCGTTGTTACCGTCTAACTGCGGCCACAATTTCATCGCGTACAAAGAAATTTGGTGACTCTTTTTTTTGTCGACACGAGGTGGGAGATATTTTTTTCAACGCATCTGCGCTGCCACGCTCTATCAAGAAAGTAAATTATCAAAGGGGGTAAACTACATGACTGAAACACGTACTATTTTCAGGACATTACAAACTCTGTTTCACTACCTGAAGACTGAAAAAGACGTCAACACAGACGAGTTATGGGACTCTATGAAAGATCTTGTGATCAAAACCATAATATCCGGCGAGGCCAGTATAAGTTCTTTGACGAAGGCTAACGTCACGTCGAGGTATAACTGCTACGAGCTGTTCGGTATTGACGTTCTGTTAGATGAAGACCTAAAACCGTGGCTATTGGAGGTAATTATGTATTTATTATGTAATCTATAAAATGCAAAACATTAAAATCTTGATTACTGTTGTCATTCGATTTTATTGTAAGAAATGGAAGACCTATTATGGTAAAAAAAACATTTTAGTTCTATAAAAGTCAAACGCAGAACACATATATCTTTTCTATTCTCTCTTATTTGTCGAACTAAGTGCAAATAGGTATACATTCCGACAAACTTCTTGAGCAACGACCATAGACTATGAACCCTGCGCAGTAGCAATATTTCATACAACAACGTCTACTAAGAAAGTTTATTTGTATGTGGTTTTGTTTCAGAAGTGTATATTCAGTTTTTTCCAGAAAGTTATATGTAATTAAATTTTGGCTTAGTACACAATTTTTTTTTACCATCTACTACATCGCTATTAATAAAAGGTTTTCTCTAGAAGAAAAATAATAAAACGAAGAAGAAACCTGGTGATATATAATATATATATAATTTTCTCATAATGAGAGTAATAATATTTTATCGTAGGTGAATATATCGCCGAGTTTGCACAGTGCGTCTCCACTAGATATCCACGTGAAGGGACCCCTTGTATCGACAGTGCTTAATATCGCTCAGTTCCAAGTACCGCTCAAGACGAATTTAGAAACGCTTTCTAAGGAGAAACCACATAAGTTGGTGAGTATAAATTAGGGCCTATGCACACTACGTTCTTTAAACGCGCGTATGCGCTTTGTTTTTATAGAAACTGACGATGCGATACGATTACGGAGCCGTCAAAATTCGTTCTTCGTCTTCTAGTTATGAGACAAGAACATTTTACCGGTTTTCATAACTGGTTGTTTAGTTTTTCATTTTTAAATCGTGGAACACAACTTAATAATACTACTACTAATATGGATTTTTTGCATGTGTTAGAGAGTTCACAATATGACCTTAGGGAATGTGAGGGTACATGCAATGATCTTTGCAACAAGAGTTCGTTAACGCTCAATGTTTAAAGTTTGATCACTTAAATTACGCACGTAGCAATCTGTTTTATACATTTTCTAATAAATCATTTGGCGTACCCCAAGGTTCTGTATTGGATCCCTCGCTTTTCCTCAAGAATCTTGTACCTGTGCTTACAATGCTTATGTAAAAAGAAGTATTAATTGCAACTTTCTGTTCGTCGTTTCTACAGAGAGCTCACGTATTTTTTGTTGAATTCTGATGTTTAAATGAATTCTTGTTTTAGGCTGGATTACCATACGATAGCAGACTATACACTGTGTACCTGTCGAAAGAAGAAAGAGATAAACATATAATTTATACAAATATGGAAGACCGTGATATGGTAAGTATATTTATGTGGATACTTAATGGAATAAGGAATTTCAAATTGGGTTTTCTTGTCTCTCCACGGGGATCATTTTCTGGATCTATTGGAGAAAAGTATATTTATACACTGAGTTTGATGGCGAAAGTGGTTAGCGCGTTCGGCTGCGATTGTCGAAGTTCGCACTGGTCGGTCATTGGATGGGCGACCAAAAACTAATTAAGTCGAGTTCCTCCGTGTTTCGAAAGACACGTTAATCCGTTGGTCCCGGCTGCATCTGCAGTTGTTAGCACCCACCAATCCGCACTGGGTTCACGTGGTGGTTCACGGCCCAATCTCCCTATGCCATCCATAGGGAAGGCCTTTTCTATAGCAGTGGGTACATTACTCTAGTGAATTCATGATACTAATCGTAATAGAGGTAGAAGTTAGCGGATTTACCGCTCAAATTGGAGCAACCGTCTGTGGAAATAACCTCCAACTTACAGAAGACTACAGTAATGTAACACTGACTTTTGGTAGTGTTGTGTTTTGGTCGGTGAGTAAGGTTCCAGAGCTCTACTGGGTATGTGATTGGATCAGGGTAGGCAACGGCGCGAGTGATATATTTTGTATCGCTATCGTCTACTGGCTGTGGTCAGTGGTATGGGCTTGACGACCTCCGTGGAATCCCGGTGGGGGCAGATGTTTGTGTCATGAATACGAGCATTTGTACTCCAGTCATGGATGTTTAATATGTACATATTTCTATATAAATATGCTTATATATGTATCAGTATATCTATTCTAACTGTTACCCTAGCATCCCATAACACAAGCCTACAGTGCTTACTTTGGGGCTAGACTAATTGGTGTGAGTGTTGGAAATATTTATTTATTTATGGTGGCCGACCGCTTACCACCAGTTGGGCCATACGTTTGTTTGCCAACCTTTTAACATAAAACAAAATATTTATTCGCACAGTACCTTCGCGATATCCTCTCGACGTTGACTCCAGACGACGTTCGCCACTTAATCCAAGCGGAGGACGAGTTAACACAGGCGGGCGATATGGAGCGAGTATTCCCAACTCAGGCCACGCACAAATACCTAGCGTTCCTGACTGGGCCCAGGTACTACAACCGGTTGTTCGATGCATGGGAGACGCGCTATCATCACCACAGGCAACCAGGTATATCCTCAAATATTACATATAAACTAGATATTGATGTCGATTTTGGCATGATTTTCTAAACTCATTCAGGAGATGGTTTAAAAGTGGTAGTCGGTCACGCACAAATACCTAGTGTTCCTGACTGGGCCCAGGTACTACAACCGGTTGTTTGACGCCTGGGAGACGCGCTATCATCACAACAGGCAACCAGGTATATCCTCATTATATTATAAACTAGTTGGGCCCCGCGGTTTGTTAGGGAAATTTTCCCGCAGTTAAACAAAGCCTCTGTGTTAATCCAGGGTGTCAGATAACTCCATCCTCATATACATATTATAAAGTAGCTGTGCCCCGCGGTGTTACCCGCGGTTTATTAGGGATATTTTCCCGCAGTAAAACGTAGCCTATGTGTTAATCCAGGGTGTCAGGTAACTCCATAGCTACCAAATTTTATTAAAATTGCTCCAGCTGTTTAGACGCGAAGAAGTAACAAACATACACACTCGCAAACTTTTCGCTTTATAATATTAGTGTAGATTATAAACTAGCTGTGCCCCGCGGTGTTACCCGCGGTTTATTAGGGATATTTTCCTGCAGTAAAATATAGCCTATGTGTTAATAAAGGGTGTCGGCTAACTCCTTAACCAAATTTGATAAAAATCGCTCCAGCCGTTTAGACGTGAAGAAGTAACAAACATACACACTCGCAAATTTTCGCCTTTATAAGATTAGTGTAAATCTTTAAAAAATTTTCCGATTTATATTTTTTAACTGAGCTTGTATCCTATTTTAAACGTGGCCATGTTTTCAACAATAACAGCCATTAGAATATTTTTTTTTTCTTATTTAGTTTTTTTACAGTCTTTTTTAGAATGAAAAGTTTTGGCAGATGTAGTAAAAAACATTATAAGTAATTCACACCGAGCGAATTGGAGAACTAAAGATAAGATTCACTTTCAAATCATCATTTTATAAAAAACCCGAAGCAAAACCTTTATAATATCTTTTTGTTTAGTGGAGTGCGAGACTTTTTTGAATCACTGATAGTTTTTATAGAGGACTGCAGAAAGCTTTACCTATATTTTATAGAAAAAGAAAATATACATTTTAATAAAAAGAACAACTATACAAATACTGTCACGTTTACAATAAACATAGAAAATTCAAAATTATTTTATTCCGTTTAGGCTTTTACAAGCACATGTGAAAGTCGAACGCTACGCCATTAATTAGAAAATCTGCGACAGGAGATCTTGTACTAAGAAAAACCGGCAAGAAACCCAACCTTACTACATTTAGTCAGTATAACATATATACAGCAACCTTAAATCTCATAAAGATCTAATTTGAACCACTACTAATAATAAATAATAAGACGATGCCAAAATATTTAGATCTGCTTCACCACTATGCTCTATTAGACATTTTTTGCTTTATCCAGAAATAATATGGACAGGTTACCGGTGCATACTTACCCGATTATAAAAGCTTTTTTTATCTACGTGTATCTAGTATCTACTATATTGATGTCGATTTTGGCATGATTTTCAAAAACTCAAATCAAAGGAAAAATAGTAGTCAGTTTCTGCAGCGATGAAATAAATTATCATTTGAAAAGCTTGTTTTATATTTTATTTATGAACAGTATGTATATCCGATTAATTTTAAATCGTATTTAAATTTTTACCAATTTAGCATGGTTGCTGGCCATCCTGTCATAACTAACTTCATGTTTTTAGTGTATGGCAGTTTATGACGTCACTTTAATCACTATGGCGAATGTCAATCAGTCCAGTCATGCATAATATTCGTGAAATCGTTATAAAATTATTATACTAATTTATGATAGATTCTTCTTGAAGCAAAAACCTGCAGAATTCTCTGTAGGTATTTTAATGTAATGAAAGATGAACAGAATCACTGATTTAGTTAACTGTTGAATAGAATATATTTGATGATTTATCAACAAATAATAGATATATTTGTTTCTTAGGTTTTCACGCACATCACTCATTAAATAAAACTAGTTTTTACGGGTTAATGCACGAAACTTTATTTATTTATTGACGTTTCGCAGCCTTTTCAGGTCTGCATCGTCAGAAGAATGATTTTTTATTGAACATGCATTAGGGGGGCCAAACCACTACATTAGATTTGATAGACCACAGATCCTTGCAGCTGAGCGACGGTTCGTTCCTCGAATGATGCTCGAGGCTATTGAGATTAAAAAATATCCAAATTTCAATAGGGAAGATGGTTGGTATATACCACCAGCTTGGGAACCTATTATACAGGAGATAAAATCCCAACCCCGAGCACACACTGCAAGACCATCAGATACTATTAGTTCTTTTTGTTTGCATAATTTAACATAAGAAGGAGATAGAAAGCCTCTCTTGAGTTTGTTTCGCCGGTTCTTCTCAGGAAGGTCTCCCAATTTTGGAACCGGTGGTAGTTTACGGTAGTTAGGGTCAAATAAATAAACTCAAAATTACAAACAAGAATTTTAAATAAAATACTTTATTAAGTAAATTAAATAATAAATTCATACATAGACAATAAAATTTTAAAAATCTTCCAATGAAATAACCGAACGCTCAATATAAGTCTTTCAAAGGTAGCTCGACAATTTTAAATAAAAAATCATTATTCTGACGATGCAGACCTGAAAAGGCTGCGAAACGTCAATAAATAAATAAAGTTTCGTGCATTAACCCGTAAAAACTAGTTTTATTTAAATAATAGATAAATAAACTTGCCATTTGCCAATCAAATATTATATAATTTTATATTATAATAATTATTAAAAAAGGGTATAAAATAATTCTAGTTTATTGCCAAACAATTTACAATTAAGTGCACTCATAAAAATTTGGAGACTCCCCACCGCCAACCACAAAATTTAACCGTCTCCTTTAACATATAGAGAATCAAGCCAGAATCAACACCGTTATTATAAAATTTGAATATTTTTAATCTGTACTGATATTATAAAGAGGCGAAGTTTACGAGTTTATGAAGTTGTAGGGGATAATCTCTACATCTACTGAACCCTTTTTAAATGATGATTTCTGGGATAAAAATTATCCTGTCCTTTTCTGGGACTTCAGCTATCTCTATAACAGTTTTTAGCTGAATCGGTGCAGCGGTTTAAGTGTGAAGGCATAGAGTATGGATGTCCTGTCTTATCTGATTATTATCTAGTTAAAATTTCTATTTTAGGAGTGTTTATACATAGGTAAGTTTGTACCAGTTTTTACCGTCTAATTGGCTCACGATAAGAACGCTGAGGAACGTGGAGGCACAAATAAATACACAAAAACTGTCGTTCAAACAAAAAATCATTTTTAGTCTTAGTTTTTGTCACGTAAATTTTGTATTATCATTATAAGTGTCTGGAGGATTTGTGTTTTCTACATCAAAATAATATGATTACTATAACTATGAAGACTGAGACATTATAGTCTACTTTATATAATGTATCGGCGACATCTACACGCGCTACATATAGCCAACATACAGGAACTAATCACTCGCCTCGCCAAGAGATGGCGCTACCGTCGTAGCGATCAATAAGTATGGAAGCCTACATCGCGCAAGGGAAATTCTGAGGCACACATTTAATATATATTCAATGCCCGACCAACATCATTCAGGCCGCGACCCCCGATCTAACATCACCCAGCTCTGAAGAACATCTTCCCCTTTGGCCTTCTTACACTTTCCTTTCCTTTACTTTATGAAAACAAAGATAAATTCACATTACCACCGTACAGGTATATAATTTTTTTTTTTAAATTACCAGGTCTCGAGTTACTCCGCAACTTGTGCGACATCGGCTACCATCTCGAAGTGCCGCCCGTGCCCTTGAAGGTAACTGTGAATGAGCTCACGATCTTTCCATATGTGTGTAAACAATTAGAAAGGTGCAAAACCGCGATTTCCGACCTTAATGTTATGTATAGAAAGTTGAAAACACCCCCGCTTATCACGATCCTTCCATATAATAATTTCCGTAAACAATTAGACAGGAGTAAAACCGCGATTTCCGACCTTATTGTCAAGTATAGAGAGTTCAATACACCCCCGCTTAGCGTCGCGTGGAGCTGGCTATACCTGCTCGTTGCTATTTTCGCTTACTCTGTCGCTGCTTTGCGATTATAGCCCTTGATTTTACTTTTAAAGTACTAAAAATTTGAATACGTACTGGGTAACAGATTTATGTATTATCGAATTATATTTGATTATGTATCTGAGCTATTGAATGGTATTATGGTAACAATCAGTAGCATCAAAACTTCGTAATATACCGGGTTAAAATGTTGTAATTTCAATTTCGTTTAAAGTCTTACTATCGGTATGCTATATTTACATAGTGGCGTGAAATATGATGGACGCAATAGTATTCTTTTTTTTTAACGAAATAAGCAAGTTTGTAAAGGCTATATTTGCATTTCCAAGTCATGTTAATCCACTCTCGATGATTCAATTACTAATTCACTGCCATATTTAACCATAGTTTTAAAATCTGCTTACGGTTGTGGGTGCAATGAAACAATATGTATATGAATATAATATATATTATATGTATTTAAGTCATTTATATATGTGTATAATTTTCGTCATTCAATGTGTACTTACATTACATGTATACGGGTTGTTATTTAACTAGGTAATGTTAGGAGAGATTAGAATCAAATGTGTTGTGAATTGCAGGGAAAGGCTGGAGTTAGTGTGGTGAGAGCCCTATTCGTTTATCCAGCATGTTTTTTTTCTATTACATTATTTACTTTCTGATTTATTTTACTTGAAACAAAAGAATATACGATGTGCTTTTGATTTCTTAATCTGATCATGATTGCTGAAATTTACAGTTATGATTTGTCAAGTATATACAAATAGTTAAAAAGAGTGCTTTTCCGAAATGTATTTTTACTTGTTTTAAATGACTAGTTCTGTTTATATAGATTTTACTTTTTAAATTGATAATATTACAAAGTGATAGTTATGAGAAGTTTTAATGTACAAAAAAGGCAATTTTACTTGTGTAATGTATTTTTTAACACTTTTAGTGCATATTTTTTTATTAAGTAACGGATTGGCTGGTTATCAGGGCAAAGTGACTAGCGCGCTAAGGCGTGCATACTTGGGTTGTAAGCAGGTCGCTCACAGTAAGTGCGTAGACAGACGGACAGTAAAACCGTATAAATGTGGCTACCAGAACAGACTAAATAAATAACCTTTACGTTGTCTATGAAGTATGAACCCATAGAAGAATATAGACATTTAAAAAAACAGTTGAACATTAGCATTTTATTTAAAGGAATTTTGATGCTAGAAATTTAAGCTATGTGTTAGCGCTAGAGAAATTTAGTGAAACCTTATGAATACATATAATAAAGGACTAGTTTTTTTTTATAGGAAAATGTTACTTGAATGTACGAGATAATTAACTATGATGATGTGAGTAATTGTTATTGTAATGAGATGACGTTATGATTACATAGAAGTTCAGTGCTGATGTTAATTTTCCTTTATGACCATTAATTTTTTTAAGAAGTTATATATTGGCATGTTTCGAATTTTTAGAAAATGATTGTTAATCTATAAATGCTCCTTTTGAAAACTTAGCACATATGAACCAGAAAATTGTTCAATAATATTCTTATACTTACAAATTAGATTTAGATTATTTTTATGTAAATTTAGTAGATTTTCGTAAGCGTCGTCGTATATTTGGATTTTAGATCGCTACGTTTAAAATTAGATATTAATTATATGCTAATTTTATTATCTAGGTTGTGAACAACTTGACAGGTAACACTGTACTTACAAATCTGATGAAATGGTGCTAAAGGTACACTTACTTAAAAATTATAATAGAAAACTTCTATCATTACTTTTTGTTATGTAGTTCAACAGTAGCCTTCCATTATCCTTGTAAAACATTTAGAGTAAGATTCCAATGCCACCAGACCTTAATTATATTCTGATGGACAAAATACAGATATTTTTGGCCCCTAGGATTGGTCTGGCAGCTCACAAAATATAATAATAGTCCCTTAGCTCTCATAAATAAATATCATGCTCAGACTATAAGTAAGGTTGTGTTTTTTTGCTTTAGACATTAAATGTGGCTGGTAATAAAAACTGCTGGCAGTGTGTGTCTGGCAGTATTATTTTCAAATTGTTTACAATATTCTCTACAATATACGTAAGAATCAGTCCTTAGACTGTAATGAAAGTGAGTAATATTACCAAGTATGTGTATAAGTATTCATTGTACACAATAACACTACTTAATTATCCATATTTTGTTGGTCAGAAAATAAAGCTCTGGCGGTCTTGGGATCTTGGACTATTTAGTTCGGAGAATCTATGATATAAGTAGATGATTTTGTCACTTGCAATAAACGTTAGGCCAGTTTATTCAAAAACGTAAGCATTTAAGTATTACATTATTTTAAGTAAAATTATTTATATAGTGTAAGTTATTTATCGCTAATGTAATTTTTTCTTATATTTATTTATATAGTTATTTTCTGAATTATCTACTGGCTTGGACTAATAGCGCTTTTCACCACCCTGCTTCAGCCATTCGCTAGCGTTTTCATATGGTTAGATTAGAATGTTGGATTTACTTAGTAACAAATGATTCGATTGGAAATAGAACGTACTATATGATATGGGAATTTTTACCGTAGTGCCGGTCGTATATTTGAAATTCCATAATAAAGGCTAAAGGGCATCGATAAATTTAGCGCTAGTTTGGGTTTATCATATTTATTGTTTCATGTATCTTGTTAAACGTTTCTTGCATGCCTTTAACTCTGTTTTGAACTAGATGCTTTACATGCATGTCAGTCGTTTCATTGTCTATGAATGGCCTTAACCTACGCACCAGTGAACTCGCCGATGTGCTGATAACTAAATATTCACGATTATAAAACTACAGATTAAAATTTGGCACTTGAGCATTGAGAATTTTATGTTTACCAATAAATGCAGTCCAGCTCATCCTAGGCTTGCAATTTATAAAAAGTAAAGCTAGTGATAAAACGCCTTTAATAACCTTACTAAAAGTTCAAAATCTTTATATATTATATTAATTTTTAATAAGAATCGCAGACCTTGTATAGCAAGCTAAAATAATTTCTGATTGTTTTGAACTAGATCCTTCCATGTAGCAAAGGCTATTAATTATTAGTGTTAAAGCGGTTAATTATTAGTATTATTTTCATTAATCTATGATAACTACTTCTCAATTTACTATCCCAGTAGTTAATTTTTCGGCAAGAATTTAGTTAATCTTTGCTCAATGCTAGAATTTCGCAATATTCAGGGTACATAGGAATACAGTTACAATTTATTTTGACGTGACAACGTCTTAAATTAGGTTGCGGCTGGGAGTCACTTATGAAAAAGTGTAACGCTCGGTAACGTTACGATGAGTCTCTCGTGTTAAGTTTAAGTTTACATGTACAATGTTTTAGTAAACAAAATATATTTCTATAGTTAAAATTTGTGCAATTCTTATTTTCATTCAATTCCTTGTTCCTATTGTGCAATTTAATTATATTCATATCAATAAATATTCTACCGAGAAAAAGACGTTGTCACGTAAAATCTTCGCCCGTAAAACCGACTTTACAGGCAACCATTTTTTCTCATTAACATTATTTTGAAATCACACCTTTTATTATTTTTTTGTTTTTACTTGGAAGCTTTATTTCATTCAGCAGACAGTGCTTTCGCAACTAAATCCCTAACACAAGTTAATTTAAGATTTAGATGTAAATCTTCATCTTTGTTTTGTTTCTGTCAAAATTTATTATTTCAAATATACCTCATAGTTTAGTAGAAAAATCTATTTTGTTTTCATAGACTCCACTCAATTACAATCATTCTATACCATCATCAATCAGCACATGATTATATTGCCGAACGCGTCGCATTACAAACACCGTGTCGCCTGTCTCGATTCCAACCGTATTCAACAAGATAAGAGAGAAAGTTACGTCCTCATTGTATCGGTAATGTCCCAAATTCATCTATAGATAAGTGCTATTCTTTTTCATAGCTTATTGCTTTTTTCGTATTCTTAAAATTTGCCAGGATACGTTCTCCTGTTCTCTGGTAGAATCAACTCCGCGATCGGATAATAATTAATCAACTAATTGACTGCGAGACAGTGGGCTGGGTTTGTAACGCGACGGCAGTGGCCAGCGAGTGAGTAAAACGGTGCCCCCCCCCCCCCTCTTCCCTACCCCGCCCCCCTTGTCCGTCTACTCCTCCCCGGTCCGTCCCCGTTGCCGTGCCGGCGTGGTGTTGTAGCGGGCGGCGCCTCAGCTGAGCGCGTTGGATCGTTGCAGAATGATGTGGACGCGCCGTCGCCGCCGGTGTCGCAGCGCGCGTCCGTGGGCAGCGTCAGCGTCGACGTCTGCGTTGGTGCGCCGCCGCCGTCCGACTGCGGCGCGCGTTGCGGCGACGCTGCCTGTATACCGGCCGCCCCTCCCCTCACGCCCCTGCATCCGCGCGCATAGCCCCGCGCCAACGCCAACACCAGTATCGCCAGCGCCAACGCCAACAGACGAAGACCTCTGCTGCTCATCATCATCGACGCCGTGCCTGGTGGACACGTGACGCGCCTGCCATATAGTAGATTCCAGTGATGACTTCTACCACTTGATCAACGCTATCGCCGTCTACACCAATGATGGCATCGAACCCTGTTTCAATTCAAATCATTTATCAACACCGCTAGCACCAACTTTGCCAACATCAACGCCAATAGACAACGACCGGTGCTGCCTGTAATCATTGATGCCGCGCCTGGTGGACACGTGACGCGTCTGCCATTTAGCAGATTGCATCGCTAACCAGTGATGACCTCGAACTCTGTTTCAATATCAATCATTGACGACACCGCTAGTACCAACATCTATGCCAATTGACGAAGCCGGCTGCTGCTCGTCATTATTGACACCTTGCCTTGTGATTCCGTGACACGCCTACCCTACTGATTCCAGTGACTGATGTGCCTGCCCCAGAACAAATGCAAATGTTGGCCTCTGATTCTTTATTCATCAATACCAATACCGTCAATACCAACAACTTGGTGGACTGCTGCTCATAGATTCTGCTTCAATAGATTCCTGTGACTGACCCATCAGCCGTACAGTAAATTCAAATGATGGTCTCCGATTCAATATTACCAATAAGAACTGGCGGTGGCTGTCTTGCTCGTCACTGTCCACGCCATTAGGTTTCAGTGATGGCCGCTGTACGTGGGCTTGACAATATGTGATCAACAGGTTTCAAGTGAATATTAATTAAAAAGGTGATTCAGAGACATCACCGCTATCATCACAAGTAGGAACTATTGCTATCTTCATCATTGTGGACAAACGGTGTCACTCAACATCGTTAACCTCTCAGAAAATTCGAGTGAATGGAACGATAAAAAAAGTGCGTGCTAAACAGTTATATATTGCTGGAAAGTTATTGATAAACTGTGAAATTGTGTTCAGCTGTGTAATCGATAGGACTGCAAAGCAAATAAATCATTTTGGGTAATGCAATGACGCACGAGACGTTTTAATTCAAGATTCCGGTAATGTGAAATGAACAGTGTAATTGAAGTGATAAATGGACGCCCAGTGTTCTAACTGACTACATAATATATTATTTTTAAGAGTGTGAGGGAGCTCCTCGACAGTAATGCTGGACGGGAAAGAAAATTTCAGTTTATTTATTTCTTCTAAGTTACAAAGGCTAAAGATTGTTCAAGCCTAAGATCAAAATACGAATAAAGAAATGTAACCTTGCATGCCGGCATATTTGCTATTTGTAAACTTGACAACAGTGTGTCCTTATCATACTGTATACTTATGGACTGGATGGAAGGAATGGAAAGGACAGAAGTTTACAAATAGCAAACATGAATAGCCCAGTGAGTGCCGGCATCATATATTTTCCTTTATTAATCAATAAAATGTCGAAATTGACAGACAGTATTTAAGTCTGTATCTATTTGAAAAAATAACAAAGGAGATTGCTCAAATTGGCCCAAATGCACAAAAAATATTGACATATACGGTAATTCTTGGCGTAATTTATACTTTATTTTACAGTCATTAGATTTTAACGGACACCTTTGTATAATATATTCATTTTAAAAAGGACTTTTAATTTTACCGGTTTGGAAAACATACGAATTATTTTTAATGGCTATGGGTGTAGTAACATTAAGCCAAAGACTGATCGAAGTTGTTTATATAAAATCAAAACAAATCTATTTTGTAAAGATCAATAAAATAAAACTTTTTTTTTATTACACTGTGGTATTAATACCCACAACTATATTATAATTTTTACTACATGTAGTAAATGTGCTAAGACAATTATTATGGATGGTAGGCGACATCATAAGTTCTCAGGGGTGTCCGTCAATAATATTCGTTTCTACAGTAATTTATATATAATTTCGAATCTAGGAAACAATTTTTCATGATTATTGGGTTTTAGGCCAAACTTGTATGGAAGCTGAGCAATCTCCTTTGTAAGGCCAATCCAGAGAGATTATGTGTCGAGTTGCTGCCTATCTAGTCGAAATAACGAGTGGCTTATTATGACAACATGCAATTGTGAACTAATTAAGGACAAATTTTGAGCGAAACAAGGTTCAATAAAATCATTCGCAGTGTAAAGCTAAGCATGAACAAATTGAAATTCGTTTCACCTGTTTGTTTAAGTAGCCCGTGCTTATCTGAAAAGAGCTTAAAATCTCATTATCAGGTTTGCCACTTTTTCTATGGACTTCTACCTGGACACTGTTTAGGTAAATCTAAAAAATAATTATTTTATTACTATCAGTTTATGACAAACACTTGTTGATAGGCTGCAAAACAATAATTAAAAAACACGACTGCCGTTAAAAAACTGCTACTATATTTGCACATTTGATATGGTCTCATTAAATTCTTTTAAATGATACCTGTATTGTAATAAAGACTTTTTAATTATCAAATAATTGACATGTTGACATTGCTGTTCTTTTTTAAATTTTAACATTTTCGGTATCGTATGTTACCTGGAATGGTGTAAGGATTCTTACGATATGATCTCCACACACATCTAAATCGGTTCAGGCGTTTAGAAGTAATAGTGGAATAAAGAATTGCACTTACATACATGCACACTGAATACATTAGTCTTTTTTTTTCTTGGTCAGTCGTGTAATAAAATAAGCATTGTTCAATTAACCATGAGGGAAGTTGTTTTGAAGTTCGCTATTTCTGAAAAGTAATTTCTAAATAAAAAATCCAAAACATGGATAACTTCCATTTAGGCAAAAGCTTTTTGGCAATGCAAGGCAATTTCTTGGATTTCGGAATTTCAACTCTAATTACAAATCGGTATTAGAGATACTCATAGATGTCAATACTGGCATGATACACTTAACCTAAACTTAAATGTGATAACAGTGTATCCTTGTTATTCTCTATACAGAATGAAAAGGAGAGACTGTTGTTGAATTTAGTTTTAAGTTTAGAGAATCGCGCCAGAATCGATACCATAGACTTGATGGGCGCTTGTTAACGAGATGATTTCTACTTTGTGGTCTAGGCACGGTTGTACACCGTGTCTACGTCCGGTCGTTAGTTATGTATGGGACGCTATGGAGGTCTCTTAACGACATCGGCGCCACCGACAGTTTAGGGTCGTCGGTACAAAGTTTGTACCGGCCGTATGTACGTTTGTACCATGGAGGATAGAGATAGGAGAACGATCGCTGTAGAAAATAGTGTCCCAGAAATATGGACAAAATAAGTGAGGCGCTGCGATCGCTAAGTTGTCTCAATAAAAGCGGGCTGTTGTGCGCTGATCTGAAATGACCTACGCCGCGAAGAAAATTTGTACATTATTACACTAAATTCATCTACTTGTACTCATAAACAGCAAACTTCACAGACTAATTATCGACGACAGCGCGGCAACCGTACTCGCGAACAATTTTAGCCGGCACCATCCCGGGTAGAAATCGTCTCGTTAACAAGCGCCCTTAGGATCGCTTAACATTCCTCAGAGGTTACTTTTTTTCAATAACAACGTCAATGTATTAGATATAATGCTGTTTATCTACACAACAAAACGACAAAGAATTCTTTTTGATATTCATTTCTTTTTATTTGTTTAATTGGTAGTAACCTCTTTGCTCAATCAAACTTCTTTACTATGAAGGAAATAAAATCATAATGTAATGAATAAAAAATAGAAAAAAAAATTATAATATTTAGGATACTTAAAAAAGAGTTAAATTCTATAAAAGTGTCTGGTGTTCAAAGTGATTGTAGCAGAATAAATTTAATAGATCTATAAAATTGTATTTTAATAATAGATATTATTAGAATCTAATTGACGCTGGTAATATTAATACGCCTTGTTGTGAAAATTATTTTTAAAATTATTTGTTTACAATTAACCCAGTAAAGTGATCTAAATCTGAAAATTTTGATTAAAGATAAGTAGTAATTATTAATTCAAAAAATATATCTAGCTGTTTCATGTCTTATAAATATAGGATCAGGCTTCAACTTTTAGATTTGTACTATAAACAAAAGGTTAAAAAATATTAGATACTTACATCATAGAGAAATAGTTAATCTTTGCAAGACTTAGGCCCTGCCGATGCCTGCCTGCAATCATTTCGCAAGTTTCTTCAGAGCATTGTTCAAATTCCAATCTTTAGATCCCGGTAGACCTCTTGAGCAACGACCGTAGACAAGGAAGCATGTGCAGTAGCCATTTACATACAACAACGTCTACTGCGCAAGTTAACTTGTCTGTTGTTGTGCTCAAGAAGTTTACCGCTACATCAGCTGACATTTTTATTCACAAAACAATAATGTGCTAGACTATATAGGTACACTGAATTATAAGCCATATATTAATTTTACGTCATGGCTTGGGAAAACTTTGGTTATGATTCCCGTTCTTTTTAATTGTTGGTTTAAATCACTTTAAATTGAAATCGATATGAATTAAAATAATATTGTCTAAATTATATGTATAAAAAAAACTGTGCTATGATGGGATAATGAAAATTATGACGTTCTAATTGATGTGATACGATAGGTACTTGTTTCAGAAACTGCGAAAGGAAATCATTTTGATCTCTTAAGCAAAATATAATTTAGTACTATATAGAATTAAACGTTTTCGTGTTTGTAGATTGAACATGACGGTAATTGCTGTGTTTAATTAATCTTAATGAATATATTTTTGTCTGAATTCTAAGGATACATTTATGTATGTATTGTAACTCCCAGTTTTCCTAGAATTATGATTATACATGAGATTCTAAAACTGTTAATGTCTCTTTTAGGTATTTTGGAATTTACAATGTGTTCATTGTATACTTAGTGTTGCTAGAGTAGCGATTTGCCATCAGTGGCTATTTATCATAATTGTATTTGAATAATGTCCAAAATTTTGATGATGGATCGATAGAAATTTTTGAAATTTGTTGTATATAAGTACATTATTCAAAAGGGTATCGATTCTAACGTTTATTATTGTGTCGATGATTTTCAAAAAGTAATTTCTTGATTTCTTCTTAGTATGATTGAATACTATGTAGAATGAGTATGTCACATTGAATAATAATTTATTATAGGTACTTAGTTGTGAAATTAAATTGTCATCATTTAATTTAACAAATTGTTTGTAAGTTGTCAAGTTTTAGTTGATATGGATTGTTTACTATTAAGAACCCATAGTAGGCTGTATATATTTTTAATTATTTTTTAACAATGTTTTTATTTAATAGCTAATAAATTTTGATGATTGTATTTTCATAACTGAAGGTGACATAGTTATTGTACGTTATTATTCGATGGTATTTTTGGTGGTTTGAATGATAGCCAAAGATGTTATGTCACGAAGCGAAATACTCCTTTTTTGCCGTACCATAATACACCCCGTGTCATGTACGCATTTATTGTTAAATGTCGGGAAGTTGATCATTTGATTCGTTGTAATAAGTAATGTTGTTAATTAAGACTGGTTGACTAAGGCTGTACTGGGACACGTCAGTTAACTTTTAGGTTTGAATTATGTTCGTGCAGTCACTTGCTTTTCTATAACAATAGAAAAAGACAATACGTGACTTAATGTAGCATTAATATGATTTGATGTTTCTGAGTGCAGCCGTAAAAACAAGAAGACAAACTTTTCCCTTAAAATTAACACATATTTTAAAGGAAGATTTAAAAAAAAAAACAGTCATTTGTCTTTAGTTATAAAATGGTACTTTTTCTTTTGATGTTAAACATAAATTTTACTATTGATAAAACGTGTAAGTACTTACTATTGAATAATAGCTTAATCAAGTGTCAAATGACCAACGTCTTGACGTTCTGACAATTTTATTATAATCAATGTTACTATCAATATCAATCAATACAGTCATAATGCATCGGCTGGATAATTCTGACCCGATCCTTTGAAACTATTAAAAAAAGAAAATAAATCATGTTTTTTATTATCTCTCTTTGCCATATGCTACATAAGTAGTGGTTCTTTAAATAATAAACACAAATACCCACTATGCGTCATGCTTCGCGCAGCTAGCGTCGCGCAGTCGGATAAAGTAGTTTTGAACGCCTTAATAAAGTAATAAAATAATAAGGAAAAACACTGTAATGTTGAAAAAAAAAACTGGAGATGCCGGGGATCGAACCCGGGGCCTTTCACATGCAAAGCGAACGCTCTACCACTGAGCTACATCCCCTATATCGTGGTGAAGATAAATTTATTATACCATGTTGATATCACATTCACTTTTATGACGCCAGCAAGTTGCAACAAATGGGTAACACAAATACTAAATGTCAATAAAATTAGTGGCCTTTGTTTTGTCTTTTATCGGCTACGTACCTTTGGTTTAAGTTTGATATGTGATGAAAATAACAAGCTAGCTATAGATACTACTATATAGTAGGGGAGCTAAGTGAGGATTTTTGGATGTAACGTTTCTGAGGACGGAATAAATATTGATCTGCCGGTTTGTTTGGTCTGGGGGTGGCTGTAAGAAGGGCTATCTTCGCGTTTGCCTTAACACTACTGACAATCACCTACGAGATTGCTATGGCTATCGCTTTTTCTTACGTTTTCATTTTTTTTATTTCTGACCGCCGAAGGTTTTCAAATGCCTCGGGCTTTTTTTTACCCGACTGCGCAATGCAAGAGTGCGAAGCGCGACGCGCAGACAGGGTATAGTGTTTAACAGTCTATGTATGTATGTTTGTTCCTTTGCGGCACACTAGAGACCAAACGCCTGGACCGATTTTGATGATTCATACATCAATCGATTCGTCTCAAATGGGAGTGCTACTAAAGATATGATAGTAATCAAAATTCAATATGGGCAAAATTAGGCGCCATATTGTGACGAAGTAAAAAAAATAATATCTCGAGTGGGGTATCACTGTCTAGATAATCGAAAATCATGTTTAGGTTCCTAACACCATTTTTCATTTTATATGATTGTTTAGGATCTACAACGCTTTAAAGTTGTATATTATTGTATATATCTAAGAATTTTACTAGATTTCATTGTGATTATAAATCTTGCAGTTAAATGCTTCTTCTAGTAGTTGTACTAATTGGACGTTGTTAAATGAAAAGGATCCAACCCAAAACCTTATCGAAAATTAATGTAGTATACCAAAATACTCTTTAACGTCAATACTATTAAAATACGACAAAGATCCATGTAAAATATAAGTGTCATAATATGTTTTTGTATTTGTATTTTGTAAAAAGATAAAGTTGAATCTAAGAAGAAATACAGTCTGTTATTAAAAAAATCATATCTCAAAACTGAGTTTGGGTAGGTTGGATCCTTTTCATTTAACAACGTCCCAATTGTATGTACTTACTATTTATAAAACATAGTATAGTAGCTAGGTACTACTGGACGCTACTATTTTAAGAGTTGGTCGAATTATCGTGGTACCTAACATGCAACATTTTATTTGAGTTGTTTTAATTTTATTTTCCCTTTGTGTTTTAATAGAAACATTTGCCGTATACATTTGATACAACATTTATTAGGTTGTAATACCCATTCTATCCATTACCATTAAAATGTTTTTTTATAGTCTAATGACCTAGGTCCTTGGTAGTACCAATCAACCACTACTGGGTCACGGATAAAAGTGGAAAATATATTTTTCTAGGGTATCTTTTTAATCTAGACAATAACGTAGCGAAATAACACCTATTCTGTAGTGTTGTGTTTACTTGTACTTAGCAGTAAGGTCTATGACGTCTCGCCAAATAAAAGCGAGTTGAACGCATAGGTGTTTTGTTAGATTTTATCGACCCACCTTCGCATTTCAGTGTGATTACATTCATATGACATCGCGTACATTACAAAAAGCTCGGGCTCCGCTTTTGGCCACCGGCGGGCCGCCGTGGCTTGTGGTAGGTACTTATAAAGTTCAAAATGCTTAAAGAAGGGATTGCGAATAGGATTAATGCCGCCGCCAAGGTAAGAATGGCTTGAGCATCACATATTTATGTCGCGTCAGCTATCTTCGTAATCGCACGCAGTCCTCCAGGAGTACCGAGGTAATTTTTGGCCGGGTTAGTTATGTAGTTATCACAATTATGCTTTCAACGGGGTTTTTAACCACAAAGGAATCAAATATTGAGAAATTTAATACTGCTAGCTGTTTCTTGGATAACTACCTGGCTATCTACTTCCATTTATTTCAAAACCACAAATATCTATTCCAATATATATCTAGTCCAAAAATAGACTTTATTGAGACATATCTATTAACAAAAACATTTTGACTAGAGGTATAAAATATTTTTGCACAATTAATTATAAAAGTCGTTAAAATTTAATAAATACCTAGTAGTAACATTATCCTACATTAGTCCTACCTACTAATAATCACAATAACGTAATAAATACATGATTTTCCATTAAATACTATAACAATTGATTGGCATAATTATCTAGATGTTTGACTATCGCAGTAATGTGCCAGCGTCTACGACGAAATTGGAACCAGTAATGCCTTTAGCTTTATCACTTGCCAAGTAGCTTATCAAGGAGGCAACCTCTTCTCCTTCTATTGGCTTCTTGAGAGGAATATTACCGACTACGTTCTTTACGAACAATTCAAGCTGGTCCTCGCTTAAGCCAATATTTTTCAGAAGATTTGTCTTCACGAATCCTGGGTTGACAGAATTCACTCGCACTCCGTCTGCTGCCAACTCTAAAGCGACACATTTAGTGAAATGATCCAAAGCTGCTTTTGATATATTGTATGCTAACGCCATTGTACTCGGCTTCGTACCGGAAACACAGGATACGTTTACAATGCATCCTTTGCTTGAAATCAAATGTGGGATCGCAAGTTGCGTTAGATGGTACACAGCTCTCATGTTTGTGGTCATAACCTTGTCGTATGTTTCTAGAGTAGAGTTCTTGATTCCTCCCATTCCGACAGTGCCGGCATTGTTGACAAGAACGTCTAGTTTGCCGTGATTGTCAATTGTTTCTTTGATGATTCTCTCCACGTCCGCTTCAATCGTGACGTCAGCGACTATGCTTTGCGGCACGACTCCTTTCGATTTTTCGCAATACAAAGCGATCCTATTAAGATTCTTTTCAGTTCGGGCGACAAGCACTAATTTCGCTGATAATTTTGAGAAGTGTATAGCTGTAGCTGCTCCTATTCCTGAACTTGCACCAGTTATTAGGACGACTTTGTCGTTGAACTCCATATTTTAGAGAGGGTGTTTCTTTACACAATGTACTTTAACAGGTAGAATAGTTTAAATAATAACTAGACTAGTCGCAAGTTATGATTGTTTTGTTTTTCTGGCTGGATCCTGCGCTTGCAAATGTTACTAGCATCGCAATTTCGTTTACTGCTATAAAACATAAGGTACAACCTATCAATATAATAACATAATATTATACCTTATCAATACTTGGTAAAATATTAAAGGATCCAATAGCTTTATCCTACATTAAGTGAAAATTTTATTCAAAAAGCTGCAATAACTCTGGTCGCTTTGGGGCCTTTGGGTTTTGCTTAAGTTATACCATACAAACACAGAGTAAATATATTGGTATGTCAAACAATCATAAACTTCGTTATTTCTTCGTTATTAAGATTGCCTTAAATTTTTTTCAGACTATGTTAAATAATAATAGCTCTGTAAGCATAGGAAGAAATGGTCAATTTAAGAAACTGTTAGATATTTTTTTATAATCTAATAATGTTAAATTAGGTACAATTTATGTTTTATTAATAATGAAAGCTACTTACTTATATACTTTATCTTAATCACTAAAGTAAAAATATTGCTTGTGTACTGTTCGAATGTGGAAAAAAACCTACCTTTGTAGAAAGCTTTATTGCAGCTAGCAACACCGACATTATACGTCATAAAACGATTCGTGATCGTTACCCACGTGACAGCGATTGTAAACAAGCTGGCGCTATCCGACGGGCATGGGCGTATTACATTCACGTCACACGATGTGTAGGTAAGAACAATCGCCTACATGTTTTATGATAGCAATTTTTGATGTATATTATTGATGTATAACATCTTTCCTCTAGCTTTCCTGCAATTTGTGGAAGTGATTTCATGAAATGCGACGGAAGTGTGTAACAGGAAGTCGCGAAAGCGCGCGCTATTTGATTTGATTTTAGAACATAATGTTCAAATGGCTTATTCCTTTTGTAGTAGGTTTTATTTCTTTTTTTACTAATATAAGGTGAGGTTTCAAATGTTACACATAAGTAATACGCGACTTCTGTAAGGCTCGCGCATTTTTGTAATGGTTGTAGTATAAAGTATTAAGTCCAGTCAATGCACGGAAGAAACGGGAAAATCTGGCAATTCTGCGAAACAGTATCAATAAACACCAAAATTTTGATTTGGGTGCTACTTACCATCTGCTTCAAATTTGTTATTGTGCTAAGGGTTGCTATTTCCCTGGAGGTGGATGTCATCCCTTTTTTTATTAAAAATAAGTATCGGAATGGATAGATTGACTAATTCTTCATAGCTTTTGTTTTCGATTTATTCGAGAGTGGAAAAGTCAAATTTACCTCAAAAATACAAGTTTTCAGACGGTTTTATGAATAACTCTGAAAATAAGTAGGTACTTTATGCAATGAAACCATTTGAAGTGAAATTGTAGCTTATAAAAAAACAAAAAAATACTAAGTGAAAAATATCAGTAGACCCGATACTAACGGAGCAATAGCTTTTTAAAGGTTGGCTTTTCTTCTTCATACGCCAAAATCGAAAATTTCGACGAGAAATATCTAAAAAAAAATATTTGACCCCTAACTAACACGTCAATGTCGTTCTGTAAAGACTCACAAAATTTTCACGCACGGATCCATAGTGGATCCGCTATGGATAACAGACAGACAGACAAACGACAGAGTGACAGCAATAGGGTTCCATTTTTACACTTTAGGTACGGAACTCTAAAAACGTATACATATTTCAATACCAATAAAGAAGTTTCCTTCATCTTAAACACATTATGAGACACACATACCAGCAATGCTATGCTGTAAAGAATCACAAAATTTTCAAAGAAAAAATGATTAAAAAGGTAAAACCTCATACTTAATTAGTAATTCTTCAAAATTTTGTGTATCTTTTATAGTTTTTTGAGTAATTTTTGAAGAAAGGCAATTTTTTGCAAACTTTTCAAAAAGCTATCATCACTTCATCTATTATTATTTATTTATTTAATAATTTATTGTAACTACACGAAATAAAAATATCTCAAAAATTAACTCTTTAAACCGTTGAAACTTATAGGGTATATTACAAGTGTATAAATTAAGTTAGTTACAAAGTGGTAGTGATCATTTTCAATTGAGGTGGTGTTTTTTTTTGTCGCCGAATAATTGGGGAACAATTTTGTCTTTATCTTATCTAGCTTAATTTTTATCGAAACTCATAAAAACCAAAATAGGGTCACTTCAAATGTTTTTTTTGGAGTCCCAATAAATGCATTGTTTTTTGCATTCTATGTTCTGTGGTTTTTTGGATATTTCATGTTGAAACGTTCGATTTTGGCGTTTGACAGAGCAGAAACAACTGTAAACAAGCTATTACTCCGTTAGTATTCAATATAGCGGTCTTTTAAACCCGGCATTTTAATGCCTTTTATTAAGTTATAACTTTACTCTAATTTTTGTCATAAAACTCTTATTTTCAGAGTTATTCATGAAAAACCGTCTGAAAACGTGTTTTATTGGTGTTACAAATTGACGTTTCCACTCGAATAAGTTAAAAAGTATTAACCTTGTGTGATGTGGGACCCCTCGTGCGCGAGAGCGAATCTCACTTGGTCGGTTTATTTGCATTATCAAAGTGGCTTGTGACCAAATAAAACTGTCTAAGTAATTTGATCCATATATGAAACCTAGAATAGAATCTATGCAACTTCTAAGAAACTTAAATCTGTTACAACCTTTTACAACAATGCGCTTTATAACAAAATTCTGAATCCAAGCCAGTTGCTGTCATGCGTTCAGTCACGTTTGCCCGGGTCGTTTAGGGAGATATATCATATTCTGTCCCCGACATCGGTTCGTGATCAAAACTCGCGAACCGTTATTCAACGATTGTGACAAGTGCAATATGATCTATAATTCTGCTAGTCAATAATAAATGTAAGCCATTGTTAGGTCCACAATTTACTGCAGATATTATTATTTCAGATTCTTAGGGCAGTACAGTCCCAGTGGGACTGTAGTCACTGCGACCTAAAAGATCTAAAGTGACTTGCCACAAAGTTAAAGTACCTATCTTTTAATCTTCTTTAGTCCGATAGCTTTCGAGAAGCTCAAATCCTTTCTAGCTTTTAGAGATTTGATTTCATCTGGGCGTATTATATGTCGTCCCAGATGAATTCAGAGTATATGAATAAGATGCCCACACTCACATAGAAGGCGTATTTCATGTTCCTGGTTGTAGTATCTGCAGATGACCATGCAGAGGTATCTGACGATCAGCGTAGCGACTTAATTTCATCCACCTTGGATGGGCAGTGTTCGGGAATTACGCTTTTTAGGGTTCCGTAGACCTGACAAGGAACCCTTATAGTTTCATCATGTCCGTCTATCCGTCCCCGATTTTACTTGGAGAGTATTAGTACTAGAGAGGTGTAATTTTGTGGAGATATGTTTATCGATCACGCCGTTTAAATGGTAGAATAAAATTTCGAAAAAAAGTTTTTTAGGGTGGCTCCCCTACATGTAACTTGGCTAACTTACCGTGATAATAGTGCTTTTCATGAAACTTTAAGGAAAACTATAACGGTTAAGATAGATTCTTAGTTAGTTTAAGAGTAATAGTCGTACAACCGTTCTTACCTATTGAAAGAAAATTCCTTAGAAGAAAACATTAATAGTGACATAGATGAAGTAATTGTAGAGAAAAACCTTGCATTGCAACAAAATAAAAAAAAAATGAAAACCACAAAATATAAGTTTAATTAATATAGTTAATATTAGTTCCACAACGCTACCGCGAGTACCAACGGCAACGGTGTCTGTCTGAGTCGCACTAACGTTACGTTTTTATAAAAAGTATATAAGCACTTGAAAAGATCGGTGGTTATGTTACCGGCCAAACCCGATTTCAGGACAAACTAGTTTTGCCTAGGCTAAACTGGTTCTTCCTATGCGCGATAGGATTAACTAGTATAGCCTAGTCCAAACTAATTTGTCCTAAGCCCGATAGGATAAACCAGTTTAGCCTAGGCCAAACTAGTTGATCCTGATAAAAATACGCATACTCTAGGATAAACTAGTATGGCCTAGTGTAAACATTATAGTATATCTAGAAAGTCAAAATAAATAGATAAACTGAATAAAATAATCCGTAATTGGAAAAATAATATTTTTTATTAAAACCATAATGATTCATCGTTACAAGTTATGGATAATTAGTAATACAAAGAAAAGTAAGAAAAGTTTAATTTTTCTAGTAAACTTTTCTTTAGATTTAAACACCTAGCAGTTAAATGCTTAAAAATAAATAAAAACACTAACTATAATTGCTATTTCTTCTTTCAAATGTTTAATACTTGAAAAAGTATTCATTTGACATTGTGGGTTGCGTGGTTGCAACCTACAATGCGAAGAGATGGCGCTGCCTTGCAGCTTAAGGCTAGGAAAATTTCGACGCGGCGAATAGGGCCGTGGTAGCATAATGGTCAGTGCATTCGCCCGGATTGCGAAGGGTGCGGGTTCGAGTCCGGTCCGCTGCCTGGTCTGCGTGGTTTTTTTTTCTAGTAAACTTTTCTTAAAATATTTTGAGTTTACAGTGAGATGAATTGTAAAAGGTTCGAATGATTCGGAATTTCTTAAGCCGGGTAGTTACTCATTGGCGAGCTGTAACCATAACCGTTGCACGCACTGTAACCAAAAAGCATAGTGTGTACGTGGTTCGATAACCTGCTGCGAGAACGGTACGCGTGCGGTTTGAAGCGAGCCAACGTTCACAACTGAGCTACTAGCGTACACACTAGAACTTCGTACTGTATCACGCATGTTACGGTAACAGATCGCTAATGCGTACCCGGCTTTACTGTCTTCCGAACTCCCGGCAACAACAAAAGAGTTAAACAAAAACCAATTACAGAAAAAACACTCCCTCCACTTTCTTCCAGCGTTCTTTTTACATGACGCGCCCTGTACAAGTCCTGACATGTTTGTTCAATTACTTTCCGCTTTGCTAAATTGGTTTAGACTAGGTCGTACTAGTTTATCCTAGAGTGTGCGTATTTATATCAGGATCATCTAGTTTGGCCTAGGCTAAACTGGTTTATCCTGTCGCGCTTAGGATAA